CAGCTAGGCACTATGGCCACCATTACCGCCAGGGAACGAGAATTCCTGGGGAAGATCAGCGATAGTGCGGGGGACGGACCCAAAAACAAGTCCCAGGAAAGTGACCATGTTGGCATAGCTAGCTTCTGGGCATATCAGGTCCCCGTAATGGGACCATATGTAGTTCCGTCCGTCCGTAGGCGACCATATTGGAGAGTACGGGAGTAGCGATGGATCAAGTGAAGATCAACATGCAAATCTCACTCCACGCTTAGAAAACTATGGGGAAATGTGGAGATCTCCAGGTGATGGGTCTTGGATCTGCCCATAACCGAGTTAACGAGGGGGGATTATGTGGAGCTTTCGGTCCACCTTTCGGCATCTTGGGCACTGAATTATAGTGAAATTGCTTGGCTGCAGGACCTGGAACTCTGTCAATGCCGAGATTCATGTGCCGACATGGGCATTGGGTTTGGAGGTGCGTCACTCACTTGGATTCATCTGGTTGGGTTGGATTTGCCCCCCGGGGAATCTCCAGGGTTCTGGTTGGCCAACGGTGACCATTCCATTCCAGTTCAACTACGAAAGGCCAAAAAAAAGCCCCAATGGATGATTTGAATTAACCTCATTCCAATCAAAGAGCTCATTCCAATAAAAGTAAGCTATCCAAACTCAATATATCCTCAATAATTCTTCTGCACTACTCCCCTTGCAAACTCCGCAAAGCTCAACCCAGGCTGAACCTCCTCCGCAAGATTCGGCTGCGTAAACACAGCAAGAGTATTCCTCGCAATCTTCTGTCCAGGACTAGCCTTTGCCCCCCTTAACAAAATGCGGCACGGCCATAAACTTGCCGCGCGTGATCAGCTGCAAGGCCTCACCGGTCTGGAAAGCCAGACAATCCTTAGGAATATTGACTTTAACGATTTCATCAGTGCGCGAGCGGATGTACAGTCCGGCCGAGGGGTCGGGGAACGGGGAAGCTCAGAGAGAGGGGCAGATGCAGACCCCGATGGATCAAGCGTTGGAGGGGAAGCTGCTTCGTCGAGGAACATGGCCGATGTCAAGCCGGTCAGACAGCCGTGGTCGAGGTGCGTGGCGCACCAGTCATCATCACTTTCAGCCTCTTCCTGATTGCCGGGGAAATAATGTAGCAGTCGTGCCTTGGTTGTCAGGCTGGTTGTCACGACGTGGTGCAGGTATCCAGGTTTGTAGCCTTCGATGTTGGCTTCTGCATACCGGTCACATGCCTTGGCGACGAGAGCCGCGGTATCAATGATCAACCCGCATAGGGACTCCACGCTACTCCTGAATTCGGGTAATCTGGTTGGTGAAGGCCAGATGTTTGGCGCGGTATACTGGGGTAGATCTGGGAAATCATCTGCCGGGGCGCTGTCTAGAGATGCATCCTGATAGAAGGCACAGTTCACGTAGTACGAGCCCTTGAGCGTGTCGAAATGACCTGATTTCAGGGTTTCTTTACCGCAGGACCAGCCGACCAGGTATTTGGATCCTGGGCTGGTGAGCGAGTCTCCGTGGAGGTTAGTCTGATTTTGCTGCGGATTGGAGTCGGGCGTCTCTGGTGTTGGGAGACTTACCCAGTTCTGGTTCAGGGAGAGCCGCCAGATACGAGGCATTGGAGAGAACCTTTGCGCGCAGTTCGGTGAAGGTCGAGGGTAGGTCCTTGACGAGGATGATGCCCAGAGAGGACGGTCCGAAGGCTTTGGTTAGAGTGTCGAATGATACAGTTCCTGCATGGCTTAGCATCTACTCTTTTCTATTCTTTTTTTTAACACACAACTTACCATCCACAAGTTCCTGCAGACTGACAGTAACGGCCTCAGCCGTGTTAGTCGAGTTGATTTCCATGATGTTGTAGAAATCAAAATCAACTTCCCCGCTTCCAAGAATTTATTTAGCGGATCTTCTCCCATTTTCAATATAAAAGGCTCTTCATTTGCACTAAATTCGACACGATGTTACTTGATGCAGGGATCTAAATAATATATCCAATAGGAAGTCGAGAATTCCATATCGTCTCATTCTTATGTCGTATATCGTACAAGCCACATACATCTATTTTACAGAATCCTCACTCGCTACGCCCATGCCGTCTTGTCACAGCCCTTAGATTACCAAATGGCAACACATCGGTAATTCGTTTAGCCCCTGTGAACAGCATACAGAGACGGTCAACGCCACAACCCCATCCACCGGTAGAAGGTAATCCCCACTCCAGCGCTTCGAGATAGCTCTCGTCTACCTCGCCAGCTTCACCAGTAGCCTTGCCATACCGCAGTTGGTCCTCGAATTTGCGGCGCTGCTCGAAGGGCGAGTTTTCCTCCTCGTATGTATTCACCACTTCCTTGCCCTCGATGAACAGTTCGCCGCGCGCGGCGACGCGCTGCTTGGTCGTCGGGTGGATGAAGGATTTGGAGAGTGGGGAGAGGCATTCGGGTGGGTTGATAATAAAGGTTGGATCGATGCATTGCGATTCGACGTAGACACTGCATAGTTCGTCGAGGAGGCGTGGGAGGGTTGGGTTCGTTGGGAGTGGGAGGGAGAGTTCGGTGAAGATGGCGTGGACTTTATCTAGGGCGTCGGGGGATTCGAGGTTAGGCAGTTTGCGACCTGTGGCCTCTTCGATGCCTGTAAGAAAGTCGATGCGGCGGAATGGTGCCGTGAAGTTTGCTGTGGTGGGGTTAAGCGTGCCTGTTGTGTTTAAGGCGCGGATGTGGGCTGCCATGCCGGACAGGAGGTCTTCGGTCATGGTCATTAGGTTCTCGAGGTTAGCGTATGCTTGGTAGAATTCACAGGTGGTAAATTCTGCGTTGTGGGTTTTGTCCAGTCCTATATCTCATCAGCTTTGCTAGATACGTCTTGCTTAGCTGTTCCAACACACCTTCATTGCGGAACGAAGGTCCAATTTCGAAAATCTTTTCAAATCCACCAACCACCAATCGCTTGAGCCACAGCTCCGGTGCAATTCTCAGCGACAGCTGGCGGTCTGGGAACTCAGTGGCGGATGTATAGAACGGACGAGCAATTGCGCCGCCTGCCACAGACCCAATAATCGGGGTGCTGACCTCCATAAAGGACCGGTCGACGAAGAACTGGCGCAGATATTGTACAAGAGCCGAGCGGGCTCGAATGATATCGGCCGTCGCGGGGTTGGCCAGGAACTGGACATGGCGAGGGTACGGAGAGGTCTCGTGCTCGGTATCGTGGACGGGGACATCATGCAGACACGGCGAGAGCAGCTGCGGCAACTCACTCACGTCAATAGTGAGCTCGCCTCGTCCAGTGCGGTGCGGTCTACCGGTTACAGCTATAACAGCGTTTAGCGGGCGATAGAGTCAAGCCGGACGGAGACGAGACATACAGAAAGCGTCTCCGCGACGCAGAAGACGATAGAACTTCTTGAAGTCCTCGGGAGAGACACTCTCCAGACGACGCTTGTTGCACATCACCTGGACTTTATGGCCGTCTTGCACGATATCGAAGAAAATCAATTTGCTTCCGGCGAGTCTATAGGTACGGATTCTTCCTACTATTCTAAGTACATGGGCATTGTGAAGGCCAGAAAGCAGAACCTACCAGAGACGATGACTGTGTCTTCTACTGAATCATTGTCGGCGAGTTTGGCGTAGCGAGAGCGAAACTCAGCGCAGCTCACTGTGCGCGTGTCCACCGCTAGGCGAGGGTATGGGTCTGAGCAGGCATCTTTGATCTGCTGTACGCGCTCCTGGAAGGCCTTTCCAGGCGACGCTGTAGAGCTACTCTTTCGAATTGGCTGTAGGGTTAGTGGTGTAAAGGGTGTCTGAGTACGTGATTGTCTAGCGAGTCGCAGTCCTGCACTGAAGATTCTGGGTCAGCAATGTTCGAGATAATAGAAACAATTAATCCAAAATTAATCCAAAATTAAGCATTAAGCTTTGTCAGATAAAATCCAGTACGTTCAGTGCCCAAAAGGACATCACTGTAGCGGTTCTAATGCGGGGATAAATCATCATATAAGGGGAGATGGGAGATGGTGGGAAATGAGAGAGTAAAACAGTAAACAGTAAATGCAAATCTTACCTGTTTTGCAGGCCAAAGCCAGATAAAGCCCATCTAGGGCGAATTGAAAGCATAGCAAATGCCAATGGCTCTCACATTGTTGAGAGAAGAAGGAGAAGAAGAAGAAGAAGAGAAGAAAAAGAAACGGCAGAACCGAGTTTTTCCACGCGGGTGGCCCAAGCTTCTCCGACCTCCCGAATACGTTGGACTCTCTGGTGTTCTACTCCACATACAATATAGCCTCTCATTACCATCTTCCAATTCTACTTCAAATCACATATACATCATGTCTTTCCTCTTCGGCGGTGCCCCCAAGATGTCCTCGGCAGAGAAGATTGCTGCCGCCGAGACAGAAGTCGAGATGATCTCAGACATGTTCAACCGGTAAGTTGAAGCTTTAATACCCAACTGTGTCTCGATTCAGATATCACAAGACTGCAGAATCCCTATTCCGATCCATCTTCGAACCATCTATATCCTGAAACCATTCTAACTTGTTGCCCGTCCCGAATCATAGCTTGACCGAGTCCTGCACCAAGAAGTGTATTCCCGCCGATTACCGCGAAGGCGACCTCAACAAGGGCGAGTCCGTCTGTCTCGACCGCTGCGTGTCCAAGTTCTTCGACGTCAACATCAAGGTCAGCGAGAAGATGCAGGGTGAGGCCAATGCCAACAAGCAGGGTGGCGGCATGGGCTTCATGTAAACGTGTTGACAACGAAATTTCTTGGGAAGGAGCTCTGGTAGCATTAAGAAGCTAGAGAGCCTGGTGGTCTTTATTTCTGTGTAAGGCTATTTGACTGGTTCGGCCTACTGAATCTGGGCCTGTTTTGAATGATGGTTCACGTTTATACCATCACGGATGGAGGATACGATCACCCGGTCTATCTCTGACTATGTACAATATGGTGGATAAGGGAAAAAAACAGAGAATGAAAAAGATAATATCATACAAGTGTCGTCATTAGGTCGAGAATCCCATGGATCGCGCTATCCATGCGGTCCAGGAAGTGTCGTGCTCTTCCTCGCCTTTGACCAGGGCTTTGATTCTCGTCTCGACATTCACAATGTGACGGTCAAAGTCACTCAGGCCGGCTTCCATGTCCTCAACTTTAGACTCGAGGACGTGTAGTTCGTAGTCCAGTTTGGCGCCCAGCAACTCCACGCGTTTCACGCCATCGGCGAGGTGGTGGCTTTCATCTATGAGGATGTCACTGGATCGTTCGCGCAGTCTCTGGTAGTCGCCGAATCGTTCCAGATAGACTGAGTTGAGCTCTTCGTGGCGGTCATATAGGAGTTGGTTGAGACCGTCCACGGATTCCACTTGTCGCTCAACCCAAGGCACGGTATGCTGGCTCAGCTCTTGAATCCGCGAGCTGAAGATGCGCCCCTCAGAGGCAAGCATGTCTTCTTGAGCGATGGCCTCCTCCAGGTTATCGGTTTCTTTGACCGTTGGTTTCCCGCCTAGCGGCTCCCACTTCAATACCACTTCTTCAACTGTGCTGAACGACAGGTGTCGTGCGCAGAAGTTGTCCCGCCGTTCAATCTCACTTTCAAGGCTTTGGAATTCTTCGTAACTTTGCGGCCGCCGCAGGGCCATGACAGCTATCCCGCTGATCGAACCGTCGCGGTCACGTTCGCGATCCGTTGATGCTGCCGTCGACTGAGACATAACGCGTTCCATATCGGATTCTTCCTCAATGACTGGAGGCTGCTGTGTACTGGGCCAGTCTTGAGCTTGTGTTTCTGGCTCATCTTCTGGTACAGGTTCGATATGGATTTCAGGAGCTTTTCTCTCGGAGTCGGGAGTTGGCGACATTTGAGGCTTCTCTTCCTCCTCAATGAGCTTTTCGATGTCGTTTGATATCTTTCTATCTGACCGGAGCCCAGAGGCAGTCCGCGTTTTTGTTGACGGTGCCTCGTTGTCACTGTCGATGGACGGACGGTATGCAAGATCGGTTGTCAACTCGGAGCTATCTCGTGCAGAATGATGGTGATGGCGAAGGCCCTGCAGGCCCACTGCATCCTTGAAACGCCCTAATCCTGCTCGCGCGTCCGAAACTCGTCCGCTGACGCCCTTCTTTCGGTGGTCTTTCTCTTCAGCGGTCGGTTCCGGTATCTTCCAAGGACGATCGAGCCCAGAGCCTACTCGTTCGGCATACATATCCTCTGTCGAATTTTTCTTGCGACTAGTCCAGACATAACCACCTTGTTCATCGGTGGTAAACATCATATCCGATCCAGTCCCGCGAGTGAACCCGTCTTCAACACCACTCTTGCGCGGTTTGCCCAGCCACAGCCACTTTGCTCTCTCGCCATTGCAGCACTGTACGAATGTGTCAAGATCCAGTGTTTCGATATCGGCAATGCCGCCTTTGTCACGCCCGCGGACCATCCCCATAACCATCTCACCACCTTGTCCACTGAGCTCCGCCATGGTTGATTTCACTGCATCGGTCCAGCCTTCTGCATTGGCAGCCTTGGCCGTGACGCGGTGTAACCGGTCCAGTGTAACTCGATCCAGTCGTCGCGACCGCCTCATTTTTTGAGACTTTTGAAATCCAGCAATTCCTCTTTTCATATTAGGGAAGTCGAACGCGTCTTTCCCCACAGGGGCGCCATAGGCGTGCAGTCGATTTCGAGCTCCGAGCAACGTGCCCAGCAACGCAGCCACGCTGGTAGGTCCTAGGCTGCTGTCGCTTGGCTCAATGTTGTACAGGTCCGTCCCGATATCTGTCCACCAATCGCTAACAGCTGCCTCGGTCACATCACAGAGTAGCCCGTCCACATATTCCGGGGCCAGCTTGTCAAACACCATCAAGGCAATCTGGCACTGTCTGACCAATTCCATGACCGCACTGTACAAAGTAATTCTCTCACTCGTTCGGTACAGCTGATGAAACTTGGCTTCGGTCGCCGCTGAGGGAGGTTGAAGCTTCAAGCCCGCGCGGCCTGCGCACCCAAGTCTCTTTAAGTTTTCATTTACAATAAAGTCCTCCCGGTGTTTCTTTATATCGCCGTCGGGTATTGGAATTAGACTCAGGGCAGAAGGGAATGAGGATAAATCCGTGACCATGACCGTCCCTAGTGGTGTTTCCTTCCTTCTGGCGTGGCATTGCTTCATGGCGTCAAAGTACATCCGTAACCGAGGTGACCATGTAGCCTCATTGGTTGGAACACTCAATACTCCCACAATCACTGTATGCGAAGGGTCACCAGTATAGGTCGAGATGATGAACGTCGGATGTACGCGAGAGCAGGCCCATTGCTCAACGACATAAATTTCGTAGCCTTGCAGTGCTACACGTCGCTGGAGCACATCGGTCGAGGGGTCTTCTTCGAGGTATCGGAGGGCAACCGCATCAGTGAACACTATTCGCTGGTGGCCTTGTGATGGGGGACGTTCGAATCCAGTGGCGTTGGAGGCGGCCTCCGATGGCGTAGAGTCGGTGCGATCGACTGGAGGGACACTCGGGGCGTTGGCCTGCATGATGGCTAATCTCCTATCCAGGCTTATTCGCGAAGGAGACGAGAATGAAAAAAGCGCCGATCATTCAACCCTAAAGCAGGTCACGTCTCCTAAGCTCAAGATGCGAAGGGAGTGCCGACCTTCCTTCGATCCTCCTGCACTCTTGGTCAGGTAGGAACAATTGTGACATATCCAGGCAACAGGGTTTGAGGCATAGTATTCGGCCTAAAACAAGAGGAAAAAGGCAAATGCAACATGGGCGAACGTTCGCCTTGAAAACCACATAAACCTCCCGAAGTGTGCAGAAGTGGCGACGTCATTCTGTACCTGATGGCGGTCAGGTCATGTGACTATGGCTGTCTGGTATTGTAGCCTCAGGCATCACATTATATTGATGTGATACTCAGGACACACTCTACAGTCCTTCCCTCTTCCCGTTAATATTTTCATCTTCTACATATACCCGATAAATGAAAGGCTACAAGACTCGGTCTTTCTTAATTCGAAACCACGTGCTAACTCTACGGCAAGTATAGCACCAACGAGAGAAAAAGTCAATTCAGGACGTTCGACCAGCGAGATGGTACACACGACTCATTTCTAAATAAAACTGTGGCATGATATGAGACTATTAATTCGACATATTTGCTCCAAAATCTCTAGAACTTCCATCTACAATTTACCAACCGCCGTGCTATAGAAACGTCAGCAAAAGACCCATGCGAATGAACGAACTATACATACTCCTCTCTGAGGACCACCGGGACCACCATGTCCGCCATGTCCGCCATGTCCACCCTGGTGTTGTCCAGGGCCACCAAAGCCTCCAGGGCCACCCTGGTGGTGGTGCTGCTGTCCTTGGAATCCACCCTGAGGTCCTCCAAATCCAGGGCCGCCGGGACCGCCGGGACCGCCAGGACCGCCGGGGCCTTGCTGGTGACCCTGCTGGTGGCTGTGGCTCTCGTGGTGCTTGTGATCGTGGTGCTTATCGTGCTTGTCGTGGTGGTGGTGGCTGAAGAGACCCATGACTGATGATGGTATGAGGAAGTGGGGAGGTGATGGATTGATGGACAATGAGATCGAGAGGAAATTTGAGTATGAGTATAATTCTAGAAAGAAAAGGATGAAGAGGTTCCAGGCTGCCCTTTATAAGGACGGAGTGGCGTCACCGACCAGAAGGCTGAAATAGTACTAAGATGCTATGAACTAAGCCTAGTCTTAGATGGGGATAATGGCATCACGTACGACTACCGACGTGGAGCAGTAGAAGCCTATGATTGGGACGAGCTATACCTTCCCTCCACTTGCTAGGAGCATCGATCGATGAAGACGTAAGCAAACCCAACCCTAAATCGATTCCCATCGGTTAATCTGATCGATTCTCTGGGTCGATATATATCTGAGTTCCGGTAGAGTTCTGTTGCGATGTTGAGCGTGTAGTCCTTCAGTCTCGATACCAATAGAAATAGCCAAGCTTCGCAACACAATATTAGCATTTGCAGATTTTCTTGCGCCCTACGAATAGGGCGTCGATTGCTGTTTGGCCTTCAGCCACTAGGCTTGGCGTCAAGGCTATACGTCGATGCGTACGTACGCCACCCACAGGTCCAGCCCTATCAACCACCCTATTGCCAAGTTTCTACCGCCAAATTATTATGTTGTATGAGAGTTTTAAAAGTGTCAAGGGCTATTATCAGAGTTAACTGCTTGTTTTTAGGTCGAGGTCGGTCATAGGCATCATCGCTGGTAAGTGGAATCATTTCAAATAGTCTGTTACGCAAGAAGCAATCCCAAAGAGGAACCATTAACAGGTGTTCCTACCTTTTGAGAGGTTGATTGAGCGTATTTTTATGTAGGTATTGCCATAAGCTAGGAAGAAAGTAACAAAGTCTTGGTATTCGTTTCACGAGCACGGATATATATATATGTACATTTTAACAATGTCGCCAATCGAATCAACGCTAAAAGTCACAGCCAAGCGCCTATACAAAAAGACCAACCAAGCCACGGGCTAAGGCATCAAGTCCGTAGTCATCTCGAGTTGCTGATATCCCTTTGGATTGTGGAGATTCCTTTGAGCTGACGGCATTAGGTCGACAATCAAAGAGAGAATATAGCCAGTGAAGACAAAGGCGATGACTGTGGAGCGAGTTAGTACAATATAAGGAAGTGGAGAGGTGGAGACCGAATATACTCACCCCATTCGAGAGTAGCCGCCATGTTATTCTGCTGGTAGTGGGTATGCTCCGTGATCCGGAAGACAATAATGAGGGCAAGCTCAACGACAATGAACGAAGATTTGATCACAAAACTTGTCATGAGCATAGGCTCCCGCAGAGCATGTGCTATGCCTAGGTAAATATAATCCAAGCACATCAAAGCCGCGCTAACTAGGAACCCGACGCTAGAGCTGTCAGTACATTGTAACGTATAGGTATGTCGGTCTTGGCGAGGGACATACATGAAGATCGTCACGCAGACATCGTGCATGAAGTGGTGGGCGATGTTGTCTAAGACGGAGAGCATAACCAAGCCGATACTCCCAACGATTGTGAAAAGGAATGAACCGTGCGTGCACGCCTTGTTGATATATGATTTGTTTTGAACATGTTGGTAGAAGGAGAGGTTTAGAAGTAGGACTGTCGTGATGCATCCGATCATGAATAATGGCTTCAATTCCTGAGCCCCAATATCTGAAATGAATCTGCACGAAGCTGTTAGTTAAATCTTGGCATGATCATAGGGATGACCCAAGGGGGCAAGGCGGCGTGTGCTCACGGTATATTTTGACCAGGCTTCATCAGGCCGTATCTCGGTTCACCGATCATAGTCCAGTGGCCCAACATAGCGAGTAGCATTGCTAAATCCAGTATTAGATCAATGCCCAACACAATCGTAGACAATTGAAGAGCTCACCTAGCCAGGTGGATGCAGCTACGGTCGGAAAGACCCAGGAAGGGGGCGACATCATGGTGTGTGCGTATAGCTAAGGAGAGTGTTTTGGAGAAGCAGGCATAGTCTTGTTATAGCGACAGTATCAAAGAGCATGGGCTGGTGAAGTTGGATACCAGCCACATCTCTTTACTCGAGCAGTTGACAAAGAGAGAAAGTGATCCTGACGTTGGGAATCAGGCAACGAGAGAGACTGTGCCTGTCGATCCCTGCTCTCGTGCCCCTATGACGAAGGTCAGTTATGGTATGTGGGTCTATGAGGAATTGGTAACCCCTTGATGATTGTTTCGTGTAAAAAGCACATGTTTCGTATTCGTATATCAAAGGAAGAAGTCCGTTTACAAATTTAGCACAAAGCTCGTGTACCATTTATGTCGCTTCCTTGAAACGTGAAGCGAGATAATGAATTTGGCATGCTTTGACTGGTGTCTGAGCACGCGATGAAAAATCTGATTGCCTGTTGATCTGCCGATCTCCATAAAATAGTGAATTGAGAGACTGGTTAGTACGGAGTAGTATATATCTTTCAGTACTGTTGGTGGGGCCGGGGCTGGGGAGATGTTAGTGTTGGAAAAGCAAGGTATCACGTATATCGTATGGAGTACGATACCCCAGATGCGGAGGTGAAAGCATTCCTCTTGTGCATCAACAAAGATTGGACTCCGTATTCTCATTGTACCCATCGTCTGTAGTGTATCAGAGTTGCATCAAACGCCACTCTGTATTCCCTAGCAAGCCTCGGAGGAACTGGAACTAGGGTCTGAAAGAAACTCCGATGAGCATTCGGCCGGCCTCGAATCCAAGTGTAAGACTAGAACAGCCGGTTCCCTGACTGCGACCGTACCGATATGAATTCAGGTACCGACTTCTTGGGAGAGAGATCGATAAGAACAGAGTATCTGTCGCTTCGATATTGGACATATCATAGGGGCATGGGGGGGGGGGGTTAGACGGAATCCAGGATCCTTCCGACAAGTTCGATGCTCAGAATGAGGTTCTTGGCTGGCACGCTGTTTTGGTCTGGTTCGGCCTTGTTCGACCTGGTACGACAGCACCGCAAGCTCACGGTCGGAGAAGAGGACGGGATCTGCTTTGTTGGTAGGGAATGTTGTCAGTAGTACCTAGACTGAAACATTGAAGGTTAGTGATACGTTAGTGACTATAATTCCATGATAGATTAACACATGTGCAGCTAAAGTGGACATCTGGAGCCCCATTGAAATGGAGGAGTGAGGATTCCGTATTGATAGCGTACTCCGTAGGGTGCCACCATTATTACACCCCCTGAAACATTCTCCATCTCAAATCTCAGGTAGATTGTATCATTGGGGCAGTGCTGAGACTTAGCGATCGTCAGTTAAAAGTACAGGTGGCGATAAGCAGAAAGCGACTTTCCAAGGTTCCAACCAGGAACTGCCCAACACAGCCGGAGACAGCTTCTCTCACAGCTCTAATGGACGGAAGACTAGAGGCGAGACTAGCTAAAATGGACATCGGTGGGTCCAGCTACAACGCGGATACGAGGCCAACGCGACTCACCAGGACAACAAAAGACGCGATATGAATGTTTTGTTTTTTTGAAAAATTTTCACCGGGAATCTATATTGTAGAGGCTATCTAACAAAATCTCTTCTCTAAGAGCCACCAGCATGGGTAACAAGTAGTGAAAAGACTTCAAGATACTCGAGGGTGACTGAAGGGTCTCCCATCGAAGCATCAAGTTCAAACTCGAAGACCAAGAAGTCAAGGAGTTGAGGCAGTGGTATTTCAAAAATTCCCAAGGTTCCCGAAGGCCCACTTGAAGCAGTCAATTTGGTAGTTTTCAACTAGCAAAAACACGATCTCGGATGTCTCCTCACTGATACGTGTAAAACCCGTGCACTAGGATGGAGAAGAAAAGAAAAAGAGAAGGAAGCTCGGGGGGCAGGACCAGGTATTTATAATTTTCCAGTGGCTTAGGGCAGCGGCAAAAAAGGGGCAGGCGACGAGTCCGCAATAATAATTATCCGAACATTGTCGGCCGTAAATAGCCGTAAATAGCCGAGGTTGTCGGAGTTGGAACGGAGTTAGGGCATGTGGAAAGCGGTGTGAGGTGGCAAAATTGAGCGAGCCATGAGTGTGGAATTTTCCACATCAGAGCTAGGTGGTAGGAAGGTATAGAGAACTGGGGCTCATGGCCTTGGAGTTGTTACAGTACATATGTAAACAGCACCCATGGATTGGGATAGATTATCATATTATCATGTTACGGAGGAGAGACATGTTCAATGAGTGAATCCGGCGAGATCGGTGTCAATATGAGGGGGCTGCATCCCCCAGGAACATATGTAATTTGTACACATGTCTAGTATTTATGATTTTCACATTCATTGAACACTAAAGGAGTATCCATGCTCATCGACTATGTACCCTTGGCTAAAACCCTCTTCATCCGGATGGAGGGGTTGAATCACGTGGGAGATCACCCGGAACAGCTTGTCTCTCTGGGTGGCTTCAACCGGTTTTCTTCTCTCACTATTGTCTTCTATCTGCATCAGTGTGAAACAAAGATATTCCTATTGCCTCAATATATTGTATATTGTATCCATTTTGGAAGGCGCCGAGATAAAGAGCTCTTATCTGAAGTTCTCCACATGGCGAGACTCGGTAACCTCTTCAGTCACCTCCGAGCCTGTCAACCGAACCACATCTGCAATGGATGTAGTGCAGAAAGAACACAGCCGACTCCTCAAGAGGACTGAGGCCTCTCAGGGCATCAAGAATGTTCAATCTGCAATTGATTCACTGCAGGCTGCTCGCGATGCCATAGCTGCTGGTCAGTAGCCCAAGTAAATGTGCTCCCGCTAGGTTCCTCAACTGACGACATCGATTTCTCCATAGATCCATCCGCTGCCTCTGCTACCCTAGCCTCCCTTCAGAACTCGGTCAAGTCGTCCTTTGACTCTATCAATGACAGCTTGAAAGAGACTCACAGTGGCCTCAACAAGTACACCAAATCTCTAGATAAGGTATCGAGAGTACTGATCATCCGTGCGTTGCCACCCATCTAACATCGGAACAGCTTTTCAAAGATCGACCACTGCCCAGCACCGATGACGATGGCCTCTCTTCACACGAAAGCCTCATCAACCGCGCCATCGCCATGCATCTCCTTCGCGAAGGCCAGTTCGCCGTGGCCGCCACCTTCCTCTCCGAGATTGCCGAGCAGAAGACGATATATCCAGTCACCCAGAACGGGTGTGGACCGTCCAATACATCCGCCAGCCTGCTCGATATTGACGAAGTGCCTTCGACCGAGATCCGGAAACAATTCGCCTCGATGTACTATATCCTACAACAACTACAAGAGAACCGGAATTTACTGCCTGCGATCGAATGGTCAAGGGAAAACCGCGAGGCCCTGGAAGCCCGAGGCAGCAACCTCGAGTTCGAGCTCTGCCGACTTCAATATGTATGGCTGTACCACGGCGGAGCGAACAACCAGGGAACCGCAAGCGGATGGCTGGCTGCGCTCGAGTATGCACGACAGGAGTTCCATGTGTTTGTGCCTCGATACCTGAGAGAAGTTCAGCAGCTAGTCGGCGCAATGGCGTACTCGCCCAACCTGGGCGGGTCGCCATATGCGGCTTTGTTCAACAACACGTCGGCCTGGGATGACGTAGCTCACTTCTTCACCCGCGAGTTCTGTTCTTTGTTAGGCCTTTCAGCGGACTCGCCGCTGTATATTGCTGCTACAGCAGGCGCCATCGCTCTGCCGACGCTTTTGAAGCTACAAACGATTATGAAGTCGAAGCGAACGGAGTGGACATCCGAGAATGAGCTTCCGGTAAGGAAATCGCTACTCTGTATATGTATGAACGCTAATATTTGTATTGTCAGGTCGAAATACCCCTGCCTCCTCAATATCTCTTCCATTCTATCTTTGTCTGTCCAGTGTCAAAGGAGCAGGCGACCGATGAGAACCCTCCTATGATGATGCCATGTGGACATGTCATTGCGCAGGAATCGTTGAAACGCCTGGGCAAGGGTAATCGGTTCAAATGCCCGTATTGCCCTAGCGAAAGTCATCCCAAGGATGCCAGGAAAGTATTCCTATAGCGTAGGTCTTCCCTTTCTTTCTTTCTGTTTCTTTCTTTCTTTCTGTTTCTTTCTTTGTCCTCATTCCTGGGCTTTCTGTGGCAAGTGGCGATCGGATGGGTAACTTCGGGAACACTGGGTCTTGTCAAGGGCGTTTAGCGTCGGCGTTAAGGGGCTCATCTGTTGGGACATTGCAATGCAAGTCCATTCAAAGCTGTACGGACCACTGCGATCTAATTCGAACCTGAGATTCGAACACAAGCGAGTTCATAAGTAAATCAACAACATCGCCATTCCAAGGCTGTTGCCCAATGGACGTATCAATTCCAACAAAGAGAGAAGATCAGAATTTGCCTCGGATGCGAGGCAATAATCCACCGCTATCCACAACTCTTTCCCAAATGGGAAATCGTAATTTCCTTTGTCTCAACGGCGGCGTATAATTGGCCAAACCCAGACCCGTGACCACGCGCCCATTTGGCGACTCGAAAAAACCCCTTTACGCGGTCGAAACTAGTTGTGACGCGTCTTTCGCTGAGCTCTGCCCTTCTACGCAGGCTAATTGGAGCTATCCAGTAGATAATCCGTATGAGAACCGTCCCACGTGTAATCTTCACAGACAAGATACCAGTGAGTACGATGTGACTTGTCTCAGTAACAAACGGAAGCTTGCTTTCTTCTGCCTTTTATAAATAGTACCCCATCTGCCCCCTGAATCCATCCACAGCTATCTCTGTATTCTCCCCAATCCCGTCTCCTATCCAGATCATAATATAATAGCAATGTTGTCCAAAAGAGCACCAGAGAGGCCAATTCCAGGCCAGTATCGCGCCGCAAAAGCTTCAGCTTTCACGCTCCAGTCGCGCAGGGTTCCCCGCGAGAGGACCAGAGACCGAGCACCCAAAGACAAAGAGCGGGATAGCTCAGGCTCAGGCTCGGGCTCAATCAGTAAGACTCGACGACTCGAGCAGCGTCGAAGATTCGACAAACCCCCCAGACGTAACGTAAGTCCTGCCCACAGCATGGATGTATCCTCATCATTTTATGCACCAATCCATAAGCCAACCGCTAACCCAACACAGAGAACCCCCAACAAGCCCAATAGTAATGCTCCGCGTGGGCCCGGAAAAGCGCCTCTTCGCCGCCCACGAAGCCATCCTCCGCGCATCCCCCTTCTTCGCCGCGCACTGCACAGCCCAAACACCAAACCCGGATGCGCCACGGCCCAGACTCCCCCACCAACCACCAAGCAAGCGCATCGACCTCCCAGACGAGCAAGCCGAGGTCCTCTCCTGCGTCCTCGAGTACCTCTACAAGGGCGACTACTACCCGCGTCTGCGACACAACAGCCGGACGCAGACATGGGAGCTGGAGGACGCAGACGCAGGAGTTGGCGCGGGCACTAGTGGGGAATCGGGACAGGCGACGGCGACGGTGTTTCATCATCGGGCGCGGGGGGTGATATTACGGGATACGGCGATTTAGTAAGTGATTTGTTTATTTATTTTCGTTCTGGTTATGAATTGGGCGGAATGTTTCAAAGGACGACCGTGTACTAACATGTTTCAACAGCTGCGCAGCGGAAAAATACAACCTCCCCCATCTCCAGCGTCTCGCGCTGCGTAAGCAGGGCCTGCACACGGGGATCCAGTGCAGTACGATTCTTGCGAGTGCGCGGTTCGCGTATGCTGACACGCCGGACACGGACTCGAAGTTGCGGGCGCATTACCTTGCGCTGATTGTGAGGTCGCGGGGCACTTTTATGCGCTCTGGGACTATGCAGGCGGAGATGGAGCGTGGGGGGAAGATGTTTTTTGATCTTTTTGTTGCTTTGTGTAATCATATGGTGAGTTTACTTTCTATGGGTTTGGAGGGATGAGGTGCTAATTTGGTTCACGATTAGGATGATTATACTGGTCAATCGGTTGAGAGTTCGGCTGTTACGACACACTGCTAGGGTTCATCAGGGTTCTGAGGTGGTAAGTTGATTGTTGGCTCTTGACTAATTGCGCGTTTCCATTCTATATCGCTGCTGGCAGTGTCTTATACCCTTGTACTACTATGTTTCAATATCTACAGAATAAAGAGCATGTTTTGAAGTTGTCAAGTCCTCGGAGTAATGGATTCGTGAATTCGTAAAGATAGGATCTAATATAGTTCAGCTAGCCCAATTCTGATAATTCTCATGTGTTAGGCAAGCGTGGACTCGATGACACTGGTGAAGCTGATGCTTCGATCCGAGCGATGACCAAGTATGCTGCTGATGTGCAATGTGCATCGCGTCAGGCCAAATGTCTCCGGCAGTGGTAGCGGCTGACAAGTGTTCTAGTGTGCCGAATGATATAGCTGCATGTATGAATGTAAGTCATAGGCGGATGCATACCTAGCGACTTTGAAGGTACTGGCAACCAACGAGGGAGTTGTCAATGAGCATTAGACGAAATGAGGTTCAGATACGCTGCAGTACGTCCTTAGACACCTGTGCCCGGGAAAGCGCTGCCTCCCTTGCTCAAAACGATGATGCCTCGATCACGTGCAATGTATCCTTTCATGAGTCCCTGAGGAAGCGACATGGTCAGTAAGCACTCACTGATTTACCATACTTATCAGCCTACCTTGTAGATGAGGTTCGAGAGTAAACATTCCACCTCGTCGATATCAATGCGCGATCGACCGCTGGTAGAAGTACCCACACGGAGAGCGGCCGCAAATTCGTTCACATGGACACGCGTACGTCGAACCGGAGATTGACCTTCCTTGGGTTCATCGAAACCACCAGCGAGGAAAACCTTTCGGAACAGATTGCGCAAGGCAATGTCGCGGCCACGTTCTAACGGCAGGTAGATACGTCTCTTCACAAACTCTGCCTCGCCGTCAGACATGGCCTGGTCGAATCCAACCAAGTCACCTTTTCGGATGCAGTTCGACAGAGGCCGGAAAAGCTTCTCGAGTCGTGGGAATGGTGCGAGAAGCTCCTTAGTGGGAAGTGTGTGTGGTCACGAGGTGACAAGGAATAAGGTAGGTAAGAATCAATCTAATAGTGGTTAGTGGAAACATAACTGTAGCTGAGGCCTACTAACTCTCGATTCTTGATTGCGTCTCGATGGCACATTTTCCAAGCGTATGTCAGGTGTTCTTCGGCCTATTTTGCAAATAATCAGTCCCGGTAATAGTCCACGAACACAGCACTTGGTAATACCTCTGCGTAATTCTCATCCAGGAAGTGGATGACCCCAACATAATATTCGAACGTGACAATGTGGGATTTGGGGAAAACCTCGGGAGGGGGAAGATCGGCCGATGAAGCGCTGATAGCACGGAGCAAGTTCTTGGTAAGGCCGACGGAGTTGATCTGAAGGGGAAAGTTTAGCACTTTGCTAGTGACAGTGAGGCCGACATTTGATACCTTGAAGTATGTCTTGAATAGGAGGTTGGTCATGTTGTAGATACCCCACTTGCGGGACTCTTCAAGGGGGGCTCTGGGTTTGGTTAGCAACGGAACAACTCAAGAATCGAATCACATCATTACCTATCACTCAGACACAGAGTGAACATCCGGTTGATGACCCGAGCAGCCTCCTCCAAGTTCGCGTTCTTTTCAACATCAGCTGCGATGTCATCCTGGAACCCAAACCCAGCGGAGCCTTGAGATGCAGCCTCGAGATCGGCATTGATCGCAAAAGTACGCATGTACTTCCCGACTGTGTACAAGCATGGCAATGTCCAAGCCGGAATGCCGGCAGGGCCCGAGTATCCCCGGATGAGGGCATTGGCAACCTTTTTCCAGGAATTGAAGACCGCAACGACGCTAGCACCCGGGATGCGATCTTCACATCGAAGTATTTCGCCTATAGCTTCCCAGTAAGCAGCAAAGATGTCAACCCAGGCAGCCTGTTCCGCCTTTGGTAATTTCAGACTTTTCCCGTGGAAAAGACCATAGCTGAGATCCTTGGAGAGATATTCGGCGGTGGAGAAGTTGTAGAAAGAGCGCAGCCGACCGGGATCTTCAGATGGCGCGATCGGGGTGAGTACTGCAGCTAATTCCGGGCCAGACCCGTTGAGGTATGCGTTCTTGAATGCGGGCGCGAGAGAACCGAGAGAAGTCATGGTGAACTGCCCTCTGGCAGAAGATTGAATAAATTGATTGACAAGTTATGAGTTGAAATGAAGCATTCGAGGTGGGGAAAGGGTTGAGATCCGACCCGACAAAGACAAACAAGTGAGGAACGCCATACTTTTGGAGAAGACATGTGGGGAAGGCGAGGCAATGTGGCTGATGAGTTGTGGCGGAAAGATTGTGGCGCAGTTAAATTACCAAATGGGACTAGCGCAAAACGGAAAGCCTCCACTCGCTTAGGGCAAGGGCGGCAACCCTAAGCACAATTGGAACCTCACAATTCTCATTTTCCATCGACGGCACACTAACGACTCATCCACCACAGCGACAATCACAGTGAGTACCTACCATACGATTTTTCTCGAAGATTTGTACTAACATTAAACTCTTCCAGATGGGTGAGTGATTTCTATTCCCTTTCCGATACCCCAGGACTATTTTCGAGACAACGGTGCGCGCATATGTTTGGAGGGAATTCGAGACGCAAAGACCCCCACGATATCGACTTGGGACAATCACAGAAGAGGAGGACGCAATGGCAAATCGACGTCGCTTGGAATTGTTTATGAAGGAACCCAGAACGCTGTCGATCAGGGCTACGCATGGTTGAAACTCGAATTTTTTTTCTCAATATCCACAAATCACCTTTGGTCTTCTCGAATTATCGCCAAATTACATCGCGCACCGTTTTATCTCTCGAACTGAACATTTGGGCAATTGGAATATCCACTACGAACTATGACTGACGGATTCCCAGGGCGTCTTACTGAGTACCAGGTCATCGGGCGTCACCTGCCCAACGAGGCGAACCCCACGCCCAAGCTGTACCGCATGCGCATCTTTGCGCCCAACACTGTTGTGGCCAAGTCGCGTTTCTGGTACTTCATGGCCCAGCTCCGTAAGCTCAAGAAGGCTAACGGCGAGATCGTTTCCCTGAACGTGGTATGTTGGGATTGAATATTTGAGGATATGGAATGGTGCTTATGTTTTCGTGTCTAGATCGAGGAGAAGCGTCCCCTCAAGGTCAAGAACTTCGGTATCTGGATCCGCTACGACTCGCGCTCCGGCACCCACAACATGTACAAGGAGTTCCGTGAGATGAGCCGCACCGACGCTGTTGAGGCCCTCTACCAGGACATGGCTGCCCGTCACCGCTCCCGTTTCGGTTCCATCCACGTATGTTACGCTATCCGAACCATCCGCCAATGACCACATTCTAATGATTATTTTACTACAGATCCTCAAGGTTGTTGAGATCGAGAACAACGACAGCATCCGCCGCCCCTACATCAAGCAGCTCCTCCAGAAGGACCTCAAGTTCCCTCTGCCCCACCGCGCCGGTGGCAAGGTCGGCAAGAAGGTCTTCGCCTACTCTCGCCCCTCTACCTTTGCTTAAATGTGATGTTCTGGGTGTTGGGTTTGGAGTGTGTGTGGATGAATGACTGTTTATGGCCATAGCATGCATGAAAGATGGTCACGTGGAGACCACCGCCCTGTTCACGGGTGAGATGGTTGGATGTCTCTAGTTCCCCGTATGGTGGCATCTTTAGGTTATTTGAAAAAATCATCGGGTTTCTTGAATTATTCGAGTTCTAGTAGGGTAAAGGGCATACCATGAAGAGTAGGCCTATTTGATAGGTGCTGGGGCATCATATCGAAGATATATCGACCTGAAATAATGGCTGTTGTCTGATATGTTTCAAGTCAGTCCCGAGGTCCATTCACAATGCCCAGGTGTGGTCGGATGAATGTACACAAGGTAGTTGTTGCAAGTCGCTTACTGCTGGTCATAATATCTCATTGCGAACTACATACATATAGACCCATGGGAATGAATAATATCATATCAAACACTCATCGATTCTATCTGCATATTACAATTTCAATCCTGAAGGAGTAAGTGTCAGATATCGGAGTTTCTTCAGTCACGCCCGAGGCCGGGCCCCGAACCTTGATGCCCTGCAGGTCAGGCATTTATCGGTATCTTCAGCTGCCATTTTAGTTGCGAGTCTTTCATTTAGCCTGCAGTAAAGCTGCTTAGTTTGAATATTTTGAGTATCTTTACTCAAACATTGGTCTTTGCAGCAGTACAGGAACCTATTGCGTCATTCGAAATCAGGTCGGGAGGGAGCTGTCCGCTTTCGCGTTTGTAAGCCGACTTCTTCCCGCGGACATTCCAGGGTTCACCAGGTTCCTTTCCCTCTTACCCCATCTTCCCCCAATTCATTACAATGTTTGCTCGTCAATCTTTCCGTTGCGCGCAGCCCTTGAAGCAGGTTAGTTGAAATATGTCCTCAATTCAATACCCATACTAAACGCTATTTAAATTAGAGCTTCCGCAAATACTCTGCGGAGGCCGCTCCCAAGAAGTCCAACTTGACCCCCATCTATGTTAGTGTCGGCCTCGCCGGTCTCGGTGCTGGTGTCTACCGCTACAGCAACGGCGCGGTTACCGAGCCCAAGGACCGCCCCAAGGTCTTCAACGGCGAGGACTGGGTGGATCTCAAGCTGGCTAATATTGAGGTCCTGAGCCCCAACACCAAGCGTCTTCGCTTCGAGTACGACGATAAGGAGGCAGTCTCTGGTCTTCCTGTTGCCTGTGGGTATTCTGACTCCGATGATGCTTGCCAATCGACCACTAACAGGCATATAGCTGCTCTGTTGACCCGTTTCAAGCCCGTGGGTGCCGAGAAGAACGTCCTCCGTCCCTACACCCCCACCAGTGATGAGGGTAGGATAAACATGAACCACAACTTATTCCTCATATTCTAACACATGGCAGATATTCCCGGCTACCTTGAGCTCGTCGTCAAGGCCTACCCCAACGGCCCCATGTCTCAGCACATCCACTCCATGAACGTCGACCAGCGCCTGTCGTTCAAGGGACCTCTTGTCAAGTACCCCTGGGAGGCCAACAAGCACAACCACATCTGCCTGATTGCCGGTGGTACTGGTATCACCCCGATGTACCAGCTCGCCCGCGAGATCTTCAAGAACCCCAAGGACAAGACCAAGGTCACTCTGGTCTTCGGCAACGTCTCCGAGGAGGATATCCTCCTGAAGAAGGAGTTGCAGGATTTGGAGAACACCTACCCCCAGCGCTTCCGTGCCTTCTACGTCCTGGACAACCCCCCTGAGGGCTGGACCGGTGGCAAGGGCTACATCACCAAGGAGCTGCTGAAGACCGTCCTGCCTGAGCCCAAGGAGGAGAACATCAAGCTCTTCGTCTGTGGCCCTCCTCCCATGTACAAGGCTATCTCCGGTGGCAAGGTCAGCCCCAAGGACCAGGGTGAGCTCACTGGTATCTTGAAGGACCTTGGTTACAGCAAGGAGCAGGTCTTCAAGTTCTAGGTTATTATAGAATATTACCTAGAATAGCCATGTATATTGGTGCATCTTGTTTTCAGCGTGTTGCCGGGTCATTGGCTGGCTTCAGACGTCATATTAAGAAATACATTTTGTCTCCGAATATATATAATGTGTATCTGGTAGTTGTATTTATCCGTAGCAGTATAGACATATGAAGAACCGAATATTCTCTTCCTTTTTAAAAAAAGGAAAGAGACGGGGAGTCTGTGATGAAGATGGGAAGGGTGGTGGATATATATGTGCACGCCAACTGAGAATCCCTCAGTAGAATCGACATATAACTAGCAAAAATCGTCCCAAGTAATTATCTATACAGTAGTAGAACGATAAAACAAACAAACATGCACCCGAAATGTATCCAATAATTGCATGCAAGCTATATAAGTTGCCCCCAAGAGCCGACATACATGCATGTATACATAAAGTACCTACTGGTAGCTAAGCGACAAGACTAGACACTTCATATGTAGACTATAAAAGTACAATGAACCATTGCGGAGAGAAAAGAAGAACCAAAAAGGCAGCTAGAACGAATTGAATTAGGAAGTCAGAACAGGCGTTCGTACTACAAGCTGGAAACACCTTGTACTCAGCTGAGCCCCTCTTCTACAGCCTGGGCTTGGGCGACCCTGAGGTTGAGATGTCGGCGGGGGGAGCATAGCACACACCTGAACATGCCCCAGCCCCTCCAAGAAAAGAGAAAAAAGAGCAGGAAAAAAACAGTAGAATTGTGAAGGAATAGGCGTGGAATAGAATAAAAAGACCCGGGAATTTATATAAATAAATAATATAGTTAAACTATATATAATTGTTTCCTTAGCATAAGCAAGTACCTGGCGTGCAAGTATATGGGCCATGGGTTACCTACCCCTCGGGACCCCCCTAAGAGCCCGTCATCCAACCTTTGAAGGTACCTACCTAGGTAGGTAGTTACGTATCTATTATTAATTTAGCCCTATAACATTGTATATTATTATAGAAGGAATATTATGGATCTAAAAAATGGAATTTAATACCTCCGTATGTATATATGAGTAGAATAGTATAAGGAGGTGCACTAGGGGTGCAGTGCTATGGGTCTCATGACAAGCCAGAGCCTAAGCCTAAAGCAGAGTGAAAATGCCCGGGGCACTTCGGGGTGGCCTTTTGCTATTTAGTGGGTACTCGGCCCTTCCACCCCCCGGTCCTCTTCCCCCCCTTCGCCCCCGAAAAAAATAACAAAATTCTCTTTTTCTTCCAACACTCCTCGGCCTCCAAAAAGACAATGGCTTCCAATCAAGATGATACGACCGTTCAGGTCAACAAAGAAGAGCTCAGACGGGCTGGCGACTTGGTAATTTTCCATTTCATTATTTTTTACTTTTGACTTTTGCATTTTCTTTGTTTCGGTTCTTTTTTTCCTGTTTTCTTGTGTGCATCCCCACTGCGCGCCTGCTACGCGTCGCGTGGGAGCATCTATAAAGCTACCTATTAAGCTGTTGAAGCTTAAATTATACTGTCTCTTACTTGAGCAGCATGTTGGCAAGCTTCATCTGCAAAAAAGAAAGAAGAATTCCCACCATTTCCCTCCCTCCAGAGCTGAGGAGCGTCTTGACATCACACCTCTTGCCAACTAACGCGCTGCCTGACTGCCACTCTTCCTTCGCTAACCCTATACCCATACATATACCTAATGACCAAGCGCAATTACTCCTGCAATCAGACCGCTAACAATGCCTGATAGATCGTCATGCGCCTGATGGAGGTGCAGTCTTACATCGCCGACCTTGGCAAGGCCTACGTCCAGCACGTGAACAACATCACCGAAGGACGTGATGCCACCATTGAGCTTCCCGCCGGTCCCTCTGGGTTCATGGGCCACGATGTCCCCTTCCGCGCCGGCAGCCCCGGCGCCAAGTCCGAGGCCGGTGGTCCCAAGAAGCGCAAGCGCGCGCCTGTCGACCCCAATGCGCCCAAGCGTGCCTTGACCCCCTACTTCCTGTATATGCAGCACAACCGCAGCAAGATTGCCGATGACCTGGGCGGTGACGCGCGCCCCAAGGATGTCGCCGACGAGGGCACCCGCCGCTGGCAGAGCATGGAAGATACCCAGAAGGAGGTATGTATCGGCATCTATCAGAGCAGTTCTAGCTTGATATCACTTGTAAGTATGCATAGCTAATGTATCCGCATAGGTCTGGAAGAAGATGTATGCCGCCAACTACGACCAGTACAAGCGCGACATGGCCGCCTACAAGGCCGGCGGCAAGGTCGACGAGGAGCACGATCCCGCCGCCAACCAACTGCAGCAGGATTTTGCCGGCGCCGAGCCTGAGGCCGAGGCCGAGCCCGAGGCTGAAGCTGAAGCTGAAGCTGGGCCCGAAGAGTCCGCCGATGAGTCCACCGAGTCATCCGATGAGTCGCAGTCCCCCTCTCCTGTGAAGGAAAAGACTCCCCCGCGCAGCACTACCAAGCGCCGCCGCAGCGAGAACAAGGCCAAGGAGGCCGAGACCCCTGCCAAGTCGCCTGTCAAGCGGGGCCGTAAGGCTGCCGAGCCGGTGTCCACACCGGCTGTCAAGACACCCGCTGAGAACAAGCGCAGGAGCAAGAAGCGCAAGAGCGAGGTGTAAATGAGTTGATTGGTGCTTTCTGCTTTCTGATGTTTGATTTGCTTGACTCTTGGGTCAGATGAGATGGTCCAGGTCTGGTGGACTGGATGTGTAACCCCCCGGTTTTACATTTTTTGAGCGGCGTTTGGGGAAAACTGTACCTACTTAGCTTGAATTAGTGAAATGGACTGATCATAGGATGTGGTTTCTATATATTTGAGTCAGTATCCATGGCAGGTTAGGGTTACATAGTTACCTCTTAGATAAGTCGTTAGTAGAAGGTTTTAAGATGAAGATGGTATTTCCCACCAGAGCTATACAACGAGTTATAAATATAGAACTAAATAGAAGCAAATTAAAACCCAGAACAGACTAAACCTCACTAAACCTCACTAAATCAACTAAATCAACTAAAACCTCACTAAATCCAAGCGCATTATCAATTTACCAAAGCCTTGACTAATGCCGCCGACCTCCGTCCCCGGCCCAATCGGCCTCCACGCTCACTTATCATGGGCAACCTTATCAGTGGAATCAAATGTTTGAAATGTACCGCATCCCCACATTCCTACTTGACTTCCTTTTGATCTTGAATTGTCTTTTTACTCCTTCACTTACTCTTGAGGTATTCAAAAGTTGAATACTGCCTCAAAAACTGATTATCCTGCACGCCAAGAACTGCCAGGTTCAGGTTCCACATGAACCATGCAGCTTATTCCGAAGGAGGTAAGTCGCACATACATTCTCCGAGACACAACACTACTAACACCCCTGTAGCTTGACAAGCTTACCATCGCCCACCTAGGCTTCTTGGCACAGCGTCGTTTAGCACGTGGAGTGCGGCTCAACCATGCAGAAGCTGTGGTATGTGTATCTTCTGGAGATGTCTACGGGTAGCACACGATCATTAACACATCCCCCAACAGGCCCTGATAGCCTCAGTGCTACACGAGGTACGATAACCCCCAATTCCATATGAAATCAGCACGTACAATATACCCAATTAATCCAATGCGCAAACTAACACTCAAACCCCGCAGTTAATCCGCGATGGCCACTACTCCGTCGCCGATCTAATGTCCATCGGCAAAACAATGCTCGGCCGCCGCCACGTCCTCCCCTCCGTATTGGCAACCCTCGTTGAACTCCAAGTCGAGGGTACTTTCACCTCCGGTACCTACCTAGTAACCGTGCACCACCCAATCAGTAGCGACGAGGGCGATCTCGAACGCGCCCTGTATGGCAGTTTCCTGCCTGTCCCCGCGCCTGAGGCATTCCCAGACCCGGACCCGGAGGATTTCAAGCCGGAGAAGATGCCCGGCGCGGTTATTCCTGCTAGACATACGCGTGTGGAATTGAGTTCTGGGAAGAGGCGCATTAAGCTTAAGGTTATGAGTAAAGGAGATCGGCCGATTCAGGTGTGTACTTTGTATTCGATATCCGAGGCGGAAAGGTAAAGGAAAGCGACTCGAAACGAGTGATGCTAATCGTAGTGGTGATTGCTAGGTCGGATCGCATTACCATTTCATCGAGACGAACCCGCAGCTGCACTTTGATCGCGTGCAGTCGTACGGTTTCCGACTGGATATCCCCGCAGGCACATCGATTAGGTTTGAGCCCGGCGATACGAAGACGGTCACGCTCGTCGAGATCGGTGGACATCGCGTCATCCGCGGTGGAAATTGGTTGGCGAATGGGCCGCTGGATATGAGTCGTGCCGACGAGATCACGACCAAGCTGCAGATAGCTGGGTTTGGGCATGTGCCGGAGCCGCAGGCGGATAGTGCGCTTGTTTCTGGGTTCTCAATGGAGCGCGAGGCATACTCGCGCATGTTTGGTCCTACGACGGGGGATCTGGTGCGGCTTGGGTTGACGGATTTGTGGATTAAGGTTGAGAAGGACATGACGAATTATGGGGATGAGTGTGCTTTCGGTGGAGGGAAGACGCTGCGCGAGGGGATGGGACAGGCATCTGATCGGTCTCATACCGAGTGTATTGATACTGTTATCACGAATGCGTTGATTATCGATTGGACGGGTATCTACAAGGCTGATATTGGTATCAAGGACGGGCTTATTGCTGGTATTGGCAAGGCTGGCAACCCGGATGTCATGGACGGCGTGCATCCTGATTTGGTGGTGGGCTCGTCTACGGATGTCATTGCCGGAGAGAACAAGATTGTTACCGCTGGTGGTATCGACACGCACATCCACTTGATCTGCCCGCAGCAGGTGGATGAAGCTCTGGCCTCGGGAATCACCACTTTCCTCGGTGGTGGCACTGGTCCTACCACTGGATCAAACGCGACGACATGTACACCTTCGCCGAACCTCCTGCGTCAGATGATGCAAGCATGCGACAGCCTACCCATAAACCTAGGTATCACGGGCAAGGGCAACGACTGCGGAAAGAAGAGTCTCAGAGAGCAGATCCTAGCAGGCGCAGCAGGTCTCAAGCTTCACGAAGACTGGGGCTCCACCCCAGCAGCAATCGACAACTGTCTCGAAGTCTGCGACGAGTACGACGTGCAGTGCATGATCCACACAGACACACTGAACGAATCCGGCTTCGTCGAGCAGAGCATTGAGGCCTTCAAAGGCCGCACAATCCACACCTACCACACCGAAGGCGCAGGCGGCGGCCACGCCCCAGACATCATCTCCGTGGTCGAACACCCCAACGTCCTCCCCAGCAGCACAAACCCAACCCGCCCCTTCACCCTTAACACCCTCGACGAACACCTCGACATGCTAATGGTCTGCCACCACCTATCGAAGAACATCCCCGAGGACGTAGCCTTCGCCGAGAGCCGCATCCGCGCCGAAACCATCGCCGCCGAAGACGTCCTCCACGACCTAGGCGCCATCAGCATGATGTCCTCGGACTCGCAGGCCATGGGCCGCTGCGGCGAAGTAGTCCTCCGCACATGGCACACAGCACACAAAAACAAGATGCAGCGCGGCCCGCTCGGCAGCGACGCCGACACCGGCGCGGACAATTTCCGCGTAAAGCGATACATCAGCAAGTACACGATCAACCCGGCTCTCGCGCAGGGAATGGCGCACGTCATTGGGTCCGTGGAGGTGGGCAAGATCGCCGATCTGGTGATGTGGAAGCCGGCGAATTTCGGCACGAAGCCTGTATCTGTTCTGAAGAGCGGGATGATTGTTACTGCCGAGGTTGGAGATCCGAATGCGTCGATCCCGACAGTCGAGCCGATGATTATGCGGCCGATGTATGGTGCGCGCGTGCCGGCTACGTCTATTATGTTTGTTTCGCAGGCTTCTATCGATGCGGGGATTGTGCAGACGTATGGATTGAAGAAGCGGGTTGAGGCTGTGAGGAATTGTCGCTCGGTTGGGAAGAAGGATATGAAGTTTAATGATGTTATGCCTAAGATGAAGGTCGATCCGGAGAGTTATACGGTTGAGGCGGATGGGATGCTTTGTGATGCTGAGCCGGCTTCGGAGTTGCCTTTGACGCAGGCGTATTACATCTTCTAGATGTTCCTTTGGCTTCTTTCTGTCTTGCATCTTAGCTTTTTTGGTCTTTTAGTTCCTATATACCTTTGATCTTCTGAGTCGTTTTATGTGATATAGGATTTCTATATACGAATTTACTTCTACCTTTGAACCTACTTCAGCTCTACGATTTGCTACAATGGCACACATGTACAGTCAACGGCAAAACAGTCATCGATTAAGCAAACTACTTTTTTTTCCGTCCTTTCCTCTTCTTCTCAAAACCCTAAAGAAGCTAACATCCCCTCAATAGAACCAACAACAATCCCATCCGTCCCCCGTCCATCAGTATTAACAAGAATATCCGCCCAGTGCAACAAACTAGCAACAAGATCATTGCACATACGCGGCACGTTATAGCTATAAAACCCGTACGGTTTAGCCTGCACATAAGCATTGCCACGAGCATCAGCAGCCATAGTCATAGAAGCATCCTTAAGCCGATAAACACTACCAACAAGCTCACGTAGACTCTCAGCAACAATCTCACCAGCCTGGGGATCCGCCCTCAGAATCCTCGCCTGCGTCTCCAAACCGAAGATGAAAGCCGCGCGCTCACGTTGAAAGGTCGATACAGGGCCGGGTCGGGGAGGCATAGCGTCGAAGGAAAACGGTACGTCGAATATACGATAAAAAAGAGCAATAAAGCAGTTATGTAGGAAATAATAATCCAGTAAATGATAATCCAATTCCAGAACCTATCTAAAAGCACAAGTTAGCCACAATCTGATCAATCAGTTTCGCCACCGCAACAGGGACGTCAGTGCAAAGGTTATCGCGCAGACGATTAGCAAGGTGGATACACTGGCCCTTCAGCGCGGCGCAGTGCATAGGAACGACAGTCTCGTAGAAGCCGGTCTGGTGGACGAGGACGTAGGGGTGGTGGCGGCTATCGACGGCCATCTTCATCGACAGCGAGGCGACGATATCGAGGTGCTGGATGAGCTGGAGGCGCAGGTTTGGGATCACGTAGTCGCGGCTGTCGATGTCGTGTCGCAGGAACCGTGCCTGTTGCTCTAGAAGGATGACGAGGTCGTCGCGGGCCTTGCGGAAGTCGCAGACGGTGGATTGGTTTATATGTGGCATGGTGGAGTCTATGAAATGAAGTGGATGAAGCGAGTGTGGGAAGGTATAGATCTAGATGAAGGAAATGTTAATGTGAATGAATGTGCTGGAACGTACCTGGGTTACTGGGCTGAGATACAGCTATAGCTATATAGCTACAGCTGACGCTGGTGCGAAGTCCGTGAATCGATGGAGGGAAACGAGAATCTAGATGTATCCCAGGTTAGCTAGTGCATGCTCCAGGCAAAGTGCGACGTGGATCTCGGTGTCGACAATAGTCTGGTGGATGTGGTCATGGAGGATATCGGCCAACTGACGGGTGTCACGGCCGACCTCGTCGCAGATCTGGGGGATAGTGTGGGTGAAGTAGGCAATGCCCTTGGAGGCAACATAGGTCATGTCGGCGGCATCAACGGCAACAGCCTCGGAAGCCCACTTCACCTTGTCGCACTGAATCTTCAGGGACTGGACGTTGAGAGCGATCTCAATAAGGTAGTTGCCCTCGGGCATCGAGCGCAAAGTGGTGATGTAGGAGCGGATGTTGTTCACAAGGATACCACGCTCCTTACGGTACTTGAGAATAGCTCGAGTACCGCGGAAAAGCTTGCGAGGGATAGACTCAGGCATCTTGGGATGGGAGAGGCTGGTCCTCTGGTGATAGAGTGGGAAAGATGGGGAGATAAATGGATCACTTACCTGGTTAGGTTAGTGGAGTAACTGTGTGGTGAAGCTGTGAAGCTCAAAGCAGAGTAAAGTAAGCTGGTTGTACTGATGGAGTGTGAAGAAGAACCGTGAAGCGGATGATACCTCGAAATTGTCAAGGCATCGGGACCTATTTATGCATTTGCATCTCGCTGGTCTGATTAGACTGGAGACAAAGTCTTCATTAAGAAGAAGGGGATGAAAGACGTCCGAGTTATTGTTAGGGATCTTTGTTCCCTTTGTTCTTGATATCTGCAAGCCGCCATGATATTGAAAGAAGTTAGTATGCAAGGCACAAAATAGAGAAGGTAAACTCACCAAGGCTTTGTTATAATTATAGTCTGGCAAAGCCATTGTTTAGTCCTTTGTTCTCTATAAACAGATAGATGAGAGCGGCAATATCGATCGTCAAAGAGATTACTGATATCGATGGTTTACCTATGTACTCAGGTTGTTAGGGTTTCTCGACGATGCAGTCTAGTTTCACCTAGGGCTATTGAAGGTGGACCAAGCTTACTATTTGGCTGGGGTTCAGGAACAGTAATGCGTAGTAAGTAATGTAGTTGGCTTGGAGCACGCAAATCTTCTGCATCACAGTGATCCATTCCCGTCAAAAGAATAAAAGTCCACGATGGATCCAGCTTCCAGGTATCCAGACATAGTTCCATCGGCGAAATACCAGATGGCGGATTGATAACAAGATAATAGAGAGGGGGTATCATACACAGTAAAACCGAAGAACAAGATAGGAAAAAAAAAGAAGGGGAATGGATCCATGCACCTACCGGTATAAAGAAAAGGTCAAGCCTATAGCTCAATCTCTTCCTCGCCGTGATTATCCGCCGAAACAAGCGACACATCTGTCCACGCAGAGAAAGTACCTTCACGCGCAGCTAGATAAGCAGCAACACGCGCCCGGCGTGAGCGATTCACGGTTTCTTCTCTTCGCACTGGGTCTGGTAGCCCATTCTCGACGGAATTTTGGTCCGGAGAGTCAAATGCTGACTCGGAGATGGAGAGAGAAAGTATGTCTGTGTGCTGACTGTCTGTTTGTTGGATTTGGCGGGGAGATGTAGCACCATCGCCAGTTAGGTCAGTGATTCTTGTAGATGTGCCTGGTTCGGGCCCGAGTCGGAGTCCTGTAGCCGAAGGTTCTAAATTTGGCTGGTCGGGTATGAGCGTATCCCCTTCTTCACTTCCCTCACCACTGGCCGGATCGAACCTGTCTTCTTTTTCTGTTGGCCATGTAGACGGGAGAGGATTGACTTGAAAGAGCCCAGGTTCCGCACGCTCTTGAAGATAGCGGTGTGCTTGACGGATTTCGTTGCGTTTAACTCTGGCAGCCTCTTCGGATTGACCCAAATGATGTAGAGATACATGCCCCTGATCATGATGCTGGCTTGCATCGGCAGCACCAAGACTAAACTCTTCAATGCCACTACTGGTTTCTTGGGTTGACTGTGTGGAGAGGTCCATATTGTATCGGGCCCTTTTTCTTGCGCGCAAATCTCCCTCGTCGTCAGCGTCATCGGCTACAGTTTGCCGCATGTGATTGTCATGCGAAAAATCGGTTCCCGAACAGAGGTGGCCGAACAAACGTCTGATGGAGACGTCTTCGTTCCAGGTCGTTGGATCCACGGTGCATGGATGGATGTCCTTAGGCCGGAAGGCAGCTACGAGCTCACATAGCTCGGAGTAAGAAGAGTGTCGTGAATATGGAAAACGCTATAACGCCATTAGAGAATATCTTCGAAAGAGAAAAGCAGTGCCACTTACTATCGTGTTAGGCAGATCTGGCCGGGATGACCGGTTAGAGGTTTCAGATGGACCATGGCTTAGAGCGGTTACTAGGTTCTTCAATGAAATTTCGCCCTCCTCCTTCACGCCATATGTGTCAAGGGAGAGTGCTTTCTTTCTCGACCGGAATGCATCAAGAAGTGCACTTCGCACCTGAGAAAGGGCTTCTTTGTCCTGGACATGTTTGAGACACAACTTCTCCAACTCGGCCAATGCAGATTCATCTGGCAGTTCGAGTTCATGTGTTTGGTACAGATCCCCAATACCACCACCTGCACCGACCTCGGGGATTTCCGCACCACCAGTTGTGCGATTCACAATAGGCACAATGTAGACTGTATTAGCGGCGCGAGTTACCGGGCACGAAACTCCAGGCTCACAACTGTGGATTCGACTTGACTCATTGTTGCTTAGGCAGCCTGTCACAGCTTCGTTTCCCAGGTCAAACCCACAGAGAGCAGGAGCTTCACTAACTCCCCTATTGCCTGGAGTCTGGACCAGAGACCGATAAAGGCCCATCTGGTAACGATCCACATGGATCTACGCTACATTAGCCAGTGTCATACTTGAGCTGCGTGGTGTTCATCACCTTTGTGTTTAGCGCAGCTGAGAGCGCTATCCAGACATCCTCGTAGCCGAACGTCCACGCCCGGAAGTAGAAGACCGTATCGCCAGGATAAGCCTGGACTTTCTGCAGCAGCTCAGACAGCCCCTCGGCTTTGGAGGGGAACTCCCGGAATGGATTTGTCTTGCTTGCAAAGGTAGAGTCCAGATACAATTTATCCAGTTGTTTCTGTCCCAGGGTATACGGTATCAAGACAGGGTGACGGGCCAAGCTGCTCACCCACCATGTCTCGGCTGAAGATAATCAGCCAGCAGTTCAACCAAGACGAGACATCGTCAACTCACCTCGGATGTCACCTGTGTAGATGATTGCCTTCCCATCCCCTTCAATTAGAAACATCACAGCCCCGGTGCAATGGTTGGCATCAAACAATGTCACCTTAATACGACGTCGGGGTGTGAGTTCAATTTCTGTTGGGGTATTCAGTGGAATTGGGCGCTGTGGGGAGTGAGCTCTTGGTCAACTCTAGTCAGAGTTCAGAACACGATACTAACCAGAAGCTTCGCAAGATGCTTATAGTGCAATCGGCGTGACTCCAAGATGCCTTTGTTGAAGTTCATCCGATGGGGATACTTTTCAATCCGGAGGAGCAGCTGCACATGGTCAGTTTAATGAATATCAGAAGGATGGATATGAACATACCTCTCGCGTGGCCGGCGAGCAGTAGATAAACGGCGTCCGAAAGGACTCGAGGCCCTGTAAATGATCGCTATGCACATGGCTGAGAAAACAAGCTAGTGGCGCCGGCCGCTCGGGGCATTTCCGGAAGTAGTCAACTGCTTTCCTTAGCTGCAAGTTTGGCTGATCTTATAGGTGAAGCTCACTGCGAATGTCCGGAAACTCTGTCGGATGGTTAGCGTGGAAGTGACGTGGAAAGTGTCAGACTTACCTTCCACAATGCCATCGAAGGTCGACATGGCAGTATCTAGAATCTGATGTCAGATTCTGCATGTCCAAGGTTGCCCAGGTGAAGATGTGCTGGATAAACTGGACATGTTATTTGCACGTGATTGCGAACGTAAAACCCGAAAGGGCAATAGAACATGTCCAAATCTGTCGAATCATTCTATAATTTAGAGTACTATGATTCGATGAACCATATTGACTTAAATATGCGAAGTTCAAGTCCAAGTAACGGAATGTGTCTACAACATTGTACGTCTTTTAACAGCTGGCCGTGCATCGTGGCCATGCCAACGCACACTTTGGACTTTTAGTTATAAAAGTCTTGCAAGGGCAGTTGTCTCCAAACTATTCTATTTTCTTTCTCTTATTTTCTTTCCATTTTCCATTTTCCATTTTCCATCTTCCATCTTTTTTCCCCTGTTGACTTCAATGGAACGCCTGTGAGACCTTGCCCCAAGGGTCAAAGAGCCGAAGCGTCAGCTGGGCACCTGATCGGGATTTTTCCTCTCTTTAATCATCATATCCATTGACCTGGATTACGAGAAATCCAGGTGAAGGAGAATTTCTGTTATAATTCTGAGTTATCGTACGCGCCCTGTCTCCCTGTCTAGCGCGTTACCCCCCCACTGAAGCCCTCCGCACCCCAAACACATCCAAAACGTCCCAAACATCCGGGAATTTGACAAAGGGCAAGGGGGTACCCCTCCAGGGCTGGATATCCTGAATCACATTCCAAGGTGTCTGGGACGACCTTGCCGTCTTAATTTGGGCTTTTACCTCTTGACCTCCTTCCACATCCGACCCTTCACCATGCGTAAACCATCCGTGGGCCAGATCGTGTATAACGCCACGTTTCCACGACCTCGCCCAAACGATCCCGGTTCGTTTGGCGCTCACATTACTCGAAACCTCGTTCCAGAAGTACGTGTCGAAACATCCCTTTTCTACGGCTCGCTAGACTGCATTGAAGCACAATACCCGGGGCTGGACTACTCGTATGGACCGCATCGCATGCGACTGAGTCGATTCCCATGGCACCGAAAGCTGTTCCGCACCTTTGACGAACTCGGTCTGACAGAGGAGGAGATCTCCAACCTCTGTCGGTGGGAGGGGACCAAGTCTGCGCGTCAGAGGTACGAGGCAGAAGAAGGGATTATCGTGCGGGACACCACAGCCCACTCAGTCCGACCGGCATCCCCGCAACCCGCCCCTTCAATCGAGGTCCACTTCAACAACTACGACTTCTGCGGGACAGAAGAGGAAGATGACCAGATCATGGAAACCCAGAGCAATGATACGGTCCGTGCGATCGATTCCCGTGCCTCCAGTTACCGGTCCGCCGAGGAAGAGCATGAAATCGAAGAGGAACTCAGTGATGAGGAAATGGAAAGTTGTGGCGTAGCCCTCAACAACCAGATCCTTGCTGCCATGGCTGCGCGCGACCAAGGCACTGATGTGCCGCTGGACGAGGACTGGGAACAATGGCTGAAGGAGGCTGGGGAGCGTGGCACTTTCGGCGAGATGGTGCAAGCCATTCGTTCGAACCAGCCCTTGACTCTTGTCGCCGACAATGTCCGAATCCCACACGGTCGCGGTGCGGCCCGTGTGGTGACAAGGGCCTTGTTCACAGTGCCCGACAGCATTATCGCAAACACTGCTCTTCCATCTACTTCCAATCATGCCTCGGGCACGGCTCAATGACTGCATACTATTTACTCGAGACCCTTCGAATAGGGCCCCGCTATGATTCGTGTTTTGCATTTTTACGGCGCATCTTACCTCTCTCGCATTGTCTGAAGTGGACTGGCTCCTTCTTCTCGGGGTTCCCTTTGCTTTTATCTATATCCATTGCTCTACTTACACGTCCAGAAGAGTCTCTTGCTTACGCATAGATTTCATTGTCTCCTGTCTCATTTTCACTAATACCCTCATGTTCCCGTTGCCGTGCTTTGTTTGACTCGTTGACTCTTTCATTACTTGCTTTGCCGGGGATATTTATATTCAACGTGCTAATCTGAGGATGTTCAGCAAACGGCAAAAGTTATTCTAACTTACTCAGAAATATATCTATCAAATATCAATTATACTCATGATTATCCATTATATGGGTATTGTAGGGGTCAAGAAGCAAACTGGATCTTCCTTGATATTAAACATTAATTAAGAAGCTAGCTAGTGTTTGCAAATAAAAAGGGCGAAATCAAATAGCATACTCGTTCTCGACGCGAGTGAACTCCCATACTTTACCATCATCTCTGTCAGTGCTGGTCACAAGCTGTATGCCTCCGTCTACCTGCACCGGCAAGAACCCATATCCCTGTCTCAGGAGGAGGACATAACCGCCGTCTGGATGTCCTCGCACACAAAATGATTCCTTGTCACGGTGCGTCTTGGCCTCCGCGATTAATTGACCTGTACCACTACACCCGATAAAAGTGCCAGAGACCACATTTTGAAAGCCTAGCATCTTGTGCTCAGATTCGACACACAACCAGTGAATACCGCACCCATGCCCACTGCGTTCAGAGACGAGGCGTAAGATACCTTTTCGAAGCCCAATCACGAAGTTTGTACGAGGATCGCGGATCATAAATGTTCTGCCTTTCCACGGACAATTCTTGGAGTGCGGCACAGTTGAGTCACTCAAGGTCAAATTCTTGATTGATCCATTGCAAACACAACATGTGGGTGTATCGCATGTTCCATCTTCTGTAGTATTGCACGACATCGTATCTTTCATTGAATGTTAAAACCAGGGGGTAAAAAAAACAGTACCTGTGGGATATCCTGAAGCTGTTGATGAATCGAAGTGTTGGTTGGTAGATGGTGCGGGGATAGATAAATTATATATCACGTGAGCTATGCTTCAACCAGGTTCAGCCAATCAAACAAACACAATGTACAAAGGCTAACCTAATTAGGAATAACTCTGGGAAATATTGATTTCGATAAGCTTCTCCGCTCCGAGGTCCGCTCCGCAACTGATCTCCATCTCCATGCCCATGAACATGAACCTCGTTTCAGCTCTGTGTTTGATTGGATTTGGCTTAATAGACTGCGCTGCTTTGCACTCAGATTGGTTATTACACATCCCTACAAGCCCACAGCATCTCCACGATGATCAAGGCAATCTTTTACAGTAAATTCGACACGATAGAGGGTGAGGACCTTCAATACCATGATAAGCCTTCAATTACCTATTGACTAATGATATGCAGGTCCAAAAGTCGTCCACCAGGTCCCCGACGGAGCCATCGTCCCCTCCCCCAACGCGCCCTCACAACCACCCTTCCTCACCTTCTCGGATGTCTCCTTCTTCGTGATCCCCCGTCAGGAGCTCTGTGGGAACCTTTTGCAAGTCTGCACAAACGGATACCGTATCCTGGGCTACCCAATATGCATGAAATCAGTGCGGTATGACCGGAATGAATTCATCTTCAACTTCTGCATAGTCCTCGCCGAGGAGGAGGACTTCAGCACGTATAAGAGCGTGGTGCAGAAGCTAGCAGACCTAATGCATGGCCTGGAAGAGCAAAATGGCTTCTTGTCCCGAGACTTCTCGAAAAGTGGGGAGGGGAAGGTTTATAGTCTCTGTGAGATGTTGATGGAGGATTTGAACAATTATTGCGAGTGCATGATTCCTATTGGTATGCCTGTGGACCTGTTCGGCACTATTCCGCTGCTAACCATTCTATCCAGACGAATTAAACACTCTCAACATAAAGCTTTTCCCGATATATCCCTCTCCCCCGCCCGTTAAGGCCTGGCAAGTGCCGCTCTTCACGTTGCGATACCAAGCTTTTATGGATGAGAACTGGGACTTGACCATGCAAAGGGTATGTGAAAGACGATACCGTCCCCATGGCTAGAAACACACCAGCTGAACCTTGCTAGATCGTACCACACATCAACGGCGTCAACAGCGTTCGCATCATCTCTGTCTTAGCCGACACAGACTTCTCCCTCACCTGCCGCGCCCTCCGACATCTCCTCTACTATGGCTGTCTATTTATCCTCGACATCTTCTCCTTCTCCGCCATCTACGCCCCAACCGCCCAATTCATTCCAACAATAGGCTCCGACGAAGCAATGCAACTAGAATGTGCCCGCTACGTAAACCTACGCTTCGCACCACACCCACCAACCGGCCCCTCCTCCCCTCTCCCCCCAACCCTAATCCCAAGCCCAAGCGCCAACGGCAGCACAAACGACAGCACCGGAACAGGCCCACTCTCAAGCTCCCTGACAGACCCATCATCAAGCCTCACACGCGAGGAATCCCGCTTCGACGCCGAAGAAATCTGGCCCCTCCTAGGCGCCGACGAAGACCCTTCCACGTCCACGTCCACCTCCCCAACAACACCAAACACGCTCCATAAACCCGCGATCGTCGACGGCGTCGCCCTGGTCGAGCTCTACGCCAGCCTAAAACAAGGCCAGAGCGTCAAGCAATGGTACGCAGCACACAGCCGCTCCCTAGCCAACATCGACATCCGTCGCTTTATCACCTTCGGCGTGATAAAGGGCTTCTTGTACCGCGTACACAAATACGCATGTGCAACGAGCCAGCCTGCGCCCCCGCCGCGCGCGTCCTCGTTCACGCCTACGGCGCTGTCGTCGCGCGGTACTACGGGGAATAATACGCCCTATGCGGTCTCGAGTGTGTCGGAGGACGCGCCTATCTCGGCGGCTGCGAGGAGGGAGTCTAGTCGTGAGCGGGCTGGGTCGGTGGTGAGTGGGGGTCGGAATGGGACTGGGACTGGGACTGGGAGTGGAGGGCCCCCGTCGGCGTTTTGGGAAGAGGAGGAGCAGGAGGAGGTTGGGGATGAGGTTCTTGCGAAGTATCTTGATGGTACGCATTGTTTTGATCAGATTTGTACGGAGTTGGAGATGAGTGAGAGGGAATTGACGGCTAGACTGAAGAGGTACCCTTGGGAGGTACTGATTATTCACAGATGAGGTTGGTGGAGATTTTCTTTTTGTTCTTGTCTTTTGGATTGCTAGAATTGATCGATACCCCCTACATACTTTTTATCATTTTGGCGTTGACGTGACCGAAAATATATATCGGGTTATCTCTGGAGATTTGACAATTGGAGAATTTGTGTTCATTGAAAGCTTACTGCTTGGAGCTTAAGAATAAGAATACACGGACATAGTCACATCTAACTATCTAGACACATGTGGTGGAAAAGATCCAGTGTGTATCTTCAAGCGGCCTGCAACATAGCCAAGGGTTCAACACTTGATGCGGTGGAGCACAGAGAGAAAAAAAAAGGAGGTATCCGCTAACGCCACGCCGGTCCATCATGCATTCGTATCGTATCGTGCGGGAAATAATTCAAAGGGTTGAGGTAGCTACCAGGTAGCCAAAGGACAGAAGACGGGTTGTCGAGTGGTAGAAACCCGCAAGAAAGCAGAGAGGCGAGAAGATTTATTCCTCGTCCCAATTTTCAAGCTCGGCTTTTTCGTATTCAGCCATAACTTCTGGGTCGAAGATCGTCTCTCCCTCAGAGGGAATGGTAGTCTTGATGTCGTCAAAGATAGGTAGGAATGCCTCGTTCCAGCGACGACGACGGTCCATGACAATCTTTGCAGCGTCGCCGACAGCGGGACGGGAAACGCCCGCAGAACCAGCGACTTGGCTGCCGCCACCTGCGCCGCCAGGCCGGTGCTTGGGCTGAGCGCCCTTCTTGCTCTTGCCCATAGTGCGGGTGCGTTTGAGATAGGCCTGTTGGACCTGAGAGTCGAGGTCGTCTTGGATGGTAGTGAACTCAAGCATGGCCATGTGCTCCTGGGCAATCTTCAGAATGCGAGCTTTGCGCGCATTGTTGGTGACTATCTGCTTCTTGAGCTCGCTTTGGAGTAGGCGGAGTCGCTCAGCAACTTCATCATCGTAGTGAGCGTCGTAGTCTGGATTATCATCTGCACCGAGGAAACCGATGAATCGTAGTTCAGCTTTGGCGCGTTCATCAAGTTGAGCATGATCCAGTTTTGCGACCGAAGTTTTGAAGTCGTTGGGATCTGCGTCGCGGAAGGTGGTTGCAGCAGGGAGAGGCTTGGTTTCGCTCTTGTTCTCCTTCTCGGCGGTGGATTGATCAATGTCCATTGCGTCTCCACCCAGTCCACTCACACTAGCAGTATCCCCATTTGCGGTTGGGTTGGAATCTTCGGGCAATGTACGGTGCTCGTAACGGAGGAGAGAGCACAGTCGGCTGAGGAGAGGCCCAACAGAGACTTCGTTAGTCTCGGCTTTATCGTCGGTGAGCTGTTCAATGCTGCCACGTCCTTGATTCAAAGGCAGCTGGTCCTTGTCATCTTGACTCGAGTCGTAGGACACTCCATCCTCCTCCGCCCAAATTTGACGATAGCTTTTCTTTCCGCGACGGGGCATGATGAATGGGGTAGTACGATCACCCTGTGACAGGTCAGCTTGTGTTGACATGAGAATAGCTGCAATTGACTTACCCTTTCTTTTAGCCAGGCAATGTCCTCCTCGGTAAGAGGCCGGACGTAAGGTTCAATGTAGGTCTGGAAAGTATTCGCGCTGACTTGGTTGGAGGGTTTGGCGTTGCTGAAGTCCTTGTCAGGAGCCACGCCAGCTGCCATGTGGGCAAGATCGGTCTTGGGGAAGTGGGCAACGCTGTAAATCTCTTTCTTCTCGTCGTCCGTCATGCCTGGGAGAACCTCCCGAATGTTGTAAATGGTCGGGTCGTCAAACTTCAGTGGGTTATCGCCAAAGACTTGCACTTGAGGAATCGCAGGTTGGGGTTCAGGTTGGTGGGAGTCGGCACTGGTATCAGACCCGGGGGTCCCGGGGGCAGGCCCGTCGCCAGCAGTGGTCGTGCCGTTGGGGGACATCATTGACGGGGGTGAAAGCGAGGAGCTTTCATCCGATATCGCATTCTTGGAGTTTTTCGATGCCGGAGAAGCCGCTGTTGATGGTTAGTGAAGGCTGAACGGTGGGGAAAGTGAAAGAAGATCGAAGTTGTGGAGATGGGTCGGTAAAAACAAAGAGTGGGAAGAAAGCGCCGAGTTGCATCTCTTACCTCCCTCAACCTTAGTCTCAGCTCCATCCTGGCGTGCTATCTCATGTGCGCCATGATTTAATGGGCGCTCCTCCTTTCCGCTGCGCTCTTTCCGCTTCTTCAGCTTGCCGCCCTTATGAATATCGTCGTCTTCTTCGGTTTCACGTTTCAATTTGGAACGATCTCGAACTTCACGATCAAGCTCCTGATCTTCCACTTCCTTGCGCTTTTGAGACATCTCGCGCATTCCAGCATTGCAAACCTCGCCCCTCATATCGGCCATGTCACTAAGACCCTTCAGATGTTCCACCAATGTCTCCAATGTTTTTGAATCTGGGATGTTCTGCGCGGATACCAGGTCCAACACTTCGGAGTACTGCACACTAGCCAAGTCAATGTGCTTGGTGACATCGTTCTCCAAGTAGCTTTGGATGGGCAGTGATGCGATAGCGGGAGCACTAGCACTGGACGGGGTGGTATTGCGGCTACGCGACTGGCGCGCATCGCGGCCTTTGCCTTTGCCTTTGTATGCGGACGGCATGGCGTTTCTTCAGACGATGATCGGACGAAGGAAAAAGAAGAGATAAAATGATTCAGACGCCAAAGGCAGTATCAACGAAATGAGAGATTGGTCGACAGAAAGGATTCTAGGAGGTGTTGATGGGACTAGACAGACACATGCTGTCGTTGGTCACTGGGAGCGAAGAAGAATGAAAGGAGGTTGAATTTCCCCCAAAGCCTGATCATGAGCTAAAGCAACTACAGAGCAAGAGCACCTTTCACGGATGAATTATGACTCTCAAAGGTGGTGACGGTCGCTGGCGGTTGGGGATATGCACGTGATGGCGATACGACGTTTATCATCACGTGCACCATCTTCGATTCATTGGCTCCTGAACACTTGGCATGAACATCCGTTCATGATGAATATGGCTTTCAGAAGGTTCAATTGTCTGCAACTACTATACAGCTTGCGCCTCACTAGGTGAAGGCTCGCACATGGCCTAGCGCCCAAAAATGTGGTTAAGGTTGAAAACCGATAATACATTCCTACAGTTCTGCGGTGAGAACTGAGAACCCCATTGTTGGGACATTCCGAGAGATGAGCCATCAGAGAGTTAATCAGGGAGTGTTTTATGAAACGAAACCGTTGGAGAATTACTATTTATAACACTAACTTGCTAAATCCCCATATCAAGTGTAAAAAGCTTGAAAAGTTGTCAGTGGATGATCATCTCCATAACCGGTCTACCGTGAACGGCCATGTTTAGCGAAGTATACAATGTAGACCCCGCGCTCGGCCATTTCTATTTGTTTACTCGTTTACGGAGATTTCTTCGAAATGTGAAACTCAGTGTATTTTAGCCAAGACGTATTTTTGCCTCTTGCCTCGTGGTTGGAACCAGGCTTATTCTACATTCTTGTGCCGGTCCCGATTGACTCTCGCATTCTTCCGCTGTAGAGCTCTAATTAGCAATGGGGATGTATGGGATGCTTCAGGATTAAATGTCGTCTTAAATGACTTTGCCTAAAACCATAGTGGTTGCCATTTTCAACTTTTTTTCATATCCAACTTCTTTCCCCTATGCACACGCCTTCCTCACGGGTCTCGAGCATTTAGACTCATAGTGTATCCTTTACTTGGCATTCATCTTCACTATTCACTTCCAAGGTTGACCCAGTATCAAGCATCATGTCAGCCGATACCATGTCTTCCCGAAGTGACTCGGTGGATAAAGTGGCTACACTTTGGGCAGGTTCAGGGCAAGCTTCGAATTCCACCTCGTCAGTCGCAGTAAGTGTGCTTTATTCATTCAGATTTAGCCAACAGCCCCCGGGGCTGATTCTAACTTGCATAATTAAATAGGAGAATGTTGCCTATCGGTTTGTTCTCGATCGTAAGGTTCAAACGATATCGAGCAACGGCATGCCCGACGATGGATTTGTATCAGGCCTCCTGTTTGTACCCACGCTAGAGCCGCATGATCCGTGCTATGACATTACCGCTTCGTCTGTGCCGCCAAATGTGACCCGCTATGAAGATGTCTCAGACTTCGGATACTCCCCTCGTTGGCCTTGCTCCATGGGTAACCGCCGAATGTTCGCTATCGTTCCTTTCTGCCGCCCAAAAGGTCGGCACGCATGCTATGGTCTTTTTCCAGCCCTCAGACAACGAGACCGGCATACCACCCGACTCGAACGACTCACGCTGGGCAACTAATGATGGGGATAAATGGAGAATGGACAACAATTACCCAGTGTATGCCATTTCAGGCCCAGCCGGAGCCACATTGATGAATGATCTCTCGTGGTATTCAAATAAGACGCCCGACACCAAGAGAGACAAATCGACGGAAGATTTCGCGCTACAGACCGAGACTAACCGGCTGTTTGCCAGAATTGAAACTGGTAGGTCACAAAAATGCCTCACTATCGAAATCTATGCTCACATATCGTAGGCAAAGAAACTGAAGGGGCGTCGCCGAGCATCTGGAGTTTCGTACTTGCAATTGCAGGAACAGTTCTTATACTCAGTATCATCCTGATGATTATCTATCGACTCGTCCTGCGCAAGAGACGGGCTCAGCTCCAGAGGCGTGTTAATGCAGGCCAAGTCGATATCGAGGCCTTGGCATTAAACCAAATGACGGTTCCTCAAGAGGTGGTTAACAAAATGCCACTTTATACATACTTGGAGATCAGCCCTCCAGCAGAACCAACACTTCCACAAGATAATACATTGGCGAATCCAATCGATCATGATTCTGGCGACAAGACCAACTCGGTACCACCCAGCGAAAACCACCATGCTCAAGACGAGGCTGGCATCCAGAAACCCGAAGCAGCAATAATCAAACCCGGACAGAATGAGTCTTGCAGAAGCAAGTATCGCCTGAGCCATACCCAAACAACTTGTGCTATCTGCCTCGACGATTTTGTTGTTGGGTCATCTACGGTCCGCGAACTGCCTTGTGGACACATATTTGATCCAGAGTGTATTGATCCATTCCTGACCCAGAACTGTTGCCTTTGTCCTTTATGCAAGAAGAGCGTTTTACCAGCGGGATCATACTATATCTCTGTGACCAATGAAATGGTGCAGCGAGAGCATCATTCGAGGCGCCCTTGAAAGAAACACACAAGACTGCTTTTGCTTGCTTTTAGTTCTTTGATTTTGGGAAGACTATGCTTCACGAGGCACCAGCATGGAGAGAGCGAGGTGATTGATTGCATTTACCGAGCGAGGCGATTTGACGATCTTGATGCTTTTGTATGATATTTTGATAGTATTGAGTATTTGGAAAATTTATCCCCAAACCAACCAATCCTGGACCAAAAAAAAAGAAAGATCCACTTGGGGAATTACAAGATCAGTCGGTCACTTATACGGTTGAAGAAACATAGGTCTGTTCTTCACTTCTCCCCATTGGCCTACAGCACAAGCAGTACGATAAGTACCTAAGAGTACGATCCTGAAGAGAGCCTTTCCATTCCTAACCCTTAATTTCCATTCGATATTGCCCAAGAAAATGAACGAAACCATCGATCCGGAGCAGTGTATACCAAATCGGAGGTTGTTACAGCCTGAGGCAGCTAAATAATTGACGCCTGATATTCAGGGCATCAAGTTCGCTCATCCCGTGATTGGCCGCGGTGGGTCAACTCGCTAATCGCTAGCGTCCCACACACAACCTCTGCCTCCCGACGTTTTCCTCCTCGAACTTTTTGCGACAACGACAACCGACGACCTCGTACAGCCGACAAGGTACGTTTTACCATCTCTCTTTTCATCCAGTTTCCGCCGCCAGTGCATTTATCTGACTTACAACCGTCCAGATGGGTGCCCTCAAGTACGTGGAAGAAATCCAGAAGAAGAAGCAGTCCGATGTGATTCGCTTCCTGCTGCGCGTCCGATGCTGGGAGGTGAGATAAAATCCCTTCGCCCCCCGATTGCCTGACATCTCCGCCGAGCACTGGTGTGCGTTGCCTTAGGATATGCCGTTTTTATGTGGTATTGCTAGGCGGCTCGAACAAAAGTCATTCGGCGGAAATGATTGTGGCACGCAAGAAAACCCTTTTGGGCTTCATGTGTCTTGCTATACACTCGTTGAACTTTGCTGAGAGTGCATAATATAGCTCCGCCAGCTGAACGCCATCCACCGTGCCTCGCGCCCCTCGCGCCCCGACAAGGCCCGTCGTCTCGGTTACAAGGCCAAGCAGGGTTACGTTATCTACCGTGCCCGTGTCCGCCGCGGTGGCCGCAAGCGCCCTGCCCCCAAGGGTGCCACTTACGGTACGAATTTGTCCTGTCGAAAGCAGATTTCGGATTTCCTGAAGGTCTGCGGGAGTTGAAGGATTTTTTTTTGGCTAATGCGTGATTGTGTGAACAGGCAAGCCCACCAACCACGGTATCAACCAGCTCAAGTACCAGCGTGCTCTCAAGTCCACCGCTGAGGAGCGTGTTGGCCGTCGCGCTGCTAACTTGCGCGTCCTGAACTCCTACTGGATCAACCAGGACTCCACCTACAAGTACTACGAGGTCATCCTTGTCGACCCCCAGCACAAGGCCATCCGTCGTGATGCCCGCATCAACTGGATCTGCAACCCCGTTCACAAGGTGAGTTTGGCTCGGAATGCGAATGTGATGTTTGATAGTTTTGCTAATAGGGCTTTCTTTCTAGCACCGCGAGTCTCGTGGCCTTACCGCCACTGGCAAGAAGTCCCGTGGTATGAACAAGGGTCACCGCTACAACAACACCAAGGCTGGTCGCCGCCACACCTGGAAGCGCCAGAACACCCAGAGCTACTGGCGTTACCGTTAAGTGCGATAGTGCACTTTCCCAGTGGTTTCGGTTGGAAAATGTTGGTTACAGCATGTGGTCATTTATTCAGGCACTTCTTTCCCAGACAGTGTTATCCACGCTGGGCTCAACTTTAATGCAGACCAGCCGGCTCTGTTGTTAGCCAAAAAGCCATCTTGTTCTATGTTTCAATTCCCCTATTAACGAAGTATGACTGGTTCAACTCCATGCCACTGGTATTGTAGAATGCGTAGAGTTATTTTTTATACTAGTCCTACGGATGTACTTATGCCTATCGTGAGATCTTACTGGTTCTTATCTCTTAGAGCCAACCTTGGAATACTCAGGGGGGGGCCGACCGCGCCTTAGCGGATCGCCAGCAAATGGTCTAGTTCACTTGTGGCCGAGAGCTAAAGCATCTTGTTTTTTTATAATTAGCAAATTTTATATGTTCACGCCTGTCTTTAGTTAACGGATGTGCCACAAAAATAGATCTGCCGCCTGCAATTTCAGGCGGCTAATCCATAAATAGAAATTCAGAGCCTGAGGCATGAACCACTTCCTTCCCCCGGCCGCTTTCCCAATCCGTCCACAGACTATGAAATGCTGCTGTAACGATCCATCCGTCTTCTATTGGATTCTGAGGTGAGATAGTTCTTTCTTTGGTGAGATTTGACTTGCTTACCGAAGGCCTATCCCTGCAATAGACCAACCTGTTATTTACCAAACAAAGAAGCAAAGCTCGCCTTACTCGACTGCCTAACCCCCCCACTCCGTCCTCCACGATCTATTCGCATGTGTCTGGCACGAAGAACAAGCTCCACGAGCTGGGTACCATACTGGAGAGGTTGAATTTGGTTAAGCCGAACCCGATCAAATTGATGCGCCTCTATGCCGTCCCGGTTTGAGCGTCATCCGCCGATTCCTCCGAGCTCAACTGCTGGCAACGCCGCCATCCCTGGACTACACCCTTCCCAACGCCCTGGACTGGAAGTTAGCCCACGCCGCATAGTTCGGCCTCGCGATGCTTCAATCATGCCCCCGTTAAACGGCAGTGCGCCTAAGGGTTCGTACCACCGAGAACATAGACGCTCGATCAGCAATCCGTTCGCTGGTTTTGGGCGAAAACGGGACAAGTCAGCCACCAAGTATGCCACTTGGGACTCTGACTCTGACGATGATGATGAGGTAACCTATCCCTTGGAGCCCGAGTCATCAAGTCCCCGGAAAGGTGCAGCACCTGGAAATAATATCGCCGAGGGCAAGTGCCAGACATGTGATGCTACTGTCCGGTGGCCAAGGCACTTGAAGGTGTTTAGATGCACCGACTGCTTGATGGTCACAGACCTGGAGCCGGCTCCTCCTGAATCAAAAGACAAACCACCGCAAGGGTCCCAGAGCGGAGCATCCAAGTTGGGAAGCAAAGGTAACGCCCCAATGCTAGTTCTGCGCTATGGGTTGTAGAAAATGCTGATTTGTTACCACAGTGATTCCTTTGACTGCCAATCAAACTCGCGGTATGATCGGAGGATGCCTCAACATGTATTTCGATAGCCTTTTGGACAAGGGCTCTCGGTCATGGTTGTCGCCGGACGACGACAGAAAGAACAAACCGCTGCCTGATCTTCCACCAATGCAGGCTCATGCCTCTGGTCGAAACAATCTCTCGCCCCCACGGACTGGGGATTCTAGGAGCCGCAGTGCTTCCCACTCCAGTGAACGGGAAAGGTTGGGGGTGTCGAAAGAAAACCCATGTTACTTGTCACCACCATCGGTTCGCTGGGAGGGAAATGAAACTCCTGTTAGAGCCCGAGCAAACTCAGATCACCGGTCGACTCCAGAGCTAGACGGCCGCCCGCAAGGCGTTTCGCAAGCTGGGAAGCTGGAGTTTCAAAGCTGCGACAGTCGGACACACATTTTTAAGCCGCTGGAGAATACTATCGCCACTGCCTTCAAAGGCTGTGATTGCCTCAACGAATCTTTTACCACGTATCCACCTCCTCGATCAGCTCGATCAGCTAGTAGTGGTAATCCGCCGAGAATGAGGATGGAACGTACAACAATGCCCCAACCAGCGCACGACGCTCCTGTCTTCGAACCGGATGCGAAGACCCTTCTTTTGGGAGATCTGACTGAGAACTCCTCTTGGTGGATGAATGAATGGGCTGAGGCGGAAGGCCAAAATCCCGTGTATTCCAAAGAGAAGAGCAATCCAAAGTCTCGGATGATATCGTCGCGAAGTCCTCGGATCAACTGGAGCGAGTTAGCCCAGTGGTATCATTCAATTCTGTCAGCGGGGAATTCCTGGACTGAGCTCTGGGCCGCCAAAAGACCCGACCCCACACGATCAGAAGCGGATTCGATCCGAGCCAAGAGATGGGCGTCTATTGATCCGTCCTTCATTGGGAGACAAATCAATGAGTCTCGTCTGCACTTACAACGGGCATTGATGAAAGCTACCGAGGCCCTCCTCAAGCGCCCGCGCCGTGTGCTGAAGAAACCGGAAGATACCAGGTTCTTGTTCATATTGTTAGCGAATCCTGTACTGTCTTCACCTGCGTCGTATTGCCAGCATGCGGCCACTCCGCCGTCTCATCGAGACGACAGGCGACCCTCACATCCAAAAGACTACCCGAAGTCGGCAACCCAAGACAGAAAACCCTCGCCGAAAGAACCGGCCAAAGCCCCTGCTCGTCTAGAGGGATCCAATCACCATTATGGAATTATCAAACGAATCCTAGGACTCATGTCTAATCTGCCCAATGATTGCCATCACTACATCGTGTCTTGGGCTTCCCGTTTCTCTGTCAGGCAGTTCGAGCGACTGGTAGAACTTATCGGTGGATTTCTCACTTACCGCTTGAGTCGTCAGCATGGGCGAAGACGCCCTCAAAATCATCAAAATGGAGACGATCTAATACCGAGCTTCGCCAGTGCTTCGGGAAATACCCCTGCGGAACTTCACGCTGCCATTAATCGAAGTACCCCGAACAAGAAATCTGGCAAGAAAACCGAAGACCCCATAATATATTCCGAGGACTGGCAGATCAGAGCAGCAGCAAGAGTAATGTCGCTGTTCTTTACGGCTAACATCTCTGCAACAAGGAAATCTGACGGGACTCCGCGCAGTCTTGAAATGCCCAAGAATCCGGGCCCTCGTCATGGACATATGATTCCGATCAGTACATTTTACAATACACTGCTGGATTATTCGGATCTAGTGACAGACTTTGAGACTTGGGAAGCTAAAAGCTCGAAGTTTACTTTCTGTCAGTATCCGTTCCTGCTTAGCATATGGGCCAAAATCCACATCATGGAGCATGATGCGCGTCGTCAAATGGAAGTGAAGGCACGAGACGCATTTTTCGACAGCGTCCTCAACCAAGCGGCGGTTAGTCAGTACCTCGTATTGAAGGTACGGCGCGAGTGTTTGATTGAAGATAGCCTCAAGGGAGTGAGTGAAGTTGTTGGCACTGGCCAGGAAGAGATCAAAAAGGGTCTTCGAATCGAATTTTCGGGCGAAGAAGGCATTGACGCCGGTGGCCTGCGAAAGGAATGGTTCCTTATGCTTGTCCGAGAGGTCTTTGACCCGCTTCATGGTAAGCGTTTTCCGATATTAGAGTTAAATGACTGGCTAATTCAAAATAGGCCTCTTCATCTACGATGATGATTCGCAGTACTGCTACTTTAACCCTTATTGCTTTGAGTCATCTGAACAGTTCTTCTTGGTTGGGGTTCTTCTAGGCCTCGCCATTTACAACTCCACTATCCTTGACGTTGATCTGCCTCCGTTTGCATTCAAGAAACTGCTGTCGTCGGCACCGTACTCGAACGGGCCACAAGCGGCTACCTCGTTGCGTTCGACCTTCAAATGCACCCTAGAAGATCTTGCCGAGTACCGACCAACTCTCGCCAAAGGCCTACGGGGTCTACTAGAATTCGAAGGCAATGTTGCCGAGACATTCTGCTACGATTTCGTTGCCCAGGTCGATCGCTACGGCGAAATAACCAGTGTGCCACTCTGTCCAAATGGCGAGAACCGGCCTGTGACCAACTCTAACAAGCGTGAGTTTGTGGATTTGTATGTCCAATATCTGCTAGACACAGCCGTGGCCCGACAATTTGAACCTTTCAAACGCGGGTTTTTCACGGTTTGTGGTGGCAATGCACTATCACTATTCCGACCAGAAGAGATCGAAATGCTAGTCCGCGGCTCAGATGAACCACTCGATGTCAGTTCTCTCCGGGCTGTGGCCACCTACGACAACTGGTCACACCCACGGCCAGAGTCACTTCCCGTGGTGCGATGGTTCTGGGATTTCTTTGAGAAATCGCAGCCTCAAGCACAGCGCAAGATCCTGTCATTCATTACAGGCAGCGATCGGATCCCGGCCATGGGGGCTACAAGTCTTGTCATCCGGCTTGCTTGTCTTGGAGATGACTGTCCCCGTTACCCGATTGCTCGCACTTGCTTCAACACGCTGGGTCTTTACCGTTATCCCACCCGGGAGAAGTTCCAGCGGCTGCTCTGGGATGCAGTTGTAAATAGCGAAGGATTTGGCCTGAAATGATTTGTTTATCACTGCTCAGAACCTGTGTTGCTCGTGGTGTTTGTGACTTTGTATAGACGCTGGACGTTGACTTTGGAGCGAGCTTTGCATGTTAATATTTTGCGTCGGCGTTGCTTTCTTTTGCTTTTCATCCTGTCATGGCGTTCTGGTACTGTCATTCCTCCCTTTGCGGACTGCATATGAGGGTTTGTGTCTTGTTTATTGATCCAGTCTTGATGACTCTCTTTGACATTTGCCTTCTTGGAAGTTTTTTTTACTCTAGCGCTATGCTACTCTGCTAGGAATACAGCACATTTGGCATACACTAAGCCCAATAGAGCCCTCACTCCCCCAAGCCAACAATTCCCCAGCCAGCGATGCAAGGAACATGCCCAACTAGCAATGGGAAGTTCTCCAATTGGGGTTCTGTGTATGTAGGGACTGGAGCTTGTTAATATAGGCAACGGAACTAAAATCTCACCTTGTGTCTCCTATATCTGGAGCTGAGACCATCGGTCCTTAAGCGTCGATGCTCACTTCTCGTTTCCAAAGTTAGAAACCCTAAGGCCATGCCCTTTCTAGAATTCTTGTAAAACCATGAGGGGATGGATTTCAAAGGCCTTTATCCAGATTTTCCTTTAGTATTTTCTCCATATACCATCCAAATCATGTAGTAATTATAAGCCAAAATGCAAGATGGAAGAGGCATCTAACGGTACAAGATGCCATCAACCATCTCGCCAATCGCCAAAGAACTCGTCAAGCCCGGGCTCTCAATTCCCAACAAATTGATAAACCCAGGCAGACCCTCTTCTTCCCGGACTATAAAGTCCTGGAACCCCTTACCCTCATTGACAGCACCGCCCCTCCCCAATTTAGGGCGAATACCGCAGTAATCCAACGCAATAGCATCGACATCGACACCAGGCAGATAAGCCTTGATCTCCGGCAACGCCCGCTCCAAACGCGCAGCACTCGGCATCAAATCATCAGGACTATCAACCCACTCAACATCCGGTCCAAAACGCACGCGCCCGCCCATATCAAGCGTCAGATGCGTACCCAGCCCACCAGTACCCGGTAAAGTCGCCGGATAAACCAAAACCGAAGTCCTAGGCCTGGACGCCGCATACGAAAAGTACGTGCCCTTAGCATAATGCGGAACAAAATGGCGCTCCTGCGGCAGGAGCATGTTACTGATATCGCATGCGCCATGGCCAGCACTATTGATCAGCGTCTCAGCGGTAATAGAGGTAACCGAGCCATCCTCATCCGAGACAGCGGTAATCTTATACCCGCCGCGGCCGCCGTCGATAGCCTCCACGGCTGTCACGCGCGTCTTGAACGCAATGTCACCTCCGCGTTCCTCGAAATCACCCTGTAGATAAGTCATCAGCGAGTGGCTGTCCACAATGCCGGATGTCTCGCTCTCGACGATGCCTGCGTCTGCCTTGACGTCTGGTTCGCGCCGCTGCGCTTCCTCGCGGCCCACTAGCCGTGTCGGCGCGTCGCCTAGTCCTTGTGCGTGTGCGTGCACTTTCAGACAGGCTTCCCATTGTGTGGGATTCTGCGCCACGATCCATTTCTTCGTGTTGCGGTGGGGAATGTTGTTTTTCGCGCAGAGGTCGTAGAGGAGGTTGCGGCCGCGGATGCAGAGTTGGGTTTTGAGGGAGGTTGCCGGGTAATAGAGGCCTGCGTGGATTACCTGGTTGGTGAGGGATTTTTGTTAGTTTGTTTGGGGTTGTTGGTCTGTTGTCAAACATTCAAGCGGGCTTATCGCATAGCATGCATACCTCGGAGTTGCGACTGCTTGTCTCTGTCCCTGGTGCGTCATGTCGCTCTAGTAGAATGGTTGATGTGCCTTCGCGAGCTGCAAGTTGCCGCGCAGTCGCCAGGCCGACGACGCCTGCGCCAATTACCTTTCAGTCAGATTAGCCTTAGGTCGTCTTGGATCTCAGGTGTAATTTACCGCATGGGTGAAGTCCGCGTTGGTGGTTCGGCTGCTGGAAAAGCAGCGAGTGGGAAGCTTATTTTTAAGCTTAAAATGCTGCTTAAGCAGAGCACGTGCGGACATATCGGGAAGGCACAGTTGACCAGCAATCTGTGAGGAAGGAATGGTATCCGTAGAATTCGGTAGGAACCCCGCGACCTCGGGAGGAATGACGCGATCCCGAGGCCGGATCGCGCTAAGCCCTGAAGAACATAGACTGAACTCAAAAAGTATGCGACCCCTGGAACTATAAAAGTATAAAAGCCTATATTATCGCCTTTCATCATTTGACATCTATGAATAGTGAGAGAGAGAAAAGCAGGGCAGAGTTCGTACCCCATTATCTGGCTAAATATGGACAAAGAGGCAAAGGGAAAACCCTAGAGGCTCGGATATAGACATGAAAGAAAGTGAAGGCAATTGTTTCCAACAAAGACTCGACTGCAGGTAGTATTATTTAAATGACCATGCATCCCATCGACTAATCTCACTACCCCATAGTGAGCCCATCACGAGCCAGCCATCACAATTACCTGAGACTCATATCAACTCAACCATCTAAATCCACATTTCTCATCTAAACCAAGATGCCCCAACCAGGTATGTTTTCTCGCCCCGACGGCTCCAACATCCCCGAGATCGACACGAAGGAATATGTCCACTGGGTGACAGTAGACTTCAGCAAATTTGGCGGACGAACTAGGCCCACCAGCGGCGAGCGTATGATGCGTCTTATGGCCGAACAGTGCCGATCCGGAGTAGCCACTATTACATCTACGCCCCAGCATCACAGTCAGCCATGCTGCCTCTCTTTGCCCGTTGTGGGGGACGCAGAGCTCGTACATGTTCATATTCTGTGGCGTGCAGCTGAGATTGCTGATTGGCATTGGGAGGAGATCATGGCCGGTAAGGAGACGCTTGATACTAAGCGCATTCTGGGTGATTCTCCATGGTGGTCTCAAAATAAGGTGAATGGGGCCTAGTATGTAGCTCTAGGCCTAGGTAGCTGGTTTTCATTTGGACCGATCGATCGTGGAATTAGATTCTGACAGAACATATTGCTAGCAACTTAGTTATCCTATTATCACTCCACATCCATAAGAACATCACTCATTATGTACAAAATATAAGAGAATTTCTTGACACTCCATTTCCCAGAGTCCTTGAGAAGAGAGGCATAATCAAGCAGGATTCGACGCGCAGACTGATATCCACCGTGGAACGGCAGTCCTCGCAAGTAGATAGTAGCCCCATTGCGAATGAAATTAACAGCTGGATCATCCGTCGGCGCGAAAGTCTGACTTCCTCTAGGCTCCATGAAACTTGTAAACCCCTCCGTCCCAACCGATCTCCAGTCGACATCATCCATTAACTCCACGGACCCGAGACTAGTCGGCGAACTCGCGGAGTCCGGCACCATGAAAGTATACAGGCCGAGCACTAACCCGGCCGAGAAAACCGAAAACATAGATTGGAATGTGGGGTGGTCAGAAGCTTTGCGATTTGCCATGACTTTGTAGATATGCGCAGCGTGAAGACACGCGCGTCTGGCGGCAGGTGTCTGTGACCACTCGCGGATATTGTCGAGGGCTTTGCACGCAGGAGCCGGGCCTGCACGGCCAGCTGCAAGGTCAAATATTTGGATATCGGCCGTGAGAGTCATGCACATGTTGTGCCACGTAATGAGAGCGTTGGGGTTTAGGCGATGGAGGGTTTCGCCATAGTTCGTGATGATCTGGGATTGGAGGGAGGGGAGACACCTGGCTCGGCCGTCCATGGCGAAGGTGTGGCATGGGGCAAAGGGGTAGCTGGCTCTATTGGAGAGGAGGCGGTGGTAGGATTCTGACTGGCGGAGTTGAACTATTGCTAGTACTGTTTGTATGCAGAAGTCATCTGCGGGATCTTCAAGGGCGGGGACGTTGATGTTTTTCGGATGGAGCAAGGATTGTTGATGAGAGAATGCGCTTGCCGCCGCGGATGAGATGTGTCCATTGGACGGAGGAGTGAGCGGAGAAGAGAGACTCGTTGCAGGGGAGAATGAGTTGGATCGAGTCTGGGAGTACGATTGGACCAGTTGAGAGGAACGAGGAGTACCAAGAGTCCAGGAGCAATAGTCCAATGATTATTCTTAGGGAGATTATTAGTGATGTGTCGTATGAGCGGGAATCGCGGCATACCTTTTGGTCGATTCGACCTTGCTCCAGGCCTTCCACCTCATGTCAATATCGGGAAATGTTTCAAACAAAGTCATGTCAAGGACCTGCCCCTCGGTGGCTGAAAACAACCCATGTCTTTGGGCAACCTGCAATAGTTGCCATTAGCATCACAGCGATAGAGGAAAATAAGAAAGTTTTCTTCAATCTTACAGATATGACGTTGATATAAAGAGGTTGGCACTGTTCCAGATGTGCCTTTTCCTGTAGAATGGCATCGATTAGTACCTCAGCAACAAAATTGGGCTTGAGGGATTCATACCCCGGTCAAACCAGCCAGGTTTATCAAAAGCAGAACCGTCGCAAATGATGTCACAGTGCCGGAAACGCTCTCAAGTCCCATTGAGCACCGAGAAAATTCAGCTGTTACCTTGTTCAAAGCGCTCTAATTGACTGTCAGCAGGCTACCTGCATATATGACGAGTGTAATAATATTTGGCCTACTGAGAAATTTCTGGATACAAACGCAGTTGTTCCTTTAGTGCCAAGCAATGTCATGCCCACCAGTGTCATAACATATAGGAGAGATGGTCGAGCCTTCTTTGCCGAAAAGGTCGGTAGATGGACAAACGGCAAAAGGGGATTAAACAGGCGGAAAAATAAGTCTAGTGCCATATCAAAAATCTCAGCGGGAGGAAAACCAGGATGATTCAAGGTCGAGGTAGGCGTGGCTAGAGGAATATTCCTATTTATGGGGGATTCCATATATGCAGAAACAGTCATGGGTCCAAAAGCTGCCTGCAGTCGCTGTCTGCAATCCTCGTCAAATCCACACCGCGAGCCTTGAATGATACTTGGCTCGTTGTGAAGGTGCAACGACTGAACGGAGAAGATATTATCAACAGGCGACATGGCAATATCCCGCCATAAACTGTTGATAAGACGCCCAGTGTTCGGTGGTGCTAGCCAGCACTGCTGGACTCTAGCGAAGCGTTCATTTGGAATCTTATCACTGCTATCGACTGAACGTCGATTGTGCTGGTCTGGAGTAATCATCGAATTATCACCCATCAGAGGGAACCTGCTATCGCCCATCAAATCTAGCGAGTCATTTGACGCTGAATCTGTGCAAGGTTCAAGCCACATTTGTAGCATATCTTTTGGCCCAGGGTCGAAGGCCACGCCAGCTCGGTGCGACATCTGATCTGCCGGCGTCCTCGCATTCCATCCGAAGTAATGTTGCTGGTCATCAATCATCATGACGCCGAGGTCTGTCTCGGTGCGGCCATGGTGGGCTGAAATGTCGGCTAGGTAGTCCAGTGGCGATGGGAGCCCGGTCAATGCAAGAGGCGCATCTTGCGAAGTGGTAGATACTGGGATCTCGGATTCTGCGCTGGTAGCACCATTTCCTGCTTCGGGGATCATTGATGAGGCACCCGCAATTACTGCTGACTGTCGATTTGGCGCTTCCGATGGACCAGCCGTTGCATTGGCTTGATTATGGCCCTTGGCATGTCGGCTCAAGACATCGCTATATGGCTCATTAAACTTAGGGATTCGAACATAGGATTTTGAATACTGTCATAATTAACATGTGCGTTCAACAAAATTTACCTTCGAGAGAAACGCTTGTGGCAGACATTGCATTCATATGGACGTTCCTTGGTGTCTGCTTTGCATGTTAGGTTGGTTCTCTTGCAAAGGTTCGATGTGACTGACGCGACCGCTCATGTCTCTTATAATGTTCAGTTTTTTTGAACACCCGCGAACAAATTGAACAATTTTTTAATACCATCACGGCACTCGGAAAGATGGATGATTACGGTACATGTAGCTCTGCTCCGGAGAAGGAGCCCTGGAGGGCTGAGGGGAACATATTAGTCAGCAAGTCCGGGGTCGACTCCACTATCACTAACGCAATTGGGAAGTTCTGATGCCTTACAGAACACGCACACAGATAATGTGTGCCTTGGGGCAAAGGGATTACCCGGTAGGTTCACTTCACTTGAATCGATTACTCTCTTCGACTATTCGAAACTCCATATCCACCGTAATCTGCCCATCCTCCCCATGGTCCCTTCTAACTCCGCTCATCTCGACTTGTACGTCACGTGTAGTCAACAAAGTCTCGTCCCAGTCAAGTGGCCTTGGTTTGCGAATAAATGTTCTTTTATTCGCTACCTCCTTCTTTTTCTTCGAAGTATCAGCATACCTCCCTGTACTAGTGCCAAACACGCGAGCAATAACGAGACGGAGCAGCGGATTCAATGTTGGAAGACAGGCGCATAAGATGCCGATGCAGGGCTCAACGCTGGACCAGACGAAGAACTTGCCCATGATCCAGGTGTAATCGTTGGAGGTTCGGAGGAAGGTGATGTAATAAACCCGGATGAGACTTGCAATCAAGACACTGTGATATATAAGCTTGAGCTGAAATGCACTTAGCTTGGGGGTAACGCACAATCCTCCAACCAAAAAGATGCCGGATAGCATGAGTTTCTGCGTCCACCGCATTTGCAGCTTCCACACAATGGGGATTGGAACCAACAGGATGATTCCATCCGTGGCCACATTTATTGCAGCATGGCTGATATAGAATGGGTAGAGGTTGAAGACGCATTTTCCTCCACTGTGTTCTTCAAATTGTGTCCAGAAGTACGAAACTGGTCTGCAGCAAGCCAGAAAGGCGATCGTGCCAGAGAGAAAATATCCAATTGTCAGAAACACACAGAACCAGATTGGATATGTCATGCCGAAGATACGGCGGTAGAAGAGAAGAACAGATAATTTGACGAGTGGAATGGTGAGCACGTAGAGCACGACGAAGGCGAAGAGAACGCGCATCAATTCAACGGCTTCAGCGGGAGGGACACTCCATATATGCCTCCCGAGACCATGATGGCCACTAACTGTCAATAACATTGCAAGTCAGAATTGAGATCCCTTTTCGCCGCCGGAGGATGTATACATACCAACCAGAATCAGAGCGAAACAGGAGGTTACGGCCAGCTGTATATAGCTGTCAGAAACAAAAGTCATCGTTGACAGTTCCTTTTTCCTTTTTCGACAACATACCAAGGCACCCACGATCATCCAATCATCTGCAGCTACTCGCTGACCTTGCACTCGCAATCTCGTATAGAACCGAAGCCCGACAGCTAGCACTGCAAGGATGTAGGTTGCGATTACAGGGCCCTTTTCCAATGAGCCATGATCGGCGGATAGATCCGTCCCGACTGGAGCCTCCCCGAGAGGGCTGAGCGACATACAGAGAATTGGAAAGAAGCTCACATCCGATGCAAATAAGGTGAATACTGGATTAAGGTATACTTAAATCTAATCCTAGACAAAGATTTTTAGACTTTTGTACTTTAAATCTCTTCACTTTAAAATGCAAGGCTAAGAAAATGGCTCCCATACACCACACGTGCATAATACCTAGATCTCCACTTCCCGTCTTCGATGAAACCCATCAAATGATATCAGCCTATGACGTGGGCTTTAATCCTGCCTGCGAAGGATTTGGGTCTAATTCATGTGCCCCGTCAACGCTACTGCTCGTGTCTCGTTGCTAAAGCTATGGAGACAACCCCTGAGCCTGAGTTCGGAGTAATTCGTTAAACCCGAAGCCTTTCATCTTCCTACGACGGAGAGCGGAAAAAGAAATAGACAAGGGGTAAAAAGTAAGACATCCACTGTTGAGAAACACACCATACCGTCCAACGAATTCCTTTACAATGGGATTATAAATATAGACCCCGGTCAATGTGGATTCAAAATCTCAGCTCCGAGTCATCTGCATAGTAGGCGCAGCTCGCCCATAAGCTGAAACATGATCATCCGCTTGATTTTGTGTTTACCTAGGAAAATAATTCCGAAGTTGAAGGCTCATGGCTCGAGAATATCTATCGCGGTGTTGGACGCGATTCCTGCTCACAGCTATGTCTTTCCATTCGAGCCCAATTCGAACTGGTCCAAATGCTATGCTGGTGATGCTGCGACTGAGAAATACATTGCCCACTGTGTAGATAAGTACGGATTGAAAATCCCGATTATGTCTAATACCAAGCTCATCACGTCCATTTTGGAACCAGAAGCGAGGCAGATTGGCGCACAAGCTCAAAAGAATGACAAAGTTATCCATGATGGAACGGACGTTCTTATCAAGTATTCTCAATTGGTGGAAATACCAAAATACCAAACATCATCGATTTGGACCAGTTCGCTGGCAAGCTTGTTCACACGGCTGTTTGGGATACAACGTACGACTGACTGACAAGAAGATCGTGGTCATCGGCAATGGCTAACTTGGTATTCAAGTTGTTCCTGCGCTCCAGCTCAAGGCCGCAAGAACTGACAATCGCATTCGTTATCCGACCTGGGTGTCGATCTCTGTCCAGATATGACACAGGATGGAACTGCTCGCAGGCTGCCTCCTGACTCGACATTCATTTAGATAGGGTTCTATGCTAGCTGGCTAGTTAGTTCGCAGTAGTAGACTATGTAGTTTACTACATGTGTAACTAGTGAACCCCTCTGTCCGAAACCGGACCTCGGGTTTTCCCAATTTATATTCTAAACCCAAAGCGAAAATAAATACTCCTGTCACATCCCATTCCAACGCAAGGTCATCCCCGAGCTCCCCCTATCCCGCGCCGCGCCGTGCCAACCTTGGAAGCGCCGAGACGGGCCCCGAAATAGGCCCGAAGTCGGCCCCGGAAGACGTTTAACCTTTTATCAATGACACAGTGAAGCCTTTTCCTTTTTCACTACGGAGTACTTATCTGAAACAAAGTAAATTGCAAAATTGCAGACATGTCTGTCAATCCTCGGAATTGGATTCTGGTATACTTGTATTTGCCACAAAGGAATAGAGATCTTCATCTCCATCCGACGGAAGTTGACCGCTGAGCATGAGCATCCAGCCCAACCCAGACTCCAATTGGAAATCGCGTGTCTCAGGCTGTGTGTTTGGAAGCCTTCCATGACTTGGGATTATGGCGTCAGATCCATTAAGTGTTCGTGATCGTTTTCTCGGGGGGTAACCAGTCCCATCCGATCCCCGGTCCGGTTTAGTAGCACGGGTTCGAAGCTCCCATTTGTGCTGTAGCCTTACCAGCAGATCTTTGGCGCGATTTGCACTCTGCCAGGATAGAGAGAACTCATCGAGGGCTCTGAAGCAGGTACTCAGATGAGCGATGATGTTCTCTTCTTCTGATGTTTGGTACTGGGAAACGGCGGCGAAGAGAAGTAGGAGCACCGCGGAGGAGGTAATTGAGACTGCTTTGATATTTATGCGACGGAGGGTATATCTCGTCTCGTACAATACAAGGATTTTGGCAATGGAGATGGCGGAATTGATGCACATTTCTCGGGCATGGGTGGATCTGGGGACCCTTTGGGGGTTGTGGTTGCAGGTAACCTTTTGACATCCAAGGTCGATGGGTGTAAATGAGATTCTGGTAATATTGCATGCTTTAGGATGTGTTAGTGAATCTACTTGAGACTTGCAAAATAAAGTAGAAACTCACTGAAGTAGCAACACATGTGGAAGATAAGGAGAAGTGTGATCGTTGAGATCGATTTGCAGAAATGAGGGCAACTGAGCTTTCCAACTGAGAAGCTTGGCAACATTCTTCTCATTGAGTTGTTGGAGCAAGGCTCTTGGGATAGCTGATGTCCCATAACTTTTTCGGGGCGAAGGTTAGCCGAAGCAAGTGGCAGGACCAAAGGCTGGAGACACAATAACAAACGAGAACGAAGAACTTACAGAAAGTAGCCGCAGGGTGCCATAAGCTCACATAGTGAGACTTCCTGTTGACTGACGGCCCCCACACAGTCAAATAATCCCGAATTACTCTCAAATGGAATGGGAGACGCGTAGGGCGTCCATTTGCAAGGGTGTCGATAGTCGACGTCATTGTTGGGCTTTTTGACTGTAACATCCTCCATATTGGTGTAAAAAGGCCTACCAAGATAGAAGCCGACAAGACTGAAATTTCAACAGATTAGAGGTATCCTGAACGCATATGAAAGCGATATGGGAACTCACTGATCCACCATATACGCAGCCCAAAACACAGTTCGACGCAGCTCAGCGTCGGCAGCGGTAACAGATCCACGAGCAACATAGGGAGAGAGGTCAATATGCAGGGCAAGATCAAAAGCAAGTCGAAGGGCCATCCCTGGAATTGTAAGTAAAGAAAGCCAGGAACTTGCGACGGGACTTACCACTGTAGAGCCATCCACGTGTATCTGAGCCCACACCGATTTCATGGCTGCTTAAGATAACCAATGCTTGGACTGTTGCCACGCATGGAGAGTCTAGTTCAATCTCAAGAAGTTCCTTTGCACGGTCCCCAAAGAATTCACCGAGAGATTTCGGGAATGTCACAAACGATGGATGATAACGGGTTTCGAAAGCAGCGCCCAGAGAGCACCTGTTTGAAAGCGTTATTCCATATATCTAATTCACCAAATTGAAACAAACTCACATTGCATAGCAGAGTGCCTCGGAATAGAACGGGGTCTCTTCTCTCCCATTCCAGGCTGTCTTTCCTTTCTCGAACAATTCTCGGTCGACAACGTGGAACGATGGATCTTGCCAGGCAAAATAGAGATTAAGAAGATGCTCTTCGAGCGATAATGGGACCTGTCTGTCATAGTCTGTTTCGTCGAGATAATCGACGGTACGACGTGCCTGGGCGTTAACAGATACTGGCGCATCGGCAAGGTTGAAGGTCGATGTCGGACCATAAAAGCGAGCTTTGCCTCCAGGACCAAAGCGCAATGTGCCCATCCGATCAGAAAGCTCGTCGATCAGATCTTCGATTTCTTCCGTGCTCCTGGTGTCGTTGTCGAGACTGGGTGGGATTTGAAGGACCGAGGGCTCGAAGGGCTCAGGTGGCCCATCCGATGGCTCCAATGGCTCCCCTGGCAGCCGTGGTGGTTCTATTCCAATGTCTTGGATTTCTGGGGATGGCGGTGTAATGCATGTTCCAAAATCCAAGGTCCAGTCCCAGTTTGATAATGAATTATCCGAATGATCATCCGTTGGTGGATACTGTTCGGTAATTGGTATATCCAGACACCCAGTATCGATAACGGGCAGTGTTGATACGGCATGAGGATCCGAAAGCACTGTGGCACTTGATTGAGAGTTTTGCGATATGTTGGCCGGGGATGTCGATGTCTGACCCCAAGTGCTATTTAAATCACTTATTATACCGGGAGCGGAGAATGGCACTGAAGTTGGTGGCAGATCATTGCTTGCTGGTTGAGGATTGTGATCGGAGGACTTGCTGTTAGTTTGATATTTTCCTTCGGCGGGATGCACTCCAGTCAAGCCAAGAAGATCAAGGACTTTAGTCAAAGCAGTGTCCTTTTCTTGCGGCATAGGCGGGGCCTCCAATCCACTTTCACGAATGAAGAGACAGAGCTGTTCTACTCTGCTTGATAGAAGCTCTATGGCAACGCGGAGTGGGAGTCTTCACATAATCAGCGCTATTATCTCTCTTCATGGAATGACCTTGATAGGTCACTTACTTTCTCTTGTCTACGGCCTGGTATCGACATTCGCGGTGTTTGTTCATGCAGCTGGAACATTTGGGCTTACCACCGTCACACTGCTAATATTAGCTTGTTTTGTTCCCCACTAGGCTAGACGATAGTCACCTTGACTTTACTCTCTCGACATGATATGCATGCCATGGAGGCATGATGCCTCCTCTTTGGGGGAGCACTGTCCTTTGTCATGTTTTTCCCGTTCTTCTGGCTGCCATGAGACCATGCAGTGCTTGCAATATCCTAGCCCGTTAGCAAATAGAGGGCAGCATCAAGGATAGCTTAAAAGATCTAAGTACAGTGCGGGGTATTATTCAAGGGGAAATGTTTAATCCGAACTATAGCTTTTCACTGCCATTTCATTGGTTCTACTAAAAGGGGACCACTATCGATAAAAGACTACCAGAAAGACTACCAAGAGGACTTCTAAAAATACTACCCAAACAACGATCAGCGTATTTGTATTTCTGGGGCTTCAATCGGAGGAGACTCGTATATGTAAAGAACTAATGACATCAGGTAGCATGATAGACGGCCTCGTTGACGAAGGAGATATCGTCCAAGTCTCATTCTCCTCCAAAAGGTTGTTCGGGGGCTGCACCAATCGCTGGTATTACCGATTTTGGATCTAACCCGATTTGGGAATAGACAAACCCTACGGAAATCATTACCCGGGGAACTTGGACATCGATGTATACCCCACGTTTTCTGCAACAGCCCCAGGTTTTGGATGTGATTAACACGTAGTCCTATCACAGAAAGTAGATTTCATTGAATATAGATACTGATATAAATCGCACACGGCTGGTCCATGGTAATATCATACATTGGCTACACTGCAATGACCCATGTTTTTCCAGAATGTTCAGGGGAAATGGCTTCAATACAGAATTACTGCAGCATGTGGTGCTGGCTTTGTTTTTGGTGGGAAAGAGGCTAGGATTTAGATGCAGAGCACCTTCCGTAGACATCAGAGTACTTTTTCCAATTTCCTTTACTTTCATTTTGTTTGTTTGCAGTGTCTCAGGTCACACATGTCACCACCCGTGGACATGTCACTACATTGTCCACAACACAATTTCTACACGTCTCCTTCGTCCTATTCCTCTACTCTCCCTTTACCGTCTCATCACGGAGGAGGGCAATGATCTTATCTTCCTCTCTTTCTTCTTACACACACTAAAATGTTGGCCATAAAATAGTCTGAACAATAGAGAGCATCTCGCTTCGACCTTTCTCGCTATGTCTGAGAGAATGGAAAAGCCTGTAAGTTGCATCTTTTTTTGATTGCCGTATACTTGATGCCAGAGCCGAGGCCCCAAACTCCAGAGAACTTGCACATGTTTGGTCTCCAAGATGCTGTGTTCGATAACGCACAGAATGGGAATCTGGGCGACATCATCTCTGTCGTGAGGAACCTAGCTAACTTGTATCTTGTCAGTTAGTGCATTTTGCAAGGAGTGTCAATAGACCTCTAGCTCAAAATGCAACTGCTATTGTTTTAACTCCTGGGACCTTATCGAATGGATCGAATGGGGGTGTGTGGCGTTGGACAAATCCAAAAGCAACCACCACCTTTTTAGAACCAAGGGCTGGAAAATCTGAAGGTCAGCACTTCGAGCAAAGAAAGTGGATGAATTAACTGACGATATAATAGACAATCTCCAGAATGATGTCCAAGTCCATCCGCAACAATAATCCCCCGCCGACAATATCTCTATTTCTACTCATCATGCCACATCACATCACAAGTGGACTCTTCCAATTGTCTACAGTATGTAAAAGCTACAGACAGAGCTCTTGCTCGAAAAAATCAAGCTATGTGCTTTTTCTTTTGGGTGGTGCGCCGCATAGCATGACAGGTAGGTGTACACTTGTCACACTTGCTGGACCACTGGCCTTCTGCTTTGAAGGTCACACTACCCGGGCTTCCGGGCCCTATATGGTTCGGTAGTGAATTCATGGAGCGGAGTTAGGGCGAACTGTGGATTTTTTGGGCCATCTATACTGGCCCAGGCTTTCGAACAACATCCCCAAGCCCATCGCGTTGCCAGCAGATAATACATTGGCACTCGTCATAACCCAACAAGCCTGGTCCTGTTCTTAGTGCACTACTCTCAAAAGCACTCATTCACCCGGCAAATATTTATCTCATTGTAGTTGGGATAACAGTGTCAGAAACCCAAGCGAGCTAGCTGCTCACCTCAAGATGTGGCCAGCACCTACAATGCTCACAGTGGAGTCTGCAGCTGAGCAGGTTCTGATTGCCTACGAGACTGGTGCCAAGACTGGTGGCAGGGCTGGTCCCTTCATGTATCCACGATTTCTTCCAAAGCTCTATAATAATTTTAAATTACTTGAGAGTGAATTTTATCCAGTAATACTGTAACTAGTAATAGCTGTGTTCATATTTAAATGGGATCAAGGTGACATATGGATTAAGAAGAGATGGTATATGTAAAAGAGTAAAGCCAACATAGTATCCCCCCAGGTGGCCGTGGCCTTATGGCGAAACGGCGAACGCACCTGCGAGGGGTCAAAGGGGCTCTTTGTGAGCCCCCCCCATCTCAGAATACCAAAATGCTTCTCGGTCGACCCCCGCCGCTGACTTTGCTTATCGTGGGGGGGGGGGCGTTGATCCTCCTGCCTTTCCTCTTACATCCATTTTTTTCTCTTTCTTTTTTCTTTCTTTCTTTCTTTCTTTCTTTCTTTCTTTCTCATTGTAGAGGTTGACTTTTATCGCTCATTGATCAGGTCCTGTCAGCATCTAGCATCATATCTTACTCTTCTACACCCAGATTCAGCTCCCAGCTTCTACCCACTGAACCCTCACTTCCTATCCGCATACCCACAATCTAGCTCAGTTCTTGCTGCCCAAATTCAGCTCTCGATACCCCTTCAACTCTCACTTTCCATCAGTAACCTGTACCTCACGAAACACAGAGTCTCCAAGCGCAGCGGCACCGGTACACAGCGAGTGCTATATCGATTGTCCGCAGCCAGTCGACAGACTCAGATACACAGATTGTGGAGTCAAGCTGTCCGGCGGATGGAACATCATGCATTACGGTACTAGTGGGAACGGTCATCCACACTCTCTCGTGACTGTCTCCAAGCGCACTTCCCGACGCTCAACCCTATGTTGCGGAGATGGCTGTAAGTCTGTAAGAGTTTCAATGTATGAGTTCATGACACTAATATACAAGCGCAGTCCCAGCCACACCCAATACTATCTTCCTATATAGCGAATATTGTACGTGGGAGGCGAGAGGTTGAGGTTGATGTTGATCACCTCGGGACAAACCTACTCGCATATCATTTCCCAGTCTCGGAAAACTACGGGGTTGAAAGGAAAGCGTATATCGATCACAGACTAGGGGAAACGTTTGCATGTACACCTTAACTCATGGTTCAATGTCCATGGTGATCATGACGGAAAACAAAAAGGCCTCGATGTCACAATCGGTCATCCGCCACCTAGAGGTTTCACAAAGGCCTCGTCCCGGTCCTTGAAACCGCGATCTTTCATATCGGCTACCTTGGCAGGGAAATTCTGTCCCAGATCCTGAAGCATCTGTTCCGGAGCGGCTCCACAACCTCAGCAGCACCTTGTACGTTCTACTACAGGAAGATTTTCTCTTCCCCAGAGCTCCTGGGCTCATGCAGAGGGCCAGCGCTTCTTTGGGGTTACAGAAGTTTGTATTCACTGGTTATTACGCGTGGCATTTGACGATCCGAGCATGTTCCTTCGACAGCGTGTTCCTTCGACAGCGTGTTCCTTCGACAGCGTGTTCCTTCGACAGCGTGTTCCTTCGACAGCGTGTTCCTTCGACAGCGTGTTCCTTCGACAGCGACAATTCTGCATCCTGGGTGCTAATGCAGAGGCTTCTATGAGAGCTACCTCGAACAAGATATACTGGTTTAGATTCCCCACCGCTATTCGCCGCCAGCGTTTACTAGAAAACCCTCCAGGTGAGGCTGTTGAAGGTATACTTCCTTACTAAATACTACTATGAGGATTGCCGATTTCAAATCAGTAAGCCGATACCACAAGCTGCAACACAGCCGTAAAAAGACACACAGAAAGGCATCTACAAAAGGCCATCCATCTGGCAATAAGTATATTGTGGCGGCTGTTCATTCTGACCATTCCGCGACAACTCACGCTCAGCTCATCATTGGAGCTGCTCAACATATATTCGAAAACGAGTGTTCTTCCTCGGCAAGTCCTTCTCGAATCCCTTGAGTCTGGCGCTATCGTGGAATATCTCTGCAACTACTTTAGTAGCGCACAGTCAACGGAGGTTGACATTGTACTCTTCGAGATGGATATGGTCCGTACTAGAAGTCTGGGGTTCATGCGCCATTCCAAAGATTGAACGTTGCGTTCAGTCTTGGTCGTTATGCGTTGTATGTTCTTTACAACCGTAATCTGATGCACGGCGAGCTATTCGTCAGGTCTCCGCTCCTCATGGAATTGGAGTTTGCAAAGAGCAACAGACTAGTGCACGCTATGCCGGACCCATGGCGGAATCGTTCGCAGACCTGCCTACTCGGAGTCATGTTATACAAAAGGCAAACAAATCCCATGAAGATCGCCGCTCTGCCCGTAAAGCGAATATCAATTCATTCGTTACCGATAGTACCACAACGGTACACAGCTAGCAGCGAGGTCAAAGTTCATTTCGTGCCTTGCCCTGCGGTAAAAGCTTTCCTGCTTCGCTTTTCGCCTCAAAAGGCCCGAGACGAGGAGGTGGGGAAAGTCGTTATATCATCAGCGGCGGCTTGTCCAAGGGCTAGGGGCGCGGGGGGAGGGGTTGGCGGGAAGCCAGCCCCCGAATCCACCTGCATTCCCTGGATGAACCCCCAAACGGCCCCGGCGACGACATTGTCACGCGGACCTTCCCCAGGAGGTCGTGATTCAGCGTCTGCAGAAGAAGAGACTAATATATGGCGGCCAAGTGTGGACATCCAACTACGATCCTCTGTCACATGCCGTGACATGGGTGGTCGTTCAACGAGACACCACCTCTGAAAGTCGACACCACAAAGCTGACCAAATTCGGCAATTGTGCCGAAGCATACCCTTGGCTTAGCCTGATTAGAACTGCCGGCCCGATGACTCGCCTGCCGTGTCTATTCTCCTCGTGACACGCGAGTTTCTCGTGGGGAACCAACAGTGCACGAGGACTCAGTTCCCCTCGTCCTCTCATACGCAATCACTGTACACAAGGCCCAGGGCATTGCTGTGGACCAGGCGGTTCTCAATATCAGCGAGCGGGCCCACTCCTCGGGCCTGCACTACGTGGCAGTCTACCGGATGCGCACCCTCCCAGGGATCCTCTTTGAGGCTATCAACTTTGACCGCATCCAACCGGCTCGGCCTACGCCGACTATGCTGATGCGCCTGAATAACCGTCGACGCCTCGTCCCACAGCATGTGTTGCTGCCGGGCCCGATATCGTCTCCCGTAGCTACCCTGGTGCTACGCCCATCCCTGCGTGGCGTGCTCGGCCGATTTACCCCGTCCCCTATCCGGTCCGGTCACCTGTCGTCTCGTCACCCGCCTCGTCGCCTTCTCTATGGAGGGCTGCTACCCGTCCGCTGTCGCCAAGGCCGCCGCTAAAGTGGCTTCTAGACCAGATATCCTCCTCGCCTCCCCAGTCAGCACAGCCCCCTGGCCCATCGTCTCCCTGACAGGTGAGCCCATACTGAGTTGGTATCTAATTCTTCTCCGCCGAGGTCCATTCTGTTGAAGGAACCCCAGCTGGCTCAGCACGCTAGTGCGGGCAAGGGCGGATCTTCTTGGAAGACACTGAAGGATTCAGGCTCTGCGCGTACTCGCAAGGAGAAGACTTACGACCAGTTCCTTCAACACATGAGGATGCACCAAGGGTTACAGTCCAACATGACCCAGTTCCAGAAAAGAGAAGAAGCAGTCAGCATGGCTCTTCCACGCAGTCTCGCAAGTTGCTCCAGGTGAGAGTTCCACTGCCTCCTCTGGTCGAGGACGACCGATTGTCCAGTGAAATGCTGAAAGGGGTCACATTGGGGTTATCATTTTGTATTATTTAATTAGTTAATTACAGCGTATAATTGGATCGCGATTCAAGATTCATCTTCATTGGCTGATATGACAAAATGGGTATTTCAAATGATATGCAACAGGCGTAAATCAAGAAGTACTTCTCATTCACCACAAAAACTGACGTTGAAACTCGAACGACGGCGCTCCCTGCCAAGAGCTCATTCTCTCCACCGTAGCATTCCCATCATGCGTATTATCTGCTGTCTCGGGAACCGGACAGTTCGGTGTCCCATTGCAAGTTCCATTGGAAGATCCATCAATCTCTCGAGTTGCGGACATTTGAACCGACTGCAAACGCCTTCTCTTAGAGCCCTGCATTTCTGCACCCACCCTTCCAGGCTCAGTACAAGCTTGCTGCCACCTCCGGATACCCTGAGGAGTATCAAGAGGGAACTGCGACCAATTCTCAATCCCTCTCTTCTCAAGTCTGGGAAATGGCACATACGTGCCGCTACTCTCTCGAGGAATCGCATCCGAAAGCTGCTCGTCCGAGACATGTGGAAGCAAATTTAAAAGAATGCTCTCAGTGAGCTGGAGTCGGTTCTCCAATGCTTCGGCATATCCTTTCTCCGGTCCTCTTCGAAGCTGTTCGGGCCAGTTGCATGGTCGGTTGTTCTCGAGACATTGTTCGCAGACGGGTTTACGGCCGCTGCATTTTTGTTTTCTTGAGCGGCACGCGTTGCAGGCAATTGTTATACGCGCGGGCCTTTTCTCTTTTGATTTCGATGGCATTTTATTTATGCGCAAGATCAAAATGGGTTGGGGATGTGGTGCAGTGGTGAACGGCAGATCCCATCGCCTGAAAGTTCTGCCGGCAGAGGCTTGTCGCGACAGCGGCCATCCGGGCAAAAAGTGTACATGGGGGAACTATCAGCCTTCTTTGATCGCATGTAGTATATAGTCTGGGTATTTATTTGCATTTGATTTCTAGGAATGCTATGATATTTTTAGTTCCACACATATTTCCTCTTTGAATATGACTTCGAAGAATTCATACCGCATTGCCTCTATCCCAGGCGATGGCATCGGTCCCGAAGTAGTCAGTGCTACTATCCAGGTCATCGAGAAACTTGCAAAGACCCTTGGTACATTCGATATCAACTTTGAGCATATCCCATGGGGAACCGAGTACTACAAGCAAACCGGACGATACGTATCTGAAGATTATCTCGACAGTATACGCCAGTACGATGCCATCCTATTCGGTGCCGTTGGATCACCCGGTATGTCCTCTATACCGCACAGCATTATACCAAACCACCAGACCTGTAAACAGCAATATTAACACAGGCAGACGTACCCGATCACATCTCACTCTGGGGCCTACTCCTAGCCCTCCGCGGCCCACTCCAGCTATACGCAAACGTCCGACCAGTCCGCACCTTCCCAGGAACCAAATGCCCCCTCACCACAGCAACCAACGGCATCGACTGGATGCTCGTACGCGAGAACTCCGAAGGCGAGTACGCCGGACAAGGCGGACGGTCCCACGTCGGACAGCAATGGGAAGCCGCGACAGAAGTGGCTGTATTCACGCGTGTGGGCATCGAGCGGATTATGCGATTCGCATTTGAGACAGCGCGATCACGGCCGCGTAAGCTCCTGACCGTCGTCACGAAGAGTAACTCCATGCGCAATGGGATGGTGTTGTGGGATGAAGTTGCTGCGTCTGTCGCGCGGGACTTCCCCGATGTCAAGTGGGATAAGATGCTTGTTGATGCGATGACTGTTCGGATGGTGGCGAAGCCGCAGTTGATTGATACCGTTGTCGGGACTAACTTGCATATGGATATCTTGTCGGATCTTGCGGCTGCGCTGGCGGGGTCGATTGGTGTTGCGCCTTCTAGTAACTTGGATCCAACGCGCAAGAGTCCGTCGATTTTTGAGCCGGTTCATGGTAGCGCTTTTGATATTATTGGGAAGGGGGTTGCGAATCCGGTTGCTACTTTTTGGTCGGCGGCGGAGATGCTCGTCTGGATTGGGGAGAAGGATGCTGCTGCCCAACTGATGGGCTGTGTGGAACGGGTCTGTGCCGCGGGGATTCTGACTCCAGACCTGGGGGGAAGTTCTGACACTCAGGGGGTTGTGGATGCTGTTTGTTTGGAGGTTGAGAAGTTGTGAAAGGAGGTCTGAGACAATTCATTGTTGCTTCTCTTCTTCTTTCCTTCTTTTCTTTGTCTTTTTATCCTTCTTTCTCGTCTCGTCTCATCTGAAATATCTTGGATAAACTGATCAGTTGACCGTTGAATGTCGAACAGACACAAAATACCAATGATTATAGGAACTGACCTATAGAGGGTATCAACTGAACATCCATAACAAGAAGCTCAAAGCCATCTCGCACAAGATGGAACAGATCAGGCGGCGATGAACTAAGAAACCCGAAAATGCCATTATAGCAATATGACACCTGTTTCCCTCATCTAAAAGGAATGGAAACAACATCAGGATGCTCTTGTCTTACAGCCCACCATTTAAACGGGCCTTAGCACCCTATCTCAGGCTATGTCAGGCCTTCACAGTCACTCCGAAAGCACTCAGCCCTCAAAGCCAAATCCATTCGAATTCATCTATCATCAATATACAAGGTCAGTCCCTTCAGCTTCAAAACCAAACCAGCCATTTAACAATATCCAAGAGATGTTCTACCAAAACGGAAGATTACTGCAAGAGCCCGAATACAACCCCCGAACAACGAAATGGGTGAATGTATTCTTCAACATGCATGACTACCGATGCGACGACCTCACCATCATGCGCACAGTCCTCACCTGCATCCGCACACGAGTCGTCAGTATCACCGGCCATGCTATGCACCACGATGTCCCGCTCTGCATCTCGATCCAGGTCCCCGGAGAACATGTCGATAAGGAGTCGATTCTTGCTGCTGCAGAGGTATCGGCGGAATGTCTTCGAGCACAGGTTGCTAGGGGGGTCTGTCCATATTAACCGGTCTTTGCTTTTCCGGGGGAGATAGGGTTTTATTTCATGGAAGGGGGTGTTGATGTGCTTTGATCGGAGTTGGAGTTTCTGGGAAGGAGTTTTTCTGATGCTTAGAGCAGCTTATAGATTGGGTATAGACTAGATGTTTGATAGAATATAGAAATTAGATTATGATTTCCTCTATATAATCAACAATATCTACCTAGGTATGCTATAGTAGTTTGGTTTATAAGGTGAATAGGCAGCCCTAGGCTTTTACATTAATACGAGCGTTGATATTGCTGGCTATGATAAAATAAAAGTAATACACTTAAGTAGCCCTCTTTATTTAGGTCTGAGATTCTGAGACAGTATGTAATAATAGCATCGTCTTTCATGTCTTTATGTCGTGCTGCGAGTCGAAATAGCATGCCAAGGACATAGTAATATCAAGCTTAACCGTCCAAGGTCCATTTTCCTAGTAGGAAATAGAGGTAGGCAGAAATAATAGAAAATAATACATTAATTTCGAGTCATAAACTAGGCAGACCTCCAGGAAATATCCCAAAGACTCAATAAACACAGAGGCACAAAGACATCCTGTAATTAGATGAAAGACTTGAAAATAGCATTGTACCATACCTCCTTTGTTCTTACCTCAGAAGACTCACTATAAACAATAGACAGTTACCAGAGAGAGTACTTAAACAGAGATATAATTTGAATTCCAGAAGCCTCGAAACCTCCTTCCCATCTTCCATCTTCCATCTTCCCTCCCAACACCAAACATTGAAAATCACAAGGTAAGTAAACCCCCATCCAACATGGGCATCCCAAATTCCAACCTCAGCAAGATGCAGAGCATGTTCTACTTCGACGGGGAGCTAATCCCAGAACCCGAGTACGATCCACGCCAGGTCAGCAACTGGGTGAACGTCTTCGTCAACCCGCGAGACTCGGACTCAGACGACGAGACTCTTATGCGCACTGTCGCCGCTTACATCCGAACCAGCACTGCCTCGATCTCCGTCCATGCTAAGCATCATGACTACCCCCTGTGCATCTCTATCAAGGTGCCCGGAGACTACCATTCCAACAAGGCGTCTATTCTCGCCGCGGCGGAGCTGCAGGCTGACTACTATTGCCAGGAGATTCGGAATGGGAGAGTGCGGATCAATCGGGCTTTGCTTTTCCGTCGTGAGGCGTAAGATAGGGGTTGGTGGTGGATGGTTTATGGCGAATTGGGGGGGGGGGGGTTCTATTTGATGATACATGAGCGTTTGAGAGACATACACATACCCACTGCGTGAACAATATGCATTATTATGGTTTGGCCTTTTTGGTATCTCATGTAAACTCGCTGTTAGTTTGTACATATCTAGATTGCTTCGTGCTAGTAGTGAGTAGCATGGTCTAAAAGCTGGGGAATTGCTGCCCGATCATATCGAACAGAGTGTCAAAGTTAGCACCCTCGATTAAATCCACCATGTTCAAGTCGAAATTCGATATCCCGTCAAGGTGTGTGGCATCCATGTCCTGTAAATCCATCTGTGAAGACGATGTATCGGCGAGAATGCCCTGCTCGTTCATTTGCAACGGGTGCATCGATGCCGAAGGAACTACCGTGGAATCATGGCCCCTATGCATAGCCTCGACCCATGTGTTATTCCGGTGCTCAAGATCGGAAGGTTCTACCGATACGTCGAACTCTTCTCGCGAGTGTGAGAGACGACTAAGTCTCCGTCTGTTCTCCTCGCGTGCAGCCAAAGATTCCACAAGTGTCGGACTTCCCTCAGAGCCCCTCACATACGCTTGGGAATTTGCTGTTGGATCGGATCCGCTTTCTGACTGTTGGATTTTCGCGGTCAGCACTGAGAGCGACATGTGGCAGTGTTTGGCTGTCTCCCATTGAGTAGACATCAAACGCAGGTATCCCGAAAATTCCTCTATTTCCCTATCAAGCAGTTAGCACACAGTGATCAATTAAAGATCCAGAATAAAAAGAAACACAACACGTACTGAAGACCCTTCGTCAACACATATTGGTTCAGTTGACAAGCCAAAGCCAAAACCAACCCGGACATCCACGCAGCCGACAAAAAGCCCGGCCAGAATAGAGCCTGGCGGCTATCGACTTGCAACCTCAGCGCGGCAAGTATAGCCCGAGCAGCCCCGATGCAAGTTTGCAATCCAGAGCAGAATTCCGCAGTGGACGGATCCAGCGACAACGAAGGCCGATGGATGATGAGGATGAGATGCTGATACAGCACCGTGAAAAAAGGAGCAAAATCAAACGCAGTGTCTGCCATTACAGATCCCACCCTGTGTTCAGATACTGCTGACTTTCTTTGGAGATGGGAGGGAAGACCATTCCACCACTTATGTACGTCTGTTACGAGGAACAACACCGAACTGCGACGAACGGATCGAACCAATATTGATTTGTGGAAGAGCTCCAATGCCCGGCCCGTCAGAGTCCCCGAGTCAACATAGCTAGCAAGAACGCTTTCCTTGTCATGGTATTCTTTCTTACCGTGCTGCGGCGCGGAGTTGTCATTCGCAGACTGAGTCGTCTGGCCTCGAGGGGAATGCATTTCCCGGGCAGCAGGCAGACACACGTCGATATCAGAATCCTGTATACCAAGCGGCAAGCCCAACGCCTGGCTCAGGTATCTATCGATTGCATAAGCGCACCAAAAGACCCGCTTGCGCAGTTGTCGGTCGTGGGTGGAGAGTTGCTTGTATCGAAATGGACACCGGTGGAGACCGGCGTGAAGCATCGAGCGTAGGATACAGCCTCCGACAGTCGATGCTTGTCGAAGTGACATGGTAGCGACGAGATAGACTTGGATAGCTAGAAGCGCTTGTAGTGAAACGATATCATGTCGAGAGGAGAGAGTGCCGAGTAAAGAGTTGAAACTGGTCGGTGATTGGATCTTCGACTCGGATGGCAGATCTACGTCTGGCGCTAGTAAACTGCCTAGATTGAAGACACATTGGAAAACTGTGGTCCAGCATGTACTCCGGTGATCTATGCATGATTCCGGCGTGTGCTGAGTTTCATTCCTGCTCGAGTAGACTTTCTCCATCGCCTGCAGGAAGGTGGGACCATGCAGGAACGGGAACAGAGGGTGCCAGACTTTGAAGTACATCATCATCAGACTCTTGGCCACATCTGGGGGCGGTAGATTGCCCAGAGATGCCGTCAATGTTGGGTCGTAGGTCAATTCTGCGGGAGATTCGACCACTTCCGAGGACGAAGCAGTGTCTCTGACGGATGAGGTGCGCTGGCGCTTGTCACGAGGTGAAGTTTCAGCGCCTACGAGCGTTTCCTCTGCTGTGGGCAATTGGGGTTCAGATGAACCCGGGCCCTCTAGGCTGTTGAATGCACGTTTCACGGTCTTGATGAAATAGACGCCGCTTGAGCTACCGACGAACTGGCTATCCTCGTTCGAATGTGCCGTCAAGGAACCAATTTCAGATGTCTCGGGTACAAATTCAGAAGCCATTGCGCATATATCATCTCGGATGAATGAAATGTTCTCTCTAAAGCTGGATTCCACAGGAATCATTCATTCACCGGGGGCGTCCACGGGTGACCTCGGGGTAGAGACAATGCTGAGTCATATGAGAAGGCGGACCACAGCGGCCACAAAGTCGAAAGTGTCGGGAAAGAAAAATCTTCGTCTACGAAAGGAACTTGATGAAGCAATAGGCCACGGCCATCCCATTGATTGTCTGGCGCTGCTCTCCCGAATCCGAGAACAAACACAAGGACGACCAGACTTTTCCGTGAGGAATTCATAATTCTATCTGACACTCAAATTGAGTGAACCACAACCCAGAGAACGCAGGAAGGGGGAGTGTGGAAAAAAAGAAATTTCACAGATCCATCCCAGTCGAAAGATAAAAAGAAAACATAGAAACAAGGATGGTGAAAAGGATGTCAAAGGAATCACGCCCAGCGCCTAGAAGAAAAGACTTTTACCAATGCCAACCTGGAGACACTCAATATAGCCCCAGTCCGAATGGAAGGTAAAGGGAAATAGTGCATACTAGGGAAACTGGAAAAGAAAAAAAAATCCGAATGTCATACCGCATTCACTAAACACCAGGAAGGTGACTGCCTAAGAACAAACTTTTCGAACCGAGGGATATCAGGATCAGAGATAGGGAGATGTAGGGGTAGAAAGGGTAAAAGATGGGAACAAATAATGATAAGAGAAAGGAAAAGTCGTCAAAAACGTGCGTCCAAGATTTCCGAGAAGACAAAGAAGTGAACACATCAATTAAGACTTGTTCTCCTCAGCAGGGGCCTCCTTGGCGGCTTCCTGGGGCTTGGGTTCGGCGGTCTCGCCATCACCCTTGTTCTTCATGTACTCATCATAGACGTTAAGGGCCTCGTCAACCTTGCCGCGGAGAGCCTCCTCATCATCAAGCCTGAAAAAGAACGTTAGTAAATCATATCACACACTAAAACGAAAAGAATGGGCAGTGTAACTTACAGGCCAAGCAGCTCAGTGTTATCCATCTCAAGAAGCATACCAGTGATCTTGCCAGCAAGCTCGGGCTGCTGAGCCTGGATCTTGGGGTAAAGGGCCTCGCCGAGCATCTGCTTCTGCTGAGCGGGGGGAGCGGCGAGGAGAGCCTGGTTGGCAGAGGCGGGCTCGCCAGCGGGCTGGCCGCCAGGGGCGGGCTGACCACGACCACGACCCATCTGAGGACCACCACGGCCGAAACCGGGGCCACCACGCATGTTCATAGGCATACCGGGAACACCACGGCCACCACCGCCACGTCCGAAGGCCTGGGGCGTAGGGTAACCCATGCCGTTAGGAATGCCGCCAGGAGCCTGCATACCCATGGGCATACCCTGGAAGTTGGGAGGAAGCTGTTGGTTGGGGGGCATACCACGGCCACCCTGGGGGAAAGGACCGGGGTACTGGGGACGGCCACCGGGCATGTTGGGCATGGGCATACCGCCCTGGGGGGCGAAGGGCATACCACCACGCTGTCCAGGGGGCATGAAGCCCTGCTGGCCAGCACCGTAGAAGACGGCGGGCTGCATGAACTAGTCAAGTTAGTAATTGAATGAATACTGATCAAGAAAATTGTAACTTACAGGCTGGGGCATGCCGGCGGCGGCGGCGGCCTGCTGCTGGCGGATGGTGTTGCGAGCCTGGATGCTAGCCTCGAGCTGGCTGCGGCGGACATCCTTGCGCTGAGCGAGAGCAACGTAGAGGGGCTTGCCGTTGACCATACGCTGGTTCATCTCAGTGACGGCCTTGGAGGCCTCATCGGGGCTGCTGAAGCAGACGAAACCGAAGCCCTTGCTCTTGCCGAAGGCCTTCTTCTCAGTCTTCTTCTCCTCGGTGGCCTCGCCCTCCTCAGTCTTCTTCTCGGCGGCCTCAGACTTGACCTCGGCGGTCTCCTCGGTCTTCACCTCCTTCTCCTCGGAGTCCTTGGTCTCCTTGCCGGCCTCCTTCTCCTCAGCCTCAGGGGTGGGAGAACGCTCGGCGGCATCACGCATAACCTTGGCGGAAGTGATAGTACCGTAAGGAGTGAAGAGGTCACGGAGCTTCTCATCATCGATGTCGTCGGTCAAGTTCTTGACGTAGAGGTTGACACCCTGGTACTTGGAGGCCTTCTCCATGCGGGCAGCCTCGTACTGCTTGCGCAGTTCCTCCTCACGCTCGTGCTTCTTCTGGGCACGGCCAACGTAAAGCTTCTGAGACTTGACCTCCTTCTCGTTCATCTCAGCAACGGCGGCCTCGGCGCTCTCGTGGTTTGCGTAGTTGACGAAACCGAAGCCACGGCTCTTGCCATCCTGGTCGTGGCTAAGAGTGGCAGAGGTGATCTCACCGAAGGCCTCGAACATGGTGCGGAACTCGTCGTCGGTGATCTCGAGATCGATGTTCTTGATGTAGATGTTGGTGAAGTTGGCCTTCATCTCCTCGAACTTGCTCTGGCGGTCCTTCTTGGAGATGTGGTGGCCGACGAAGACCTTCTTGTCGTTCAGCAGCATACCGTTAACGTGCTTGATGGCGTTGTTGGCAGCTTCGGCGGTCTCGTAGTGGACGAAACCGTAGCCCTTGGAGTTGGCGAACTCATCCTGAGCGACCTTGCAGCTGAGAATGTTACCAAAGGCAGCGAAAGTGTCGTGAAGAGCCTTGTTGTCAATGGCGTTGTCGAGGTTCTTGATGAACACGTTGCCCTGGCCAGTCTTGCGCAGAGCGGGGTCACGCTGGGACCACATGATACGGCAAGGCTTACCCTTGATGAGAGTGTAGTTCAGGTCCTCAAGAGCACGCTCACCGTCAGCGGTGTTGTTGTAGTTAACGTAAGCGTAACCCAGGGAGCGGCGGGTGACGGCATCACGGCAGACACGGATAGAGGCGACCTGGCCGATGGAAGAGAAGAGCTCGTAGAGCATAGCCTCAGTCACGGAGGGGTCAAGCTCGCCGACATAGAGGGAAGCCGAGTGGGGCTGGTTGTTGGCAGCATCACCGGCGGCCTCGGGAGTGGCCTCGACGGGAGTGCCATTGGCCTCAGGGGCGGCGGCGACAACGTTGTCGGTGACGGGAGCGGTGGTGGGGGCTTCAGCAGACATAATGGCGACTGTTTTCACTGAGAAAAGAAAAAAAGTTTTAGCATGTGCATGCCGAGCCTATCGCGGAGAGGGGGAGGGGAATCAAGGAGGCATATGAGATAAGGTTACACGGCAGTTGATGCAGCCTCTTTGGCAAGTAACCAAGGGGGAAGTGAGAAAAAAACGAGGGGTGAATCAATGAAAAGGGAGGGGTGCCATACAGCAAAGTATCCACGAGACAAAGAGTTCAGAGAAATTTCACTTGAGCAAAGAGCACTAGCGGGTTAGCGGGGAGGGGAAAATCGAAGTGTATTGCATGCGCGAGAGAAATAGAAGAATCAGAGATGACACGATGTTCAAGAAAGAGTTGAAGAGAAGACAAAAAGCAAAATGACTAACCAGGTGAAAATGAAGACGATGGAGGCGTTGAAAGAAAATCTTCCACACAACACACCGCACAATCGGGGATGAGATAAGATAACTGGAAAAAGTCTTTTTCTTGGGTTTTTCGTGTTTTTTTGAGATTTTGTATCTTTCGATTAAAGATTCGAAAAGAAAAGGAAGACTTTTCCCTAAAGAGAGAACAACGGAGATAGAGGGGGGAGGTTGTAAGAAGGAAAGAAAAAAAGTTGAGCCGTTCCAAAGCAATTGGTTCTGGAAAACTCAGAGGCCGCACGAGATGGGGACACTAGTCCTATTTGGGATGGGGTTGCCGCTTTAAGGGCTTATTAAGTATAACCTCGGGACCTCAACTATGTTCCAACATACCTGTGTTGTTAGGTAGAACTTGATATACATATTGAAACATAAATAAGATTGGTTCTTTTCAAAAAAAAAAGATATGCCCATGCTATGCATGCTAAAATTAATAGGCAGACGGTCTACGGGAAATGTACACGAAAATAATGCCCGAACATCCCTCAAACCCCCCTCAACTCAAATCAAACCCAGCACCGGAACTCACTGCATACAAAAGCTTGCTCCTCAATGTGTCTGCATCAGAGTACCGTGGCAGCTTCAGAAGATTCACACAAGTACTGGTACTCGGCAAACGTTCCTGGTCATCACTGGAGTCTCTAATGCTAAAGTGAGGACGAAGGTGGCTGAATCCCAGCAACGGAGCTCGAGGTGTAGACGTCACGAACCGGATGACCTTTTGCCGCTCCTCGTTGGTCATCTCGTGCATAACCTGCCAGAACAGTGCAATGGTCGGATGTTCTAGATTGTCATCACCAATCACATACACACCTCCGTAGAGGGTGTTCCGTCGCAGGTCCTCCACATCAATATCAGCCTTGTCTCCGCTCACTAGCGTCTGCAACTCGGACTGATTGAACATGGATAGCCAGGCGGGTTGAATGATCTGGCCCAGGCCTTGCAAAAATGCATTTGTCTGCAGAACAGGTTGCAACTGTAGACGGTAACGAGCCACGTAGGAAATGTAGACCAATCTGTTTTTGTTTGTCACCGGGGTTTGTGAGCCATTCGGTTTCAACTCTGCTGTGACAGTGCGGTTCTGTCCACTGGGCATCCGAATCACGTTGTTTATGGTAAAGTCAAGACCAAAGTCTTCCACGTCTCCGGAGTAATTCTTCAGTTGTAACTGGTGAAACAAATTGGTCAGCTGTAGGCTCAAAAAGACACAATCTCGATCTTGCTAGGAGATACTACTTACCAAGCCCTGGTACAATCCTTCGTCAAGGTCCTTCAAATCGTTCAAGTTAGCACGATACGAAGATTCCTTCACCGCAGACCTAGAGCCCCCCTGTCAAGGCCCACTTCAAGAGGAAGAATGGTGCAAAGTTGACATCGACCAAGATCCCCTCATAAAGACACTTTCCAATGATCCGGCCCAAGAATTCATATCGTCGAAGAAGACCGCGCACGTCATTCTGCCACTCTGGGCTTGAACTTGTGAGTCCAGCCTCGCTGAGAACCTTTTTAAGTTGGTCAACAGCTATCGGGCTGGGATACAGCAGATGGTGATCGTTTTCCGCAAACATGCTCTCATAGTCATCAGTCTTGAAAGCTTCCGCAGTGACACTGGTCAGGAACTCTTTCGTCACACCGCCACCATCGATACCGGCTTCCATTGCTCCAAACTGGTCGATAAAACTGATCTGGATTGGCTCTTTGAGACCGTCACCCAAGCCGTAGTATTGAGAGAATGCATCTTCAAATACACTCTCACGCCGGATGTCGGCGTGGTGTCGGGCCAAGATATCAGCCGCACCCTCAGCGTGTCCATTCATCATAGCGCTTTGGGCCACAGACAAGCGCCAGGATTCAGGCTCCACGAAGCCTTTCCGGCGACGCTGTTGATCCCTAAATATAAATTGACGGAAGATCTGCACTCTCGTGGCAAATGGGATGAAGAAAGGCATATTTCGAAGTATCTCTAGCCGTGGCGCAATGGCAGCCAGAGCATTATTATGAGCTTGTCTTCGTTGACTATTTCGCATGGCCTGCATGTGAATTAGTCGCCGCGCATGGCTATTGCCGACAAGTTGAGAAGGCTCCGGGTTTTCCTCGTCGAGAAGATCAGGTTCAGCATCTTCATCGTCGTCCTGGAATTCATGGCGCTTCTCCTCTTCTGCCACAACGGCTGGGATAAAACCTTCCATGTCGAATCGATCAGTCATTAGCCAATGATTTTGAGGGAGGAATTTGCGTCGAGAACTAAAGCGTGTCAGCTGGAGTGCCCATACCATGGCAAATGGAGCATTTCGACTTACTCTCGCTCATGCAGCATTCTGAGCAAACCTGTAACCAAGCCTTTGAAATAGTCAAGTGGAATACCTGTCACACCAGGAAGATCATTGATCTCCTTCTTGGTCTCCACTTCAGTACGCTCCATTGGTCCAGAAACTTGAGCCGTGTTGCTAAAATAACTTCTAAGATCCACAGCGGATGATGGAACAGGTCCTTTCTTGGTCAAGTCGGCAACATTCCAATAGAGGGTGAAGGCGAGATTTTTGAGGAAGACGGTCATGTCTTTAACGTCTTTAAGAGGCAGCGCACTTTCTTTTGTCCACGAAGACAGCACATTTTGTGAAGCTGCAAATGGTGATGCGCTTGAGAAGAACTCTTCGTCATCCATTACTTTCAAGACGAACGTGTAAAGCTCAAAAAAGAGGAGGATAATCGTCCACTCCTGCTCTTGATCCTCTTGATTCCCATCTTGTGGTAGCTGCAGCAACGGAAGAACTTGGCTCGAGTCCTTGCTAATAGTATCGAAGATTCGACTGGACTTTGATGCCTGCCAAAAATATTTGATCGCCGGTACTTTGGCACCTGGCTGGCCGGAAGTCAGATCTGCTGAAGGCGCCGAGCCTAGATATAACCACATTCGAATATCATCCCCACGCCGAGGGAAGACCCTAAGCAAGTTCAGGGCATAAGTAGCAAGAATTTTTGCTTCTCTCGAAGCGTTGTAATCGTTTGAGATATCGGTGTGTGAGAGGTACGATGTCTTGATGCGAGAAAGTAACCCGGTGATGCTACTTTGGTTGACCAGACTACTGACCTGGTCGGCGACGAACTGATCCAAATACGGACCTCTGGCTGGATCCGGGCCATTTTCATCCGCCTCCAGGCACCTTGTCAGATAGACAGAGGTTGAGTTGAGCAACCCAGAGACGACATTCAGAAATCCAAGGTCAGGTGCTTGCAGGTTGGCCTGTCCCGGAAGAGCATATCGGTGGAAGAAGATCAGGTACGCAAGCAGCCAAAGTCGGCCTTCGATGCCCTCGACATCATCGGTAGAAAGGCGTTCTTTAGTCAGAGGGATGCATGATTCAATTGCAGGCGCCAGTAACTTGTAGTTTATCTGGTGCGCCAATCCATCAAGCTCACCAAGGTAAGCAGGCAGGTTTGGAATGGTCAGATACGACATAGCAAGCGCTTCATAGGCTGCTATGGTTTCGGAGGTGATTGGTCGCAAAAGAGCCAGGACAGCATTCGTAACATGCTCCGGTGACAGGGTGCCCCCCTAAAAGCTCAATGTTCTTTGTTAAGAACGCCATCGTTTGATAGTAGTGTCTACCAATCGATGCCATCCTCTTCGGTATCAAGTCAACCAGGAAGACCATCGTCCGAAGAAGGGGCAGAACGGCTGCTTCATGTGTCGGACTGTTACTTGCAGAGCCGAGCGCATGGAGGATAGCGGTTGCCAGCCGTTTTAACAGCTCGGTCCAGTCATTTTCTGTCGCGATGGTCGGCAGAGCATGGAAGGTCTGCTCAAAGACATTGCAGAAGTATACCAAACGTAGAACATCTTCTTTCTTTGTTGCCAATCCCACAAACTGAACGAGAAGCCTGAGCTGATCCAAGCATTGCTCGGCCGTGGGATATGGGGGTGCCGAAAGACGTGCCAGACACTCCAGACGTTCAACCTCCGTCCTTGGGCGGCGATCATCATCGAAGTCCAGGGCAGTGGTAACTCTCTCCCACTCAAGTGTATCCCATTCAGACTTCCAGACCTTGTATGTTGCTTTCCTGCTCTGATGACCCCGCCAGACTCGCTGAACGGTGCGAGATGCGGTTTGTCGATCTCTCTCAAGTTGTCTCAGGGCTCGCTCACGTTGGGCAATGGCGACTGCACTCTCGGGGTTTGCAGCATGAGGAGTTTGTCTAGTCGGCGAGTTTCCGGGGAATGCAGCGAATGGATTAGTGGCCCGGCCACTGAGGTTCACCTGCCGCGGGCGACGAGAATTACCCGTGAAGGATTGAAACATGGTTGCAGCAGGAGCTGCCGGATGGGAAGATGATCAGCAGGCTAGATAAAATAAACCCTCTAGATGCAGATAATCAAATCAACATACGCCCACATCACCGTGGGAGGAGGAAAGACGAAAGGTGAAGAACTATGACATCGCCGTCACTTCGGGAGCCGATACGGAAGAGCATGGCGGGCTTATCGGACTGGGCACGGACCACATATCCACGGGATCTCCAGGGCTGACTTTCCTCTCGATTGCCACTGGAACATTCTGGCTGTTAAGCTGAAGGTGGTATAGACAGCCCTAGAGTGGATATATTGGCAACTTATATGGATCTTCTATGCCTTCCAAGTAAAAGATAAAAGAAAATCTACAGAGAAAATATATGCCTATAAACAAATGCTCAAAGAGGCGAGAGACCATGGTCTTCTTGGTCCTAGTCGCCAGCAGAAAATCGCCCATCTACGTGATTTTCGATGTTAGTATACGTAGTTAACGTAACTAGGGCACCTCTACCTATGTAGGTAGCCATCTGGGCGTATAGATGTCATCAATTGATATATAGAAAGGCCGTGTTGTGGGAATTTTTTTTTTCACTCTATTCTAAGGTGTGTAGCTATAGACAGATCTATAGGACACATAAAAAGACACCTAAAAGGACATATAAATAGATATATAGATGTACCTAGGTAAAGAGTAATATAGAAAGGCTAGAGTCTGCTCCTTCCCATTCTTGTTTAGGCAGTCACCTTATCATCTTCCCCGGCTCTTCTCTTCCTATACTTTATATCACAACTCTAGCGAGATCAACCATCGCTAGAACACTAAGGCCATTGCTATCACCTCTTTCTCTTAGAGTGTGCTAGCACATATTCTACCTACTCTCTGTTAAAAAGGTAAGAGTGACTACCTAAAAACATATGAAACCTGTATACTACCTAAGTCTGGCTTCCGAAGCTTAGAGTTTCATTTCTCTATCAATCCTTTATTAGGAATCTCATACCGTCGAGGACTTGCAGACATGTTGGATAATTCAGGCATCTCAGATCTCGAGTGTCTCGAGGCATTACCCGACACCTTCAAGGCTACTTGTAACTTTTGTAATCTGATATTCATGAATTTGTCAAAATAGTACACAATTGCTCCTGTCTCGATGCCAAATGGTACACGTCCACCGATGCATGGGGTTCCTCCGTGTTCCAAATCAAGTTGATGTTGTAGAGACTATAATACATGGGATATATTCAACCAGCGGAGAGAAGGTTGATCAATGAAATTGTTGAGTAATGCCCAGCGAGGGTGGTTGTGGATGGTATGCTGGGCCGCTGGCATAAATATTAGGGAGTGATCTCAAGCGCCCGGACTGCTGCGCACTCACATTCAGTTGAAAACACATAGACAATCCCCGCTATGCGGTTTCAGTCTTTGGGGATTTCTAGAAAAGGGTCTTGGATGGCTTGCGCTTTGGCGTCTCGGGCGTTTGGGCCAGCTCTTGGTTCTCAATATGCTCAGTCTGCTCAAGCTGCGGCGTCGGCTCGGTCTCAATCTTCTCAATCTTCTTGGTGTACGGTTGTGCTAGTCGGGCCTCTTCGGCTTCAGCGGTCTCGGCCCACTTCTCCAGATAGTCCTGACCCTCAAATCCTCTGATCACGGTAACCGTGCGCCCATTTCTCTCGATATCTTGGACGTAGTTCGAGGGCGTCTTGCGCATGTGTTTTGTGACGAAGGGTCCGAGCTATAGCCATGTTAGCAGATCCGACATTTCAGCTAACTGGTGTCAGACGGTTTTGAATGCTCACGGTGAATGGCTCCTTCGCAGTCTCGGCAGAGTATCTCCTCCCAGGGATTTCAAGCTTTTTCGGCAGGCATATAGACACGGTGCTTTGACATATCGGGCCTGTATGTGCCTCTCTTGTCGAAGTGACCCATAGAGCCGGTTCGGTTTCCCTTGTAGTAGCCACCATTGACCTGCTTGGTAGTCAAGCGCAAACGCACCATCATTGGTTGCGTGGGCTTGAACATTATGGCGAGCAATTCAGGAGCCTTGAAATTGGAACCGAAGAGGGATAGAGCGAGTCGAGTTGTCCTGGAGGGAGTCGGGAGACAAAACTCGACGAATGAACGGGTCGCGCTAATCTCCGCGCCGAGAACTTTTTTTTCCCGGCAGAAAAAAAGTTCAACACCATCTACGCCCCTCTTGAAAGCAGCCATCAGATCATTTGGTACTTTTTTAGTACTGATCTGAAGCTTCTTTCTTAGTCGAGAATTTGATTTCTTGACTTATACGCCACGATGCCTCGCAGTCAGACTCAGAAGCAGGGTCCTAAAGACCGCTCAGCGCAAAAAGCTGCGCCGAAGCGGAAAAGCACTCGGTCGCTGAATGCACTGTCTATTGCAGAGAAGACAATTCACACTAAATTGGGTGTCAAACGCAGTCGTCTTGGAGCCTACGATGATGGCACCTTCAACCGCAAGAGAAACACCGGCGGCGACGATGAGGACGACGAGGAGGATACCGCCGCCCAATACAAACGCCGCAGAACCGAGGACACCGGAAGCCTTGATGGTGGCAGCGACAGTGAGGGACATGAATGGACTCTCGGACAAGTGAACAGCGATGACGACAGCGAATTGGACAGCGATGAAGCTCTCGGTGAAAGCGACGAAGAGCGATTCGAGGGCTTCACTTTCCGCGCATCCAAGTCCAAATCTCAGCCGAAAAAAGCTGCACCCAAGCCAAAGAAGCCTACAGAGATCAGCTTGTCTGAAGATGTCGACGAGTCGGATGAGGAATCTGACGGTGAAGACTACGACGAGGACGATGACCTGGGAGAAGACGCTGTTGACCTCGCGACCGCCTGGGATATGAATGTGGCGGCCGAGGAGGAGGAAGCCCAGGAAGCAGCTGCGAAAGCCAAGCGGGCTGCGAAATATGATAGCGACGAGGATTCTGGGTCAGAGGGGGACAGTGAAAGCGACGCCAGCGAGGACGGGCTGTCTATGTCGGACGACGATGCCGATGCGGATCCGCACGGCCTTTCGAAGCTACAAGACTTTGTCCAGTCTATGGAGACTGAAAAATCTACGAAACGTACTCAGAAATCACAAGAACAAGGCAAGCCCTCGGAATTCGGCCTGACGACCGCCAACAAATTAACCGTCGCCGATCTCCTACCCTCCATCACCGACTCTCGCCTCAAGAACTCGCTCAAACATATCGATTCTGTTGTCCAAGCATCAAAATCTGGCATTCCTGGCAAGCTAGATGCCCCTCTAGCGAAACGCCAACAGGACCGACTTGACCGGGCTGCTGCCTACGAGAAGAGCAAGGAGACCTTGAACCGATGGCTCGAGACTGTCAAAGCCAACCGCAGAGCCGAACACCTTTCCTTCCCGCTACGTGATCCCGATGCTGAGCAGACTCACCGCTTGGAAGCTGCCAAGCCGCAGACAGACCTCGAAAATGTCATCCAGAACATCCTTGTGGAGAGTGGGCTAGCTGAGGCTCAAGGCAAGTCAGCCGAGGACCAGATCCAGAGTTTCGAAGAATTACAGGCCCGCAATATTCCCATTGAGGAGATCCAGGCTCGGCGCGCAGAACTCCGCAAGCGACGTGACCTGCTTTTCCGAGAGGAAGTGCGCGCCAAGCGCATCAAGAAGATCAAGAGCAAGTCTTATCGCCGTGTTCACCGGAAAGAGCGCGAAAAGATGGAGCAACAGGAGCAGAACGCACTCATGGAAGCCGGTGTGGATATGGACGAGATGGATCAGGAGAAGAACGAGCGTTTGCGAGCCGAAGCTCGTATGGGCTCCAAGCATCGTGAAAGCAAATGGGCCAAGGGCTTGAAGCAGACTGGTCGCACTGCCTGGGACGAAGAGGCTCGCAACAGTGCCGCCGACTTGGCCCAAAGAGAGGAGGAGCTACGGAAGAGGATCGAAGGCAAGCGTGTTTCCACTGGAGATGATGACTACTTGGGCTCTTCAAGCTCCGAATCGGAAGATGAGGACCCTTGGAATGAGCAGGGTTCCGATGTGGAAAGGCAAAAGATCCAGAAGAAGCTCAAGGCCCTCGAGGGCGGTGATGATGCTGAAGATGGTGTGAAGGGGCCCCATGCTGACCTTTTCGAAATGAAATTCATGAAAAATGCCGATGCCGCCCGCAAAGAAAGGAACGATGCGGAGCTTCGTCAACTCAACCGTGAACTCCACGGAGAGGAGTCTGTGTCTGAGGCAGAGTCGGAGGTCGGTCGACGGAAGTTTGGTCAATCAAAGAAGCCCGACCCCAAATCTCACGCAAAGCCGTTGCCCAAGAATGAGTTCGAGGAGAAGCTAGATTCCGATGATGAAGCTGCGCAGGTACCAGTATCAGACGATGATGTTGACATTGCTGTCAACGGTACTGCCAAGCACAAGTCAGGAGCTTCTGGCAACAAGAAGGCTTCACGATCTTCGCGCGACTCTTTCGATCAGCAAAAGGATACACCCGCGAGGAGGAGAACCCTTGGTTGGTTCAAACGGAACGGACGAACCGTCGCCGGACTGGGCCAGATGCCCAAGAAAGCATTGACATTTCCCTCGATGATACCCAGCCCGAAGTTGCTCCAGCGAAGCAACAGAGCAAGAAGCAAAAGAACGCCAAGGAAACCCTCGCGAAACAGCAATTCGAAGAGAACGACAGCGATGATGAGGAGAAAGTTCCCGTCTTGCTTAAGAACCACGACCTCGTGAAGAGAGCCTTTGCCGGCGATGAAGTTGTCCAGGAATTCGAACAAGACAAGATGGACACGGTTGAAGATGAAGGCGATCAGGTTGTGGACAACACACTCCCGGGCTGGGGCAGCTGGGCCGGTGAAGGTGTCAGCAAGAGACAGCAAAAGAAGCAAAAGAAAGACTTGACTGTTGTGGCGGGTGTGAAGGCCCATCAGCGCAAGGACGCAAAGCTTGATCGGGTCATTATCAACCAGAAGCGAGTCCAGAAGGTAAGCCAAGTCTTGTTCCTACACGAACACGTACAGCTCACTAACTTTTTTTTTTTAACTCTAGAACAAGAAGTACATGGCAAGCCAGTTGCCGCACGAGTTCGAGACCAAACAGCAGTACGAACGATCCCTGCGGCTGCCCTTGGGCCCCGAGTGGTCTCCGAAAGAAAGCTTCCAGAGTGGCACCAAGCCTCGTGTCATGATCAAGCAGGGCATCATCAAGCCCATGTCGAAGCCCATGCAATGAATGTAAATATCTTATTTCACTTCACATGTGCCATGTCCACTGACAGCATCTAACGTAACCCATTTTGCGGGTTTGGATTAAAAGCGTCTTCATTCTTGCTATACTCCAGTCCAGGTGACCAGCCCTGCAGGTGTTTGCACAATATAGTTCATATAGTTCGTACTTGGCACGGCCTGTTGCCTCACAAGTGTTCATCACGCAGAAGTATACATATGTAGGTACTTTTACTCGCATGTATCTGGATCATATGTAGATGGCAAGATGCCTCGACCTTGGAATGTCAACTTTGACCTTTGGGATAAACCATTTGAACATGTCCCATGATTCCATAAAAAGTAACTAAAATTTTATCCATGGATTGTCCGGTGATTCATATTGAGTCATCTCCATCTTTTAATGACTTGAATCTGCATATATTTATGGTTCTTCTTCCTTTTCTATCTTGTCATCAGTTCTACTCCACATCGGCGATCCCTTGGCAAGTGCTGCCTGCATTTAACATCTTCGATCAACTGACGGAATATCAGATCCATCTCCCAATTAACCCCAATTACCTGGGCAACTTCAATCTCATATAATTCAGTAAGTGGATGATGGTCGTTGCAGTGATTCCCGTACACATTCTTGGGGGTGGGGAACGCACGCGGACTCGACGTGTTGCCTGTTGCGCCCTACATTGCTGAGCCAGACACGATACCCAACTCTGGTCATTCCCCTTAGCTAAAGAAGACTGTACACTGCTAACATTTATGAAGATCGATCAGGATCGACAGTCTGTGGAATCTATCTATATTGTACGGACCATTCACAGCAAACCGGCTCGTGTATTGTCCTGACCTGGACCTGAGTGTTTGAGATCCGAGGGGGTATAGCACATCTCCTGGAATCCATAGCACATACTTGTAAGTTTGCTTTTCTCTTAAGTTGCCTGTCCCCTTTCCCAGTTTCATCTCGCATTTTGGACCCCTCCGAAGTCGTCTGCCCTCAAGTGATTCATATCCGATTGGATTGGATCGAGAATAGCACACAGACTGCCTACAATCTCCGCGTGTTTAACATTCGTGACGAGATCTGGCTTTTCACCATGGAGACACGCTTGAAATGGAAGGCTACAGCCTTGCTAACTTGGCTTCTAGCCACAGAAATCGCCCACTGTCTCCCACGTGTGAGAAATGCAGTAGAGGCTACTCTGCAAAACACAGCTACCGAGTCTGCGAGTGCCTTCGAGACTCAATATCCACCTTCGAATAGTGAAGATAGGCTCCTTATTCCCGAGTCTCACCCAGTACGTCTCAGAGAAATGTGCTGCATGGTATATGGCATGGTATTGACATTTTGGACTAGGTGTATCGAGTAGGCCTGCAACAGGACGGACATTCGTCACAGCAGCCTTTCCCGCAGTTTGACGTTGCCCGATTCGTTGACGGCTTGGAAGATTTGTTAGGCTCTGGTGGTGATAGTACTGCACCAGCACCGACTGCGTCAACACAATCTACTGATACAGGCAAATCCGACCCTATTCAAGCGACATCTTCGGCCAAACATCCTGAAAACTCAGCGCTAATTCCTACAGCTGGATCTGTGACAGATTCACCGCAGGCCGACCCAAGTACTACTAAGTCAGACGGTATGATTCAGCATGAATTGTTATACCATTTTGCACATATTCTAATGCTTAGTAGAGCCTGTTCAAACAGGTTCTTCCCCGGTTGCATCAGATAAACCCAAAGCCATGCATGGCCAAGACATCTTCCAGGCGGTTGCGACTGGTCCTATCCCCGCTAATATCAAGTCTCGAGATGACCATCCTGTGAAGAACGAGCATGTAAGATAATCCCAAATTGGAATACGCATCAAATATTCTGACATTGTATCATAGGCCAATGCCACTGACCCTATTGCGACGAATAAGTTCTATGCCGGGCTTTTCCTGGGCACTCAGACCAATGCTACCTTTACTCAGCCCTACTCTTTGGCATGGTCCAAGGGAGGTGGCTCCCTGAAGAGCTGGGGTATGATTGTCTCCCATGTCGAGTCTCACTTGCTCGCATACGGGCCTCCGAACAACAAGATCCCTGGAAACCCAGTGCAGTACTACATCAACCCAGTCGGCCTTCAACATCTGATTCTCTCTGCAACCGAGCTTGGCCAGTCTTCCATCATGAACGTCGAGCAGCCAAAGGCTTTCTCAGCCCATGCTGTGCTCAAGAGCTCCGCAGGCTCGGCTCAACAGATTACCTTCCCCGTTGTCCAAGGCATGGGCTACGCAACAGCTGTGTACAATGACCTGGAACCCCTTATCGAAAGTGGTGTTTTCTTCCGCAAGGTCGTCAGTGCCGGTTCGCCTAGACCCGGCATCTTCAAGTACCAAGTTTTCCTTGATGATGACACAACTTGGCTTCTCTATGCCACTCCGGCTGATGGCAAGGATCCGAATTTCAAGCTAGTCTCAAAGACCAATCTTCGTGGTCCGAAGGGCTTTTCTGGTACTATCCAAGTTGCGAAGAATCCCGCAGGCAAATCTGGCGAGAAGTTTTATGACAACTCCTCTGGTGTGTACCCGGTGGCAGGAGAGATCTCCGGCTCTCTCAGAGACGATGTGGGCACCTACACGCTCTCTTGGACCAAAGCCGGAAAGGATATCAAAGGTACTCCTCTGATCATGTTCGCCCTACCCCATCACGTCCACTCCTTCGACAGTGCCACCAAGGGCCGTATCACCGATATCCACCTTCGCACCACAACAAAGGGAAATGCCACTGCCGTAATCGGAGAAAGCTGGACTATGGTCGAGAAAAACCTCCCCATCGATATTGGATTCGCCCCGTGGTCAACCACCGATGGCAGTGTCCACGAGCTGTCAGCCGCAGCCCAGCACGCCATTATCCAGGCTGCTCCCCACGAGCTCAAGCAGAACATTCCAGAACAGACAGATCTCAACAGCATGTACTACAGCGGCAAGGCGTTGAGCAAGTTCGCAACGCTAGTGTACACGGTCAACCAGCTCGGCAACAACGTCGAGCTAGCCACAGACGCTTTCCAAACGCTCAAGAAGTCCTTCGATCTATTCGTGCAGAACAAGCAGCAATTCCCACTCGCCTACGATACCATCTGGAAGGGCGTTGTCTCGACCGCCGGCTACAACGGCGATCTGAACCAGGATTTCGGAAACACCGCGTACAACGACCACCACTTCCACTATGGCTACTTTATCCAAGCAGCCGCCATCATCGGCTCTCTTGATCCCAGCTGGCTGGCCGCGAACAAGGAGTGGGTCAACACGCTTGTTCGTGATGCTGGTAACTCTGTTGCAAATGATCCCCACTTCCCATTCTCGCGCTCGTTCGATTGGTATAACGGTCACTCGTGGGCGAAGGGCTTGTTCGAGTCTTTCGATGGCAAGGATCAGGAATCTACCTCGGAAGATACTATGTTCGCGTATGCGATCAAGATGTGGGGAAAGACGACCGGCGATGCTAGCATGGAAGCTCGTGGCAATGTCATGTTGGGTATCCTTGGCCGGTCACTCCATAACTACTTCTTGATGGAGGATGACAATGTCAACCAGCCGGCGAACTTTACTGCGAACAAGGTCACAGGAATTGTAAGTACCGTCATCATCATTCCATGTCTAGACCGGTCTCGATACTAACATACCGAAAAAGCTATTCGAGAACAAGGTCGATCACACCACTTACTTCGGCGCCAACCTCGAATTCGTCCAAGGGTGTGTACACCACCGTTCCGCTGTTTAACTCTGAAATTTGCTAACAAGCACCATAGTATCCACATGCTACCACTCATGCCACACAGCCCCTTCACACGACGGAAGGAGTTCGTGCGCCAGGAATGGCAGGCAATGTTCGCTGAGAATGCCTCAACCCCGGCTTCCAAGGTCGAGGGCGGATGGAGGGGTGTGTTGTACGCCAACCTGGCCCTCATTGATCCCAAAGCGGCGTGGGAGTTCTTTGCCCAGCCGAACTTCGACTACAGCTGGATTGATGGCGGTGCTTCGCGTACTTGGTACCTGGCCTTCGTTGCTGGTGAGTCTTTTGGGTAGATATGGTGTCTTTGCGGGAGCTAATAAACATTATAGGTCTTGGTGGTGCCCCTTAGGGTAAATTCGAGGCTTATCTTTTACGATATGGAGTTGGGGGGTAGTTTGCTTATGATTATTTCTTTCGGCCTTATGATTTGATTTTTTATTTGCTTCTGTTTCTCGATGGTCTTACTATGGTGGTTCAGAGGGTTTTTCTTCGTAGCTATTTCTTGTGTTTTACTGCGTATATATAGAAGAATATAGTTAATGATTATTAGGTAGACACTATCGATCCCAACTTCATCAATTCTCAATTCTGTGCATACTTATTTATTCTAAGGGCTAGCCTTGGTAAATATATATCCCAAATACAACCCAGTCCGATATTCATTCTTCTACTACCAGCTATTTGCACTTTGCATAGAACACTTTATTCATGATATATATATATATATCTAACCGAAAATCTATATGAAAGACCCCGAAATAACCGCCAAACACTAAATCTCGTCCATACATCTCCTTCTATTTCTCTCAGCACCAGCACCATACTATATCCAAGAACCGTTCATAAGATACTTGAACCTATCCCCCAGCAACAGGAAGCTCCAAATCCACCACCCACGGCGCATTCCTCGCCTCATACGCGACCGTCATAATACTCCCATTGACAAAAAGCGTCTCCTCCCCAACCCGCAGCGGCCGATCCGCCCCGGCACTAACATCACAAAACGCGCCCCGATTCTCCAGCATTTCCTCCGCATCCGTCGGCACATCCTCAAGCCTAACACCACCATCTCCACCCGCCTGATCATCCCACACCCCACGCTGCGCACCCCACCCTTCATGAATATGACCGAAGAGATGCAGTCGGGGTCTTGCACGCCGCGCCGCACGAAGGAGATTCTCACAGCCAACGTTCAAATCCGGCGGGACCTGATCCAGGACCCCGGCAGGCGGGCCGTGTGTTAGTAGGATGTCGATGGCCGGGTAATCGGGGATTGGGTTCTGGGGCTGAGGGAGTGCGGCGGGGGCGGGGTTATAGCGGTCTTGATCGCGGGGGTATGCGAAAGCCCAGTTGTAGAACTCTGGTTGGTAGGGGGAAGCGTAGATGGTGAATGTTGCGCCTGTTGACAGGGTGAAGGAGTGGATTCCTTCTTCTAGGTAGATTATTCCTGCGTTCCGGGCGGACTCGCTTGTCCAGAGGGATTTTATGGAGCGGGCGTAGGATTTTAGAGAGTCTTTGTTTGGGGTCTTGGTTGAGGAGGTGCGTAGGGTGGTTTGGAGGTTGTCGTCTGATAGCAGAATGGATTCTTCGCCTAGTTGCTCTGGGCGTTGGTGGCGGGTGTAGCCGAAGGTTGTGAAGTATTCTTCGTCTAGGGTTATGTCATGGTTGCCTGCTATTACGAGCTTGAGCTCGGCGTCGGCGTCGGTGAGCATGGCGATCATTGCTTCGTGCTCGACGCGGTACCCCACTTTTGTGAGGTCGCCGGCGTGGAGGAGGATGTTTGCTTTTGGGAGAGGGTAGCGGTAGGCATGGTCTGTTCTTTGGGGTGGATGTGGTGTGCTTGTGTGTGTGTCTGATATCATGCAAATACGGGTTTTGATGGTTGACATGTTGGTTGATTGAGGGAAGGTTGGGCTGTGGGGGATAGACGGATAAGCATCGAGCTCGGGCTCGGGAAGCGCCCCCGGAGATTTGGTTTTCCCAAGTACACGGGCTGTCCAACACGTAACTTGTACTCCGTACTGGTTACAGCGATAAGTTCTATGAGAACAAAAACAAATTGAAACATGTTCTTCCTCTGGAGTCTTACCCAAGATTATATTCCTCAATACTTGTATACTACGCAATTAGAAATGCAATTACTAAAGAAGACATGAAACTAGGAACAATTCCCCATGGATTTGACGGTTCAGAGCTTTACAGACAAATTGCATCCTGTGGATGCTCTGATCATGACATAGCTGAAACTCCGATCCACCCGTTGCAACAACCGAATATTTTATTTTTTCGTTTACTTGCGGATAGCCTTCTGGTAGAAAGCAAGCTCCTCACCCTCCAGAATGTAACCGTCACAGCGGCCGGACTGGCCGGGGCGGGAGGCGACAACGGCGAACAGACGACCGGACTCGAACTGGCGCTCGATAGCGGACTCAGTCTTGCCGGACTCAGCGAAGCGGGCAGCCTGCTTCTTGGCGACGGAGGCGGACTTCTTCTCCTCAGTAGCCTCAGTCTTCTGCTGGCGTCTACGGCCGAGGGGCTGGCCGTAGTGGGCCTCGTACCACTGACGGAAGGGAGCAGCGTCGATCTGGACAACGGCGGACTTGGTCAGGGTGTTTGTGCGGACCAGCTCGTTGTTGGAGGGGTGGAAGGACACTCCAATGACACGGGTCTTGCGGGAGATACCCTCGGAGCCCCACGAGAAGTTACCGGAGTCGAGACGGAGACCACGGAACTTCTGGTTACCACCACGGGTGCGGACAAGGTGGATGCGCTTGGAGCCAATACGGGTGTTGGCGGGCTGGCGACCCTTCTCGAACGCTCTGTAGGACAAAGACATGTAAGAATCTGTAACTGGTATATCGAATCCTTTTTTTCTTCTTTCTTCTCCCTCCAATTGAAAGAAATATTCGATCTCATGCTGGGTTGATAGAATCGTACCTCTTCTTGCGGTAGTGAGAGCGCTTGGCACCGGTGGCGCTGCGCTTGTGGCGAGAATCCCGAGAAATACCCATGTTTGCGATTGATGGAGGGGTCTAAGTCGACGGACACAAGTTAGATGTTGTTGATTTTGGGTGGACCTTGTGCAAGTTTTTCTTTTTTTCCCTTTCAATCCTTCTGTTTCGTCGCGAGCACCGTACAAAATCAATCTTCGAATATCCGAATAGTTGGGCGACAGTGATAGCGGAGTGGTTGTATGACCGTTGAAAGCGAGATAGGATCGAAAGTTGATGTGGAGGAATTGAATACCGATGATCGAAATTGATGGGCGCAGCGAGCGAAACAGAATTTTTCGAAAGAAACCTTGCAGGAGTTGAGATAGCCCGATAACTCACCTCTAAATGTGCAGCCCTTCACCAGAAACACAGATTAGTTGTCGTAGGGTTGTCGTGGGAGTTTGAGGTCGTGGAGTCGCTGAATTTCGCAGGGCGCACTGTGTCGCTCGCTTGTGTAGTGCCCTAACCGGCACTAGGCCATATTGGGATTAGTGGCTCCAGTCACTGGATAAGTCACTAGATCAGTCAGGTGATTTTATATAATGACTCAGCACGCAGTCACGTGCTGCTACCTTGATCTGGACGCGGCTCGATCACGATCTGACATTCGAGCCATACCTATTACATCCCAACGTTGTACAACATTGCACCTCCAATTGTCTATTTCCAGTTATTGTTGCAGCTACCTGAAATCCATACATTACAAATGATCGGCTTTCTCTGCCAGTAATTGCGTCTGTTACCATTAACTGCCTATGCTACCCTCTACTGGCTCTTGCCATTCTTCGCCTTCTGCTCCTTCACAATCTGCCTAATGCGCTTGAACGAACCGTATCCCTCAACGAAACACGACGCAACCCACTTCCACCATAAACCCGACAGAGCAGGCACATTCAGGGGCCTCAACTGAGTCACAGCCAGCGCGATGGTCTCGACGATATGAATAGCCACGACGTACGGGTGGAGGATGCAGACAATACGCGGAAACCAGGGAACGCGCTGGAGACCCAGGTACTCGTAGAGATCCGAGCCAGGCTGCAGATTGCTGCGCTGGAAGCAGGTAACGTAGAACAACAAACACAGCACGAATATCACGGCCTCAATGCCGCGTGGGGCACGGTACTCTGCGAGTGTGATCTCGCTGCGGCCCAGACGCTTTAGGCTCTCCTTGTGCATGGCGACCATTCGACCACGCGCCTCCGAGTAGTCCTTCATCACGGGTTCGATCGGGACACTGTAGCGAGTACCCTGAGCGGTGATGATCAGGTTTGAGGTGCTGATTTCTTCCAGTTGGGCGTTTTTGGCTTGAGTAGATGTGATGCCGCAGTAGGCTTGTAGGAATAGTATCAGAGAATCTTGGTGGTCGGCATTCATGTGCCTGATGATGAAGTCTTTGGACGACATGGTGACGGTTGTATTGGGAGTGTACAGTGTCAATTGGATTGAACTTGTATAGAACAAGTGAAACAATTGGGATTTGAACCGAGTAAAGAAGAACAGCGAGTACAATGTAAGAGGGGAGTTGGTAACACAACGGGGATAGTAGAAAATGCCAAGACCGGGGCCTCGGCTTCACAGTTTCCGCCATGACACTTTACACTCATCACCACACTATATTTCACTACACTACACTAACTACATACACCACTTACTGCTGCACTGGAAGGGAAACTCCATTCAAGTGATTGTCCAAGGAACATACATAGCAGTATACACGGTATATTGCACCCCCTTGGCCCTGCACGCCGACCAGGAAAACCATTGCAAAAAAAAGGAAAAAGACCCCTGAACAGACAAATCGAAAGATATTAAAATCAAAACATGGCTCTATGAAAAGCTGCATCGAAGCAATTGAAGCATTGAAAAAGGACCACTCGTGACGACGTTGGATCTTCGTGATAGGATTGGCAATGGAACCAGAAATGGGTGATCAAGCCCTGTTGTTGATATGAAACGCGATCAACTCCTAATCCGGTCTTTGAGCAGACATTCTCGAAGGGGGTTTGGGGGCGAGGATTGTATACCTCAGTTATTACTTACATGAGAGCTAAGGTGAGGTCTCCGTGAATGCGCGCCTTGAGCTCGACCTCGATTTCCAGATTCAGTTCCAATCTCAACTTCATGCCTTCCTCATCCAGCATTGATTTCTCCTCCTTGTGGAGGACGTCCATGCCGCCTGAGGGCTTGAAGTTTGAGTTTTCGTTCGAGTACGGCTGCACGGCTTCGTCGTCGGAGTATTCATACTCGTCTGAGCCATAGTCATCTTCGTCCGTGTAGCCATCGGAGTCGTCTTGAATGGGTTGTTTCTGTTTCTGCAGTGGTTTCTTCTGCAGTTGTTTGTTCTTCTGTGTCTTGGTTTGTGGTACTTCCTCATATTCCTCGTCGGTATAGTCGTCGGTGTAGTCATCGGCGCTGTCATAGTCTTCGCCGTCGGAGAGGTCCTCTTGCACGGGGAACTTCTTGGGCTGCTCTTTGGTTTTCTCAACGGTCGCCATGATGGATGTGATGGATGTGATGAGACTAGATTATAGAGTATAGAGGTAGGAAGATGATCAAAAGAAAAATGTATAAAAGTAGAAGGATATCCTAAACATAAACCAAAAGGGAAAGACAGGATATGATAACAAGGGAAAACGGCACATATCAAAAGTGCGGGACATGACGTTGGAGGCTGTCCTCCAACATCCAACCTCCAACTTGCATGATCGTCATTTTCAGACATAATATCGGCGTAGGCCTGATAACCGTTGACAATGGCCGTGTCCACAGCGAAAATCCACCGCAAAAAGTCCGGAATCTCCTAAGTGGCCAACTGGATATCCGCCTCATCCTGTCACGATCCGTGGAAACAAAAGCAGACTCGTGGCCTGAACCAAATGGGAAAAAAAAAAAAACCAGGAACAAGTAATTTGCCCTCTCTGTCTGTTTCATTGGCTAACTGCCTTTCTACGGGCAATTTACTGTGAAGACCTTGACGTTGAGTGGCGTCATGCCCCCGTCTTACGACTACTTAATCTATTTCAGTGGAGAATGTCAATGCACCGAATTCACCGATATCCAGTCTGATTGGCGCATGAAACTCGGCCACTGCATATTATTTTCCGATGTATACCAGGTTGCTCCATCTGCCACGTCTGGATCCTTGTCCCGGACGTCATACCTCTCATAAGGGTCCCCCTTGCTAGAGAGTCTCAGCACATTTGATATGGACCCGAGAACCACAGCGTCTACCATCTGACGTCGGAGGCGGTTAGATTCTATTTACAAGGCCCGGTTTTATCCAAGCCTGGCCCCTCTGATGATATAAACGGTTGAACAATCTACATCATTCCAACTATACGCACGATTACATAGTTCATTTATTAACGCTTGGTCCTTCATCTTCTCGAATCGAATCAATTCATATTCCCCTCATTTCCCCTCCTGAACAACCTTCTTCCTCTTTTATTTCCACCATGTCCGATCAGGAACAACCTCCCACTCCTACTCCCGACTCAACAACCACAACCCCCAACAAGCCCAAACGTGCCCCGCCCAAGCTAGGCAAGAAGTCTCCCGGCAAACAAGAACAAACCCCTCCAGCCTCAGAACAAGACCAGGACCAGGACCAGGACAAGCAACCACAAGACGAGTCCAAACCCGAAGAGCCCGTCAAACAACAAGAACCGGACTCCGAGCCTGAACCTGAGCCCGAACAAGAAGACGAGCCCGAACCCGAACCCCAACCCCAACCCAAGCCCGAACGCCGTCGTCGCAGACCTCGTCCCCGCCAAGAATCAGAAACCGAATCCATCGCACGCAGCGAAATGGAACCAGAGCCCAGACCCCGTCGCGTCCGTCGCCAGCGCCAGCCACAGCAACAACAACAACAAAACGGCAGTCCGCTCGGCGGGCTTCCGGGTGTTGGCGGCGTAGATCAGGCGGGCCAGCTCGTACAGAACACAGCCGGGAATGCCCTGAACGGGGCGACTGGTAGTGCGGGCAAGGCTGTTGGTGGGGTCCTCGGTGGTGGTGAGGATAAGAAGGAAGATGATGGTGGTCGGGATGAGCAGCTTCGTCTGCGATTGGACTTGAATCTGGATATTGAGGTTCAACTCAAGGCGAAGATTCATGGTGATTTGACGATTGGTTTGCTGTTAGTATTTCCCTTTTCTTTCTTGTCTTTCCCTTTCCGTATACCTGGTCTTGTTGTCCATAATAACCCTAATCCCCCCGATGTGGCTCTAACTTGACATACTTTCTGTTGGTGCATTTCACTGACTAACGATCTAGTAATTAATCTTGCTCTTCAGAAAATAGAAAAGAGTATATACCTCGCCTCTATATCTGCTTATTCTACCATCTCGATGAACCCTGGAGCATCCGGGGCTCCGTTGTACGGGTAATCGGGTGTGTCTACGGATACCTTCAATGACTTGTTTATGCCTTATGTTACGGTGATGCACGATGCATGGTTGAATTTTATCATTTCGTTTTTCATGTCTATTTCCTTTTCATTATATTTCGTGTCTTTCTTGTCTGCGGCTAGGCCATCTCCCTAGATCTGGCCTGCCTGTCCTGGTGTCTTTGTGGTATACAGTGTACCTTTAGCTTTTAGTCTTATAAAGTATCTGGTCTGGAGAATTGGAATAATGAACTAGGCTTTTGTGTTTATTTCTCTCCAATGATGCGGCGTAGATTGAAAGAAGTAATGTACGTACGTAGTAAGATCAAGACAAGGAAAGAGAATTTCCCAGACCTTGCACAGAAGATCGTATCTTAGACGTCATGCAGACGTTCATCTTTTGAAATTGGCTTGAAGTCTGAAGTTGGACAAGTGTAACTATCCTCATATTTGGTTGAAGCCATCAGAATGAAAGATATGTGCATTCAGACACTATTATCATCTATGCAAGCCAACCCCAGCAGAAACCCAGGAAGAAAATACATACAAGAAAGAAGATAACACCGACAAATGGAGAAAAAGGTACTATGAGTCCAATATATGTTCTTTTCTCTTTGTTTATGCCAGCATATGATCTAACCCAAAAATTTGCAACCCGCAACTCTTCCAAAATGTCACGAGACCATCCCATCATCCCATGCCCTACAATCCTGCAACATACATCAGTCCATATCCAAGAGTGACAATCACCACAAAGGACATGAGACTGGCCGGGATACCGCGAGTCAGGAAATGGCGGACTTGGAGATATCGCTGGCCTGTCTGAGGTACTTCGGTCATGATAGCAGCTAAGAGGAATAAGTTAGCAGAGAGCTCGATCAAGTGAGCTGAAGGAAGGACATACTCATATTAGGGAATCCACTTGTTGGCAGAGCCATCGCAACAGAGCACATCAAGGCACTGGCCATGACCAACAAGTTGGGGTGAGGGTCCTCCATGCTAACGCCGATCTGGCGGACAAGTGGGAGGATGATAAGGGCAGCGACGGTGTGAGAGATGAAGGTGGCCATGACAATGATGAGAGAAGAGAAGACCAAAAGGACGCTGTACAGGCTGAGGTTCTCGACGTGGTTGGTGATTCCCATGGCGATGGTGTGCAGCAAGCCCGATGAGGTGACGGCCTTGCCCAGACACAGACCACCGGCGGCGAGGATGATGATTGTCCAAAGGAAGTTGTTGAAGTCCTCTTTGTTGAGGATACCGGTGCCGAAGAAGAGGACGAGAGGGATGATGGCGATGACACCCATGTCGCCGAAGATGTGCTCGAGCTGGTGGCTGGCGCACCAGAGTATAATCGTTAGGAAGGTGACAATGCTGATGAAGGACTGCATGCCGGTCCAGCGGTCCTTGACGGGGCGGATGGGCACCACGGTCGCGTTGCGGCCCGGGCGGAATGTCACCAGCAGCAGGACCCAGATGAGTAGAATGGAGATGATGCAGACGGGGAGGGCGATGAAGAACCATGTGCCCCAGCTGATGTTCGGCTCCATGTTCTGCAAGGCAATGATGTTTTGCGGTGAGGCAATCGGGGACGCTGCACCGCCGACATTGGCGGCTAACGCGATACCCAGCACGAGTGCCTTGGCAAAGTCTGACTCGGGAGGCATGTTGCGCAGCAAAGGTTGGATGATCGAGTAGCAGAGCACGGGGGACGCAACATTACTGATCCACATGCTCAGGAACATGCTCACAAACATGTTGGTCAACAGCATCACAGATGGCTTCGAGCCAGCTTTGCTTAGCACGAACATGGCCATACGTCGTGCGATATCGTACTTGGACAGCGCCGCTGCGATTGAGAATCCGCCTAGAAGCAGCATAATCACAGGAGTCCACATCGCCGCGAACACCTTGCCAACTGATTCCTTAGGCCCCAATCGCGTTTGAGGCTCCTCGTCTGACCGCATGATGCCTAGAGTCACGACTAGGAACGGGATAAGAAGCGAAGTGACAAACAGCGGAATAGCCTATCACTTGATGTTAGCATTCAATATGAGCAAGATAAACGAAGAGTATCCCATACCTCAGTGGCCCACAGGATACTAACGAGGACCAGCATAGCCAAGCAGTTCTGTTCCTCGGGGGTGTCCATTATGTTCAAGGAAAGTAATACACCAAAGATGGCGATACTAAATACCAGCGTACCAAAGCTTAAGCTGCAAAGCCACACCGGGAACTGGAATCTACCAAGCGGCGTTGACATCTCCTGAGTGGGGATCTCGTTCTTGTCACCCTGGCGCCGTGCAGTGGCTGGGTCCTCATCGCCGCCCAGGAGGGTCCGGCGAATACCAACATTGGCGGCCTGCGCACGACGTTCGATCTCGATCATCTCACGCCAAACAGTATTCCGTTCCCAGACGACATGCTCGCGCAGATGCAGACGCAGCTCGCGCCTGGCAAACTGCTTGTTGTTCTTCGTGACGATACCCGCGTACACACCCTCCACGTTCTCAATATGCCGGTCGATTTCAGCCATAGTGCTGTCGGTGAAAGGCGGCGCGGGATGGACAACAGTGGCTAGGTAGTCTCGGCGCAGGCTGCGGTCCAAGGTCTTGTCATACTTCTTCAAGGCCTTGGCGAAGCCAGTCTTGTTCAACTCGATGAAGGAGCGAAGTTCGCAGAGTGAGACGTAGCATTCGATCAGACGCTTCTTCAACGATATACCGGTATTGTATAAAGCGAGGAAATCCTCGTCGTTGAAGACCGACTCGTGCGGTTCTCGCGTGGTCGACTGTGCAAAGTAGGAAGAGTCCGCCAGATCACCGTACTGGTCGTCCGTGTTAGACTCGCCATCGATCGACCGCAGCAATCTCCGGCGCTGTGGGAGGGCCGTCGGAGACCGGTCGTCGTCGCTATCGGCACCTTCACCTTCATCGTCGGCCATTGAGTCGTTGCTCACAGCACTGGACCGGCGGCGCGAGACAGAGCCATGACCGTTGCCACGGCGGGAGCTTGCCTTGATGATTGTCTCGCTGACGGGGTCCATATCGACACCATCCGTCTCAGAAAGATATACATCGGCGTCTTTTATGAGCTCATCGGTGAGTTCAAAAATCTCCGCTTCCTTCTTCTGATAGAAAGAACAGATCTTATCCATCTCAGCATCGAGAGCCCGTTTAAAGATTGCATCTGGGTTACTCGGTTGAGCACCCAGCAGCGGAGCGGACTCTACATCTGTGTTCGGTCCCTCAACGCGATTGACCTGTTTCTCAAGGGTGTAGATCCTGACCACGATGCAACGTTAGCACCATTACAAACAATTATCCGATCCGATGCATCGATCCCGTGCAATGTGACACCAAATTAGATCCCCGAATCTGCACCACACCATCACAACCACAAAGCCGAAGACCGATACTCAAGCCAACAACTTACAATTTCTTCAAATTGCTGTACGCGATGTAGTTCGAGCTCCAATCGGGCACAGCATTAAACTGAATACTGTGCGAGAACTTCATCTTGGCTTTGGGATCTGGATCGACGTTCCCGTGCGATGCGTTGTGAGCGCGACGTCGGAGAGCCTCAGCCCAGAACCGAAGACGAGAGCCCTGGGGTTGGCCGGGCTCGAATTTCTTCTCCTGCGATTCTCCAACGATACCAAGGCCCGCAAGCGGCGAGCTGTAGGCAGGGTCTAACCGCCCAGCGCTATCTCGATATTGGTCTGAGCGAGCGGGGCCTGATGCGCGTGTGGTGGCTGTGTGGGAGGGATGGTACTCGACAAGTTCAATGGAATCGGAGTGCGAGGGGGGAGCCACCGTCGAAGGAGGCCGGAGGATAGTCGGCCTAGGTCATTCAAGGAGCAGAGAGAGACGCAAGAACGAGGGGAATGTAGAAGTGGCCTCTATCGTGAGTGGGGTCGCGAAGAGGGTCGAGAAGTCCGGGAGCTTGGGGTTGCACTGGCAAATGATCAAGTCGGGAATGATCTAACGCAGCACTTCGCTGATCGGGGGTGTATGATGATCTGGTTGGAATCTATTTCGGACTGTAGACACGTAAATATTGAACGTATTGACGCTTTTTTCTCCTTCCGACTCCAAGAATAGTTGCGCTCGAGCTAAAGCTGTATATTAGGTAATCGTGCTGCTTGGCGGGGGCCTATATCAGACGATGTTCTATACAAAGCACTGGGAGAGCTGCCACGGAGAACAAGATGAGGTTGATGTATAGAAGCAATTGATATGCAAGATGTACAAGTAAGTTTAATTCAGGGCATGTGGCCTCCAATAATAGAAAATGTAGCACTAGGAAGCAAGCCGCCATACCTATATAGGGCAATGATCTGGAGAGATCATAAGCCACATTTAAGAACCCTGTCGCATATGTCAAATTCAAAGGATTATTGACATTATGTAGCAATTGTCTCGGAGAATACAATAGGTCCCATGAAGAATGAAAGTCAATTTTCTTTTTGACCGGACTATATAAATGTACATAATGCAGAAGTGCTCAGAGATACAAGACAAACCCCAAAACCCAGATAGAAGAAATACAAGCCCATAAGGCCAATTTAGCGACGAACGTTAGCATTCAAGTTCGCACGACCAGAGATACCAATCTTGTGCTGCTGGTCCCTCTTATCCCAGACACCGCTACGACCCTCAGCAACGGCCACCACCTCAGCCGCAACACGGTTGGCAAACAGCGCATCGCGGCGCTTATCAGATGCATCAAGGATCCACTTAATCGCGGTACGGCGGCGCTGGCGCAGAGTCAGCGGGTGGGGGATCTGCACGGCAGTACCACCACCAGCGATACCCTTCTGCTGACGAATTCGGAAGAGAGGCGCCACGGAGTCGACGACGAGAGTGAGGTAGAGGACGGGGTCTAGGGGGAGCTGGGATGCTGGGGGAGCCCCAAGGAGACGGCGACGAGGGTTAATCTGGGGAGGAGAGGCAGTGCGGAGGTGATCCAGAACGAGAGACATGTTCTAATGTTCAGTTAGTCAATTTTCTCACGCCCTCGCCGAACGTAAGCAAGAAAAGGAAAAAGAAAGTCATACCTTCTGCGCCTTGGTCAATTTCCCACTCTCCATCATCATCTTCGTGAACTGATCCTGCAGGGTATCGTAGCGCTTGCGGAAGTTCAACGTCTTCAGATCCTCCGGGACAGCAGGAGGATCGAACTTGAGCCCAGGGTTCTCCTCAAGAGCCTGACCCTGCACCTGCTCAATCATGCTAGCCAGCGCAGCAGCAGCCTCATCACTAGCGCCCTCGAGTCCAGGCACATTAGGAGGAATAGGGTTAGCCTCGTTGTTAGGCTCGCCCTGCACATCAGTCATGAGACTCCGAGCCGAAGTCGAGAACGAGCGCGAGCCACCAGACTTCTTCAATGCGTCCCGCATAACCTTCGGCATGTGTTTCATAGCATCCTTATCGCGGCTGAGGATCTGTTCCACGAAACACAGTTAACAACCATATCCAGCCAAGACCTCTAAGCCCTGTGATTATGCATTTATGCATTCTTGCTCACCTCCTCAACAGGCGACCCCTGATCCAACTCCGGAGTAGAAGGAATACCATCACAGCGCTTTTCCTTATCCATGATTCGGGAGATTTCGCTGGCCTCCTCGCTAACATCGGGCAGCTGATCGACAGTCGGGAAAGTCTGCTCATCCGGCTGAGGCTCGACCTTCTTCGAGCCATCGCGCGAGGAGTTCCATCGGCGCTGAATGGGTAGTGACTGGACGGCGCGGAGTCGGACGGGGCTGGCGATACTCCGGGGGGAGGACAGTGCGGGAGTGGTTGATTGGCGCAGGGCCGAAACGGCCTTGTTGGCTGTGAAGAGGTTGAGTCGGGGCGGCATATTTGCGGTTGTGTTGGCCCCTGTACAATTATTGAGACGGGGGAGATTAATCGGCCTGTTTTGGGAAGTTTGCGGTCTCGAGTAAATTTCCGGGATAGCTTAGTCAGCGCCAAGGATTTCGATGAGGTCGTGAGATGTACAACTGATGGAAACAGAATTGAGAGGTGATGGATGCAGGTGGATAATTAGTCTGAATTATGACAAAAAGGCTAAAACTTAAGCTTGAATTCTCTTGATCGTCTGCTCGGGTCTACAACAGTGTGAAGGAAAGACTTTTCCTGCTGATTTCAAGTATTTAGCGTAGATATATTTCCGCAATGTAGAATGATGTCAATATAAAAATCCATCAACTGATTCGCTTTTAATAGCATATTTGACTTCATTTTTCAGGATTCTTCACAAAGACTTATAGAAATATACCCGTACATGCAATTTTGACTACTAATGCACTATAGACAAGCAGGGTTGACATAGAATACAAGGAAACACAGCAGACGCTACATGTAGGGCATGGAAGAATGAAATAAGACAAATAAACAAAAGAGAGCCCTGAAGACTGGGCAAAGACAACAAACCCCCCCAACCCAAAAATAAACCCCCAAACCCAAGTAATAGCCTAGTTGCCAACACTATCAGGGTAGACATAGAATGCCAAGGCAAGAATTAGATACATGCCGAGACACATGCCACCCTCAAGGTAATTTGACTTTCCGTCCTGAATAAGCAAGGTAACAACCAAGCCAGAGATAAAGAAAGCAACGGTCTCAAAAGTCTGGAAGTGGAGCGTCATCTCGATGCCCATGATCCAGCCCAGAATAACCAAGAAGGGAGTGACAAACAGCGCAATCTGCAAGCTGCTACCAATAGCGACTCCGATTGCGAGATCCATCTTGTCCTTGTACGCAACCACAACGGCAGTAACATGTTCCGCGGCATTACCCACAATCGGAATCAGCACCAGTCCAATGAACGTCTTGCTCATGCCGGTCGTCTGTACAAGAGGGTCGATAGCATCGACTAGGTAATCGGCGCAGATAGAGACGAGGACGGTCACGACGACGAGAACCACAGCCGCAGCCCAGGGGCTGAGGACGCGCTCCTCCTCTTCTTCCTCCTCACCCTCGGCGCCAGCGACGTTTTCGGTGTCGCTGCAGTTCGTCTCCTCAAAGAGGTCGGAGTGGGATCCCAGCTGGAAGTAGAGGTACATGACGTAGATAACCAGGAGGATGATGGAGGTGCCGTGCGACAAGATGAGGATGTTCTTCTGCGCAGCCTTGTCCGGGTCCGGGATTTCGCCAGTAGCATCGGGCTTGGCGGTGGTGTTACCCGAGATCGCGGCGTAGAGAGTGGCAGGGATGATAAGCGATGCGGACGCCACTGCCATGAGCGAGGACATGGTTGATGCCACGGTGCTGTTGAAAGACTGTTCGCGGAAGCGGAGTCCACCGACGAAGAAGCAGCAGCCCAGGACAAGCAGGATGTTAGACAAAATGCTGCCCAGCATGCTGGCCTGAACGACGCGAATCTGGTTCTGTCTGAGGGCAATGATGCTGACCTATCAAGAAACAAGCAAATTAGCATCATATCAATACCAACACCAATAACCCGCTAGCTAGCACTGAGGGCATTGATTCGGGCAGGATCGGCAAACTTACAATAAGCTCAACGGCATTTCCAAAAGTGGCATTCATCAAGCCACCAAGTGATTGGCCGAGAGTAGCGGCCAGCTCCTCGGTAGCAAAGCTGAGCAGCGAAGCGAGGGGAACAATAGCAAAGAAATTGAGCGTAAAGACAGTGGTGGAATCCCATTCGAGGGCACCGGCGATAATGCCAAAGGGCACGAAGATAAGCAGGACATTGACGTAGTCGCGGACGAGGGTCTTCCACGTCAGGTGGACGACGTGCATCGGCCAGTGCGTCCACACGCGGGTATCGTTGGGGTGGTGGTGGCCGCCATGCTCGTCGGCGTGAACGTGAGGCGAGAGGCCAGCGAAGGAGTCGCGGTGTGCGCCGAGTAGCCCTGTCCGCTCATTGGCGTCCAGGGAGCCGTTTCCAGAGGTCATTCTTCGTGGGCCGAAGGTGTGGCTTCGGAAGTGGGAGCGGAAGTTTGGGAGAGCTAGATATAATCTCAAGTTAGATTGGAGGTTTATATGTCTGCATCGACGGAATTGTATAATTAAGGAGGCTTTCTGTGAAAAGCCGGAAAGGAGCGGATGGGAAGAATGGGAGAAGCAGGGGAAGGGGAGTATATCAACCCACACATAATTTCTACCAAGCTTCCAAGGGTCCAAAGAGGTTAAGGAATGGATAATCGGTGGGGGGTTCAAGCCACGTCCCAGATTTCTTTCTTAGCTGTGACTTGGGAAATTTCAGAAGGTTAGCACAGCCTTTGATTGTTAGGAACATGCAGAGCAAGGAGTGGAGCGTTGGGTAGTGGCCAAGGTTGGGTGTGGCCCAGTCAGTGGAGAGAGGAGCTTTGAGATGACGACCCACCAGCCTTGATTCCCCACATAACAGGTTACTTCAGTATGATGATTGGCTACAGCTCAAAGCCAAGACCGTGCACTGCCACAGTCGACGATTGGATGCACGGACAATTGTGTTTTGAAGATCCATGGATACTGACGACTTAGACTTTGGACATATAAGAAGCGCTGTTGGTCGGGTAAACTAATATTATGTACGGAGTAGATTGGAACTATATAGCACATGGTATATGTCTTTTAACACCAAAGGAGAACCCCAGTCCACATAAAAAAAAAAAAGGTCAGGCAAAGAATACATCAGGGTAGTAAGTCACATCAAGAAATGAAACAAAAATAAAATAAAAGGAGGGTCGAAACACAGAAAGAAAACCAAAACAAAAAAAGAGGTATAAAGGATAGAATCAAAAAAAAGTAAAAGGGGAAAAAAGGGGGTCGTCATTACTCCTCCGGCAGCGCACCATTAGCTTTAAAATCCATCCGACTGCTCTTGCGTCCGACACCCTTGAGCATACTGAAACGACGGAACACCGAGTCACGCATCCCGTTATTACTATTATTGAGAACAGGGGACAGCGGGGCTGTGCCATTTGTAGTTGTCAGGGTCACCGCATTACTCTCTCGTGTGACAGGCCGCGAATAATCGCGCGTAGACGGGAGTGTTGACCATCCACCACTGGAAGCGGGCGCAGCCCGGTCCGTAGCTGCCCCAGTGGCGGTAGGGCCACGGTGTTGGGAGCCAGCGCGACTACGGCCGTCGTTGGAGCGGGTGGCCGTGTCACGGGAGACATTGTGCGTGTTCAATGAGGTTTGGGAGTCATGGGCGACGGACGGCGAGGAGCCGTGCTTGTGTGTCTTGTCGCCGCCGAAGAAGCTGCGGCGCTTCTCGCTTCGGCCGCCGCGGGAGTGGCTAGTTGTGCGGCTGTGGATCGTGGCCGTGTCGTCGTCGAGGTTTTCGTCTTGATCTCCCGTTATTTGGCCCTTGCTGTCGGATTGCTGGATGGTGAAGATGGAGTTGGTGGCGCCGTGGGATCGCTTGAAGGGGTTGATTATGCTGATCCGGTGACTAACGGATTGTCTGTCGGAGCGCTTGCGGGTGTGGGCATTGCCTCGGATTGTGCGGCTTAGGTCTTGTTCCGGACTGACAACTCGCTGGACAGGTGCCATTCGGCGCTTGTCGCTCAAGGAGGGGGATTGGCGGGCTGTTTGTGTGGGTGTAGGTGATGAGTACTCCAGCGGAGCTGGGAAGAGAGAAGCCAGCTCGGGCTCGAAGACATCTTCGAAGCGTCGAAGCAGTTCAGCTTGGGTGGCTTGCTGAGCGGGACGCTGATAAAGAGACAGTGCGTGTTTGATAGCCAAGGCGTGGTCGACGAGCGCAACAGAGAGCGCAGTCTCCATCGAGTCCACAGGCTGCTGCGTTGCTTGTACCTCTTCAGCATCTTCATCAATTTCTTCAAGCAGCCTGTTCCTTGCCATTTCCGCATCGGATAGGAATACACGGTACGATGCCACACAGTTGGAGTTTGACGACCCGGCCTCAAGGAGTGATTCCAAGGCTTCAGTCAGATTAGACAAACCAGAATCTTCGCCCGACGCAGCACGCCGGCCAATAAGCTGAAGCTCCTGTGTCTTGCGCCACGTGCGCTCAATGGCAGTCTGCAGAGGCGACAGAGAAACCTCCTGAGCAGAAACAATCTCACTACGACGGAGGATATTCGGGAACGCTTCCGAGACAGTGAAAACGAGCTTTTCGACGAATTGCTCACGGACATCCGAGCTGCTCGTGTGTCGTCGCGAGGTGGCAGAGAAACGAGACGGATCCGAGATCAGCAGGTGCTCGCGGACAGAGGACGGAACCTTGGGGCGCTGGTAGACAGGATGAGACACATCGCGGTAAGCGCTGACGGCGCTGATCTGAAGGAACTGGCCTTCGTAGTCAGGAATATCGCCAGTAGACATGACCTGCGCAGTAGGGTGTTCCCGCTGCATGCGATCCACGAAAGAGGCCATGCGCTCTGTCGGGGACGTCTCGAAGATGAACTCCTTATCGCGCAAGCCAGGAGGGAACCCGAGACCCTTGTAGACCACACGGAAGTAACGCGGGAATTGTTTGCCGCCCTTGGCGATGAAGTCGTAGATTCGAGCCATGGAGCTTTGGGCTCGGGAGAGCTTGGCGAAGTCCATTGTCGTGTGCTCGTAGTGAACTGCGAGCTCCTTGTAGCAAGCTAACGCGGGGCCCCAGGCCATCGCATTTTCGAAGTGCTGGATAATGGAGAAGTACAAAGCCTCTCTCCGTTCGAATGCATTTTGAGGTGGGAATGCGGGTCTGACTAGCTCCGGCATAGCCTTGTTGAGATCCCATTCGTAGAGGTCGGCATGGAACTGGAGGGCAAGACCTGCTTCGGTGAAGTTACCCGCTGCGGCCTGAGCCTCGGCAAGTTCATGAACGTAGCGAATAAAGATATCCTCGCGACCCATGTCCTTCATGTATTCCATCAGCTTCAGAGCGTGCAGACT